ATAAACCAGGAAGAAATCCGCCCAAATTGGCCTTGGATGGACTTAATCGTTGTTGCAGAATAGCATCAGGCAGAATCCACCATCTCTATCCTTCAAAATCCAAGGAAAATGGTCTTTCGAAAAAAATTGCTCAAATAATTACGAAAATGCAATCCCAAAATATATTGGCCAAATTGGTGCTTAATTGACTTAATCATGGGCGCAAAATAGGATCAATAGACTTTATTATCGGTGGAGAACAGCCTCGAGCCAAATCCGTGATCTGTACCTCCAAAATCGAAAGAAAATGACATTTCGGAAAAATCGCCCGAAATCTGTGATGGTACCCCTTTGGAGTCTGCCAAAAATGGACCCGGAAGACATCTGCCCAAATTGGCCCTGGATGGACTTAATCGTCGTTGAAGAATAGCCTCAGGCCGAATCCACCATCTTTATCCTTCAAAATCCAAGTAAAATGGCCTTTCGAAAAAAATTGCTCAAATAATTACGAAAATGTCATCCCAAAATATATTGGCCCAATTCGGTGCTTAATTGACTTAATCATAGGCGCAGAATAGGATCAATAGAATTTCTTATCGGTGGACAACAGCCTCGAGCCGAATCCGTGATCTGTAGCCTCCAAAATCGGAGGAAAATGGCATTTCGAAAAAATCGCCCGAAATCTGTGATGGTACCCCTTTGTAGTCTGTCAAAAATGGACCCGGAAGAAATCCGCCCAAATTGGCCCTCGATGGACTTAATCGTCGTTGAAGAATTGCCTCAGTCTGAATCCACCACCTTTATCCTTCAAAATCTAAGGAAAATGGCCTTTCGAAAAAAATTGCTCAAATAATTATGAAAATGCAATCCCAAAATATATTGGCCCAATTCGGTGCTTAATTGACTTAATCATCGGCGCAGAATAGGATGAATAAACTTTATTATCGGTGGAGAATAGCCTCGAGCCAAATCCTTGATCTGTAGCCTCCAAAATCGAAAGAAAATGACATTTCGGAAAAATCGCCCGATATCTGTGATGGTACCCCTTTGGAGTCCGCCAAAAATGGACCCGGAATAAATCCGCCCAAATTGGCCCTGGATGGACTTAATCGTCGTTGAAGAATAGCCTTCATTCGAACCCACCATCTTTATCCTTCAAATTCCAAAGAAAATGGCATTTCGAAAAAAATTGCTCAAATAATTACGAAAATGCCATCCCAAAATATATTGGCACAATTCGGTGCTTAATTGACTTAATCATGGGCGCAGAATAGGATCAATAGTTATTATCGATGGACAACAGCTCGAGTCAAATCCGTGATTTTTAGCCTCCAAAATCGAAAGAAAATGGCATTTCGGAAAAATCGCCTGAAATCTGTGATGGTACCCCTTTGGAGTCCGCCAAAAATGCACCGGAAGAAATTCGCCCAAATTGGCCCTCGACGGACTTAATCGTCGTTGAAGAATTGCCTCAGTCCGAATCCACCATCTTTATCCTTCAAAATCCAAGGAAAATGGCCTTTCAAAAAAAATTGCTCAAATAATTACGAAAATGCCATCCCAAAATATAATGGCCCAATTCGGTGCTTAATTGACTTAATCATCGGCGCAGAATAGGATCAATAGACTTTATTATCGTTGAAGAATAGCCTCGAGCCAAATTTGTGATCTGTACCCTCCAAAATCGAAAGAAAATGACATTTCGGAAAAATCGCCCGATATTTGTGATGGTACCCCTTTGGAGTCTGCCAAAAATGGACCCGGAATAAATCCGCCCAAATTGGCCCTGGATGGACTTTATCGTCGTTGAAGAATAGCCTCATGCCGAATCCACCATCTTTATCCTTCAAAATCCAAGGAAAATAGCCTTTCGAAAAAAATTGCTCAAATAATTACGAAAATGCCATCCCAAAATATATTGGCCCAATTCGGTGCTTAATTGACTTAATCATGGGCGCAGAATAGGATCAATAGACTTTATTATTGGTGGACAACAGCCTCGAGCCAAATCCGTGATTTGTAGCCTCCAAAATCGAAAGAAAATGGCATTTCGGAAAAATCGCCCGAAATCTGTGATGGTACCCCTTTGAAGTCTGCCAAAAATGGACCGGAAGAAATTCGCCCAAATTGGCCCTCGATGGACTTAATCATTGTTGAAGAATAGCCTCAGTCCGAATCCACCATCTGATTATTCTTACTACATTCTCTCTCTTCTCTATGGAGTAACTTCTCTTCACTTGGGTTTTGAGGAACCCTAGCTATGTTTGTTTGATTGGATGATTGTATGAGTACTCCTAATTGATAATCTTGAGTTCATATTCAATCTATGCATGTTTTCATGATTCAATTATGCTTTAGTCGAGATTATTGATTCTGCTTTGATCCTATGAGAGCGAATACCTGATTAGGTCAATAGAGCACCATAGATTGATAGTAATGGATTGATTGCTTTAGTCGAGGGTTGATTCACCGCTGTGTATTGATTGAAAACCTCTTTCGATAGAGGGAGTCTAGTTCAGAACGCCTTGATCGGTTGTTCTAGAGAAGGATACGTCCTCTAGGCAATTGACTCAAGAGGGCCTTGTTCCTTTAGTCGAGACTCAAGGTCTAGTCAAGGATTCTCCGCACTGTGAATGAAAGTGAAACAAGTTATAAATCATCAATCATTAATCTGACTAGTGGCTAGGGGGAATCATACATAAGTGAGTTCCCAACCTGTAATTAGAATAACTTTAACTGTAGTTTGTTAGAGTAGTTTTAGTTCTTCCATCTTAATCTGGTTTGCTAGATAATGAACTGACGCTGATTAATAGTAACTTTAGAGACCCGTGGATTCGATATTTATTACTTGAGCCACTATACTGCAGTCCCTTTCATTGGTTACACTTGGCCATTGTTAGGAGTTGTGTCATAGCGAGTCAAGTTTTTGGCGCCATTGCCGGGGACTTTCTAGATTATTAGGAAACGCTGAAGTTTGTTATTTTAGCGTTTTTCTTTTCTTTTCCACCCTTGCTTTTCACTTGGGTGGTTTTGTTTTTGTTGGTGCAGATCTGAATCATGGATCCTCATGGCTTCTCAAACAATTGGGGTATCCACCACCATCCGAGTGGTATTACCCCGAGACTCCCTAGAGCAATCAAGGAGGAGAAGACTATGGATTCGGGTTCCAGTACCAACCCCCTTACTACGGAGAACAATCAGACCCCTAGGCATATCAAGAACAACCTTCTTATCAAGAAGAATTTCTCCCGCAACCAGAAGGGCTATCGGATCTGGAGTTACCCATGGCGGCCTTCACGGGCCATTATGTAGAGCCATGCTACACTCCACAGCCAGATCCAAACTATGAATTGAGGCTTCTCATGGAGCAGTTTGCTCGAGACAGTGAGAGATCATGGTCTAGGATGGATCTTTGTACCCAGGCCTATCGTGAAACAGAGGAGATCCTCCTGTGCATTAAGAAGAGCGTCGATGATCTTGAGCGATCTTATGCACAACCTTCTCCAGATCACCCTTTTGCTACCATACTAGAAGAGGAGGAGGAAGAAGAAGGCTATACGAAGACATTGTGGAGCACACAGAAGTTGTCACGGAGAGCTCCCATGATGACATGATCAGGAATGTCCTGTCGTAGCCGACCACACCCTCCCACATCCCACACTGAGCTTTGAAGAGGCAGGCATGAGTGAGGAGATGCAAGAAGATCTCATCAAAGAAATTGCTTGGCGACTTGCCCTCCAATCCGTGCTGGAAGAAGAAGAGCAAGAAAGTGTGCAGAAAGAAGTTGTGGAGGATGATGAAAGTGAAGCAAAAGGAGTTCTTGATCATTTCCCAGGGGTGATACCACATGAAGAAGAAAGGGAGGTTGAAGAAGAAATTGGCGTCCAGGCTGAGGACGGGGTTAAGGTGGAAGAGGCATGTTACATGTGATATCTCCACCAAACTTCGAGGAATTGCTTAGCAAGGACCCATTTGCAGTGTCTCTTTGCCATACCAAGGCCACATCGACATCAGTCCCTCTTGGTGGTCAATCGATGCTGTCATATCTAGTTTGGGGCAATGAGACGAGAGAAGAGAAGAAGAGGTCTCGAGGGTGGAGACTTCATCCGCATCAAGTGCACGAGCTTCCATCACCTGTCATACCACATGTTCGTGACTTGAGACTCCACCTCATTGACGAGAACCTCAACTTCAAAGAGGTTCTAGCATGGACCGAAACTTAGGAGCCATCGTCCGGCTCACGACGTGAAAGAAGCGCTTGTTGGGAGGCAACCCAACCAGTCGGTTTGCATTTCTTTCTCTATTTCTCCTCGGTTGAGTCAGTTTTGTTCTTTGATTTTAGAGTCAATAACTCAACCTTTGTGAGATTTTGTGTGGTGTTTGTGTTTCGACTACTCTCTCCTCATGGAATGCACCGCCTGCCCCGTCCACCATCATTCACCCTTGATCTGGTAACTTCATTCTACCCTCCTAATTTTTCCTCCATTGAAGACAATGTCGTGCTTACGTGTGGGGGATGTTCGATTATGTATGCGAGTAAATGTTTGGCTGTTTGTGTGCTTGAAGCCTAGTCCAAGCAATGCATTCAGAAAGGATTCCTATAATAATTTTGCACCAATACCTGCGGCTGAATTTCAATTATCACAGTTAACTTTCAAAAGTGACATTAATCATTATCCATATTCCATACCACAAAATCGCAACAATTAAATACCATTCCACATTACAAATGATAGTACTTGTTTAAAACTCAAACAACCAACAATTTTTTTGCAAGCAGATGTATAATATCAAAGACAAAGTTCCAGCAAGATCCAATATAGAACCCTTAAAAGGTTTTAGGTTCGAACACCTTTTAAGTAAACATGTGATAATAAAAACAAACTGTTACCATGCATATCATGATATAGAACGAAAGAAAACAACAATTTATTTTTGCAAGCTGTCACAAATCGACCGGTTTCAACAACTCGAATCATTCGAATAGGTCTATGTGTGATACCCAACCACGCACTTCCTTTTTACGAGTCTTCACAGAACTTGTACGTCTCGTACCGAACGCAACAGTTCGTGGCGGCGGCCTGCGCCCCGACGCCGTTCGGGCAGTGGTCTATGATGACGCTGCGCGCCGCCGGCACACAGTTCTTGCACGCCTCGGTGGTGAAGTCATTGTTGCAGCCCCCGAAGACGTAGTACGTCGTTCCCGAGACGGTGACGTCTGCGCAGAGATCGGCGTTGATCTTCCGGAACGTGTTGTTGCCGATGAAGTTCAGCACCGCCTGCTGCCCGACGTCGGGCAGGTCCCTGTCGCCGCTGCAGGCCAAGTTGAAGAGACCGTCTTCCCCCGGCGGAACGCAAAATGGACTGGTCCCAGAAAAGCTCGAAACAGGCGGAGTAGTGGTTACAAATAACAAGGTGGCAATGGTGACAAGAAAATAAGCTATTGACGCCATATTTCTTCTTTTGCCCTTCTTCTGTTAGGGATTATGGATATGTATTATATAGGAGCGGCGGCGGGCGGCGGCCGTGGCATCGGCGGTGGTGCTAGACGTCGAGGAGCGTGAGGACGGGAGGGAAGGCCGAGGGTTCGTGAACAACAATAAATACGTAGTGTATATGGGACTTTGTTCTTCTCTCCCGGGGTTGTTTCGTTGTGCGTTGTCTTGGTTCGTTGTTGTTAATGTCGAGTTTATTCGTTTTGGGATGGGCTGTATGGCCGTGAAACCATGTGGAGAACACGTATGGATGCTGATAATTCGAGTTGTCGGGAGGAGGTTGATTATGAATCTTATATTACTTTCTTATATACACTGGGTTAAATCCCAATTTAAATCTTGTCGAAAATTGTGAAAAATCGTTACCTATGTTTCTAAAGTGTGTTTTGAAAATTGTGAAATATGTTGTCTCAAGTGGTGTATTGTGTGAGAGGTAAGGATAAACGATCCTTTTTTATTTAGGTTGCAAAAAATGAAGGGGAAAAAAAAGTTGTATATTCTTTTTGCAAACCCTTTTATATGCACCCTAGTAAAAGTGTTGCGTTAGGATATTGTAACTCTTTTGACACTTTGCGCGCAATGCATTTTCGGAGGTGCGAGAGGTTGTTTTTACTATAGTGTCTTGTGGTACTTATAAGAAGCTATGAATATCTCGATTTAAATCGTAAAATCTTTCAATTGTACGATCTTATACCTACATGTTATGATTATGATTTCAACGTAAAATCCTTGGACCTTAAAATCCTAAACTATTCAAATATAAAATTTAAAGATCTAGATGTTTATAGAATTTTAAATATTTAAAAATGTGAGATTGAACTTGGAACAAATTGAACCGCATTAACGAAGTCAGATCAAATCCTTTGATATCAAACTATAACAAGCTAGTGAAAACCTAAACTCAGGTTTTGGACGATTGTGGAATGCTTGTATATTTTAGAGAGAACAGTCATGAAAGGAGGAGTGGTGTTTGCCTACAAATTTTGTGGCCGAAATTAAAGTCTCCTTCCGATCATGCCCTCATCGGACCACATAACTGCGGATTGATTGATCACAGGCTTTAAACGGAGAAGCAAGGGGGCAACAACAACAAAAAAAGTTTATTGCGTGTTTTCCAACAACACGAGTAAATTAAACGACGTATGCATAGAAAGAAACGTGACGACGCGACGTACATTTCAGACTTTTCAATAAAACTTTTAGTTCACCCATCAAATCCAACACGCGACTCCGATGGAGAGTCTGAGCCGTACCCCTAGACGACGTGTTAAGACACACTGTCCTAGGGATGGGGCGAAGTACAACAACAACCAAAGATCAAAATCACTTTGGAAAGACTTAAGCTACTGAAAGGAAAAACACGTGCTGTAACCACGCGCGAAATCGACAATACAAAAGAGTAAAATAAAAAAAAACACACACGTAAATGATGATTTGCGTGTTGCGCCTAATTCACAGACAGAAGAGACCAATTTCACTAGATTTTGAGTACGATACTTAATATATTATTGCGCGAGTTCCTCCCCGGCCACGTGACCTCCAATCGACGAACAGAGTCAGAAAGTCAGGGTTTAATTTACTTACAGAATCCGTACTTCTCGTATCGAACGCAACAGATCTTGGACGACGCCTGCGCCCCGACCGCATCAGGACAAATCTGAGTAACGACGCCGCGCGCTCCCGTCAGGCAAGTCGTGCATTCCGTTACGTTGCGGCTGTCGTTGCAACCACCAAAGACGGCGAATGTCGTCCCCAAGCCGCCGGTGGGCGTGTCGGTGTCGCAGAGGTTGCCGCCGTAATTGTACGAGTGGAGCTTGCGGTCGATGAAGTCCAGCAGGTCTTTCTGCACGTTCTTCGACGTGTCGGGCAGCTTTTCTTTGTTACATGCGTAGTTGAAGAGATGCTCGTCATCCGGAGTAATGCATGCTGGATTCTTCCCGTCGGGGAAGCTCAAAACAGCAAAGAAGAAGATGGCGATGGTTGTTGTTACCGTTAGATCGAGTCGCAACAGAAAAGCTATTGACACCATTTTCTTTGCTTCCTTCTTTTGGTACGATCGAATGGATATGTAGGGTTATTACTTATTATATAATCGAGGGTTTTGTAAAAAAAATGAGTAGTAGTGGGAGTTACGTGGCTTGTTCTTCTTTCCGTTGGTTGTTTTCATTGTGTTGTCTTGGTCGTTGTGGTTATGCGAGAGTTTATTCGTTTTATAGATGGGTGTATAGGTATCATAAATATATATTGGGGGATGGTAATTACTATTCTATATATCCGGGTTGGTGGTGTCCGATCGTCTACGATCCAGTTAACGCGAGGTGAATCTCGTACTAATCGAGTATGTGAGGGGGTGGGAAAATGAGTTTGAAGATATATGAGTTTAGATGCCGAAAATGAGGTGAATCTCGAATTATAGCTCGGTTCGGTTCGGTTTTAATGCCCAGAACCGAAATGTTCAGCTGCTGCCCATTTTTACCTGCTGTCTTCTTGTCTGTTTCGCTGGAACTGGAAATTTGGCATGGGGCTGGCTGATCACTGTTGCAATTTTTTTATACTTTTCCACCTGCCATTTCACATGTCTATCAAATACAATGAATTAAAACGGGAACTTGTACATCGGCGGAGGATTCAGTGGCGGCCGGAGGAGACTCAGCGGCCGGCGGGTGCTTGCCTTGGTCTGGGTCACTGGGTGGGATTGCGGGAGGCGGAGAGCTAGAGACCGGTGCCTGGTGGCGAGCAGCGAGGGTGAGATTCGAGTCGAGAGGAAGACGAAGTAGCCTCTCTCAGGTCGGGTCGTCGACGTCGCCGTGCTCGAGCAGTGGAGGAGGAAATCCAATCGACATTCGGTGCAAGTGCGTCGGACAGTTCCCCTTCCCTTTCCCTTTGCCGCGATTCTTCCTTTCATTCCCCAATTCCCCTTCCCTTTCCCTTTGCCGCGATTTCGTTAATTGGATAGGCCGCTAGGCGGCATGCGCTAGGGTTAGGTCGCAGACGACTGTGGGTCGAGTTGCTGAAGTCTGAAGAGGCCACCAGCCCACCAGATGCAGCAGACGGCAACAAGCAGGGAGCAGGCCCAGCCGCCCAGGCCATGATGGGAAGCCCAATCCAATTTGTTGGACTGAGGCGGAGTGGGCTGAAAAAGAAAGGCTGGGATGCGAGTATTGGACTGGGATTCAGGCAGTGGGTTTATATTTTCCATAGACCAGGAAACCGGATCGTACCGGCCAGTTCAACCGGAAATTGGACCAAAAGCGGCACGATGGGCTGATTGTGCTGATTTTACCGTGCCGGCCAGTTTTTTCGGTTTGACCGGTTGAACCGGTTGAACCAGCCGGTACGATCCGGTTTCATGGTCTATGATTCAGCTTCATTTCTCCGTATTCTCGTTCAATATGTGGAAAATAATTAAAAAAAATATTATTTTGCTATTTTTCTATATTGAAAATGGGTCACCGTGGTTGTATAATGCTCTATTTGGTTCTTTTTTTGATGGATTATATTTTTTAAACTATCGCATTTCATTTCTCTATCAATAGTGAAAAACGGTATTTACCGGTACAAAACGGTTGAACCACGGTCGTACCACAAAATACCATACCAGAAAGGAATCCGGTAAGATGTCCGGTACGGTTTCCTTTACCATGATATTTTCGGAATTTCAGTCGGATTTTCGGAATTTCGGTTCAGTTCAAACGAACCTGATTTCCGAAATTTCCCCTATTTACATCCGAATTTCGAACCTAATTACAAGTATTTCGGTTTCAATCGGTTTTTATTCGGGTCGGTTCGGTTCGGTAAAACCGAACCTAATGCCCACTCGTAGTCTATGGGTGGCCTGAACAAAAGAACAAAGGAAGAACATGCAAGCTTCTGGAGGATTTGCATGAGTTGGTAAAGTTGCCATGGCTGGTGATGGGGGATTTCATTCTCATACAAAGTTATGAGGAAAAACATGAAAAGCACATGGCAGTGACTTAGGAAATGGAGGCTTTTAACCAGGCTCTTGGATATTGTGAACTCGAAGATCTTGGCTTCTATGGCAGGAGATTCACCTAGGAATGGGATAACAATCACAAGGATGACACCTTCCTTGAAGAATGACTGGATAGAATGGTTTCTTAAATGTCTTCGAAAAAATCGCCCAAAATATGTGATGTTACCCCTTTTCAATCTGCCAAAAATTGACCTGAAATAAATTCGCCCAAATCGGTGCTTAATGGACTTAATGATTGTAGAAGAATAGCCTCGGGCCGAATTCGTGATCTGTAGCCTTCAAAATCCAAAGAAAATGGCCTTTCTACGCCCACGAAATTACGAAAAATGTCATTCGAAAATAAATTGGCCAAATCGCTGCTTAATGGACTTATCATCCGTGGAGAATAGCATCAATAGACTTCATTATCGGTGGAGAATAGTCTCGGCCTCATTCCGTGATCTGTAGCCTCCAGAATCGAAAGAAAATTGTATTTTCGGAAAAATCGCCCAAAATCTGTGATGGTACCCCTTTGCAATCTGCCAAAAATTGACCAGGAATAAATACGCCCAAATCGGTGCTAAATGGACTTAATCATCGTTGAAGAATAGCCTCAGGCCGAATCCGTGATCTGTAGCCTTCAAAATCCAAAGAAAATGGCCTTTCGACGACTACAAAATTACGAAATGCCATCCCAAAATAAATTGGCCCAAATTGGTGCTTAATGGACTTATCATCCGTGGAGAATAGGATCAATAGAATTCATTATCGGTGGAGAAGAGCCTCGGCCTGATTCCGTGATCTGTAGCCTCTAGAATCGAAAGAAAATGGCATTTCAGAAAAATCGCCTGAAATATGTGATGGTACCCCTTTGCTATCTGTCAAAAATTGACCCGGAATAAATCCGCCCAAATCGGTGCTTAATGGACTTAACCATCGTTGAAGAATAGCCTCAGGTCGAATCCTTGATTTGTAGCTTTCAAAATCTAAGAAAATGGTCTTTCGACACCCACAAAATTACAAAAATGCCATACGAAAATTAATTGGCCCAAATCGGTGCTTAATGGACTTATCATCCGTGCAGAATAGGATCAATAGACTTCATTATCGGTGGAGAATAGCCTCGTCCTGATTCCGTGATCTGTAGCCTCCAGAATCGAAAGAAAATGGCATTTTCGAAAAAAATCGCCCAAAATATGTGATGGTACCACCCCTTTGCAATCTGCCAAAAATTGACCCGAAATAAATTCACCCAAATCGGTGCTTAATGGACTTAATGATCGTAGAAGAATAGCCTCGGGCCGAATTCGTGATCTGTAGCCTTCAAAATCCAAAGAAAATGGCCTTTCTACGCCCACGAAATTACGAAAAATGTCATTCGAAAATAAGTTGGCCAAATCGCTGCTTAATGGACTTATCATCCGTGGAGAATAGCATCAATAGACTTCATTATCGGTGGAGAATAGTCTCGGCCTCATTCCGTGATCTGTAGCCTCCAGAATCGAAAGAAAATTGTATTTTCGGAAAAATCGCCCAAAATCTGTGATGGTACCCCTTCGCTATCTGCCAAAAATTGACCCGGAATAAATTCGCTCAAATCGGTGCTTAATGGACTTAATCATCGTAGAAGAATAGCCTCAGGCCGAATCCGTGATCTGTAGCCTTCAAATCCAAAGAAAATGGCCTTTCGACACCCACAAAATTTCAAAAATGCCATCCAAAAATAAATTGGCCCAAATCGGTGCTTAATGGACTTATCATCCGTGGATAATTGGATCTATAGACTTCATTATCGGTGGAGAAAAGCCTCAGCCTGATTCCGTGATCTGTAACCTCCAGAATCGAAAGAAAATGCCATTTTCGGAAAATCGCCCAAAATCTGTGATGGTACCCCTTTGCAATCTGCCAAAAATTGACCCGGAATAAATCCGCCAAAATCGATGCTTAATGGACTTAATCATCGTTGAAGAATAGTCTCAGGCCGAATCCGTGATCTATAGCCTTCAAAATCTAAAGAAAATGGCCTTTCGACGCCCACAAAATTACGAAAAATGTCATCCGAAAATAAATTGGCCCAAATCGGTGCTTAATGGACTTATCATCCGTGGAGAATAGCATCAATAGACTTCATTATCGGTGGAGAATAGCCTCGGTTTGAGCCCGTGATCTGTAGCCTCCAGAATCGAAAGAAAATGCCATTTTCGGAAAAATCGCACAAAATCTGTGATGGTACCCCTTTGCAATCTACCAAAAATTGACCCGGAATAAATCCGCCTAAATCGGTGCTTAATGGACTTAATCATCGTTGAAGAATGATAACATTGATAACATTGTCTTCCCTAGTCAATGGACATTCATCTGAAACTTTTGTACCAACGCGGGGCTTAAGACAGGGGTATCCCATCTCCCCATATCTTTTCCTCCTCGTAACAGAAGGCTTATCAAGTATAATCTCCAAAGCAGAGAGGGACAAATTTATCAGTGGCATCAGGGTAAGAAGGGTAGCACCGGTTGTTTCTCACCTCTTATTCGCTGATGATAGCATTTTATTCACTAAGGCTACCAGACAAGAGTGCGAGAAATTGAAAACATATCCTAAGCCTCTATGAGGCAGAGTCATGACAAAAGGTTAACTTAGAGAAATCAGAGCTATCATTCAGTCCAAATATAAAAGGAGAGACTCACAGGCAGCTGGCATCCATTCTCGGGATGAAAGCAGTAGATCATCATGTGAAGTATCTTGGCCTCCCAACTAGAGTGGGAAGTGAGAAGAAAGTTGTGTTTGGATACATTGTAGACAGAGTTCGACAGAAGGTCAAGCATTGGAAGAGTTCAATGCTATCTATAGGAGGGAAGGAAATCCTAATAAAGGCAGTGGCACAAGCTCAAATGACCTACGTTATGTCTTTGTTTCAGGTTCCAGTTGGAATTCTCAAAGAAATTCAAAGCCTTATAGCCACTTTCTGGTGGGGGCAACAGGAAGAGGAGGGAAGAACCCACTGGTTGAGGTGGGAGGAACTATGCAAACCAAAGAAAGTGGAAGGGCTGGACTTCAAAGATCTACAAGATTTCAACAAGGCACTTCTAGGGAAGCAAATCTGGAGACTAATCACGAGGCCAAATTCCCTGGAGGCAAGAATTCTGAAATCCAAGTACTATCCCAACATAGATGTCATGGAGGCGGAAGTGGGGAACAATCCAAGCTTCTTATGGAAGGGTTTACTATCATCTAGAGATCTGGTGCTAAAGGGTTACAGGTGGAGGGTGGGTAACGGGAGCAGCATCGACATATGGCTGGACAAATGGGTGCCAACAGCAGAGGGTTTCAAGGTTAAGACCCCAGTGACACCATTTGGAGACACTACTTCAGTAGCTGAGCTCATCGACTTTGAGGAACACTGCTGGAGAACATATGTGCTCCAAGAGCCCTTTCGACTAGAAGACCAAGTAAACATCCTAAAAATACCCATTCCACGGGTATGGAGACTAGATGAAAGGGTGTGGAGTGCCGAAAAATAAGGAGAATACTCAGTCAAATCTGCATACAAGGTATGGTTCAATCGGGATGAAGAAGTGAGAGGGGAGATTTACTCCCCAGTCAATTGGGATCGATTATGGAAGTTAAAAATCCCACAGAAAGTGAAAGTGTTCGCTTGGAAATGAGTGCAAAATATTCTACCTACCGATGCTAGAGTAGTACAGAGAACCACTAAAGGAAGTGAAGGATGCCCCTTCTGTGACCTAAAGGAAACCCAGACTTATATTTTCTAGGAGTGTGGATGGGTTCGAAGAGTCTGGAGACCTAGTCCGTTAATGTCTATGTTCAATAAGGGCCAGAACCTTACCTCCGAGGAATGGTTTTGTGAATTACAGAAGAGTGAAGAGGACGACCAAATTAGCCGCTTCCTTGTTGCCTTGTGGTTCATCTGGGACCAAAGAAATTGTCAGCTATGGAATAAACCTAAGATGGAAGAGTGGGAAATAATGGGTCGAGCAAGCAGATGGATTGACGAGTACCTGGAGGCTCAAACAGACCGAGAACCCAGCCGCCGTGAAGGGCAGACGAACTGGACTCCATCGAAGGATGCGGATTTCACCATTTTCGTTGATGCGGCTTGCTTGTCGGGTCGCAGAACATGGGTTGGGATAATTGTGAGGGACAGAGCGGGAGCTTTTCGATTAGCAGCGTTAAGAAGAATAAGGCGGCAGTGGGAACCAGAGATGGAGGAGGCGATGGCAGTCGATTTTGGAGTGGAGGTGGAGGGGCGTTATCATTTCTCTCCAGCTGCTATCCAAACAGATTGCCAGGTGTTGGAGAAGATGCTTCGTGGAGATAGCCAATCCAAGCTAGAAGTTGGCCAGGTCTGTGAGGAGATAAGACAAAGAGCAAATGGGTTGGCTCCTTTATTTGGTGTTTTGTGAACAGAAGTCTGAATGAGTCAGCCCATTTCTTAGCTCACAAAGAGTGCGATTGGGAGAGGGAAGAGATCTGGGTAGATAGTCCACCAGCTTTCCTTGTACCCTCTTACTGAAAGATGGGGTTGTTGATGATTCTTCACATTAAGTCTACACATAATATAATACACCGAAGGGAAAAATGAGAGCCCCATTTCAAATTTCCCGCAACGAGAGTGAAAGTAGGAAGGACATTTTGGTCTTCACAATTACTTTTTTTTATTCACTAAAAAGACACTTACTGGGATTCGAACCATGACCATTTTAAAGAAAAGCAAGGATCATAACCAATCACACTAAGTACATTTGTTGATACTTTTTAAATTAAAAACATATAATACCAGGGAGGAAAACACTCTTCTCCCATTTCAAATTCTCTGCTCCATAAGCGTTTGTAGGAAGGGTAGAATAAGGAGTGTCAATTTTTTTCTCTTTCCTCTGTGGAACGGGCCAACTTACCGTACACATGTGGATTTAAACGGGTCCAGGAGTGTCAATTGTTTTCTTTAAGTCCTTTTATTTCTCCGTGGTGATCAAATATATATGAAAAGACAAAAACAATACTCCTTTTTATTGCTAAAAATAAAAAAATTTAACAATAAACTAATGCATGGTATCTAATGGGCTAACCGCTAACCATAAAATAAAAGAGTTGAATGGGCCTGACCTACACGGGATTTGGCCATCAAGTAAATCAAATGAACATCATTGGTTTGTCATTCTAAAACAAGCTATTTTCTCTGGCATAATATATATATATTATACTATTATTTTATATCTTAGTGGCTAAAATATAATGTATTTTAAAGGTATTCAATGGTTCAACCTTGGCCAACCCAATTAGTCCAATTTTTATCATTTCAAATATATATTATATAATTATTTGATATCATAATGATCAAATTATAGTGTATTTTATAGGGAATCGTTTGATATTTGTTAGTAAAAAAACTAAACAGAACGATCTATTTGGTTTAATTCCCGAATAAGTGATGCGCAAATGGCGAATTGCAGTCGTCTCTTTTCTTTCACTATTTTTTATTTTCAAATAGAAAGTTTAAAAGTAAAGAATAATTAGAATTTGGCATGGGTCACTCAAGCATGATGAATTCAAGATGGCCCGTTTTGATCAAGTCTAATTTATAATCACATGGTTCCCTGATACCCGATAAAAATCTCAATCCAAACCAGTTTGGCAGGTGAGTCTGTGTTTACCACCATTTTCTAGGGATACAACAACGGCGATTCCTATCCCAAATCGTGTTGTTCGTTCTTGATTTCCTTAGATTTTATCACGGCCTAACAAAAATCAGAAAGCACAATGACGACAAGATGAAAGTTTTATAAAGCAAATTAATCGACCAACGGGCTGAGTAAAAGCTAGCAACGATTGTGAGATGCTCATTTCCCGAAAACTGACGGGATAGGCGATTTTTTATTCAATTTTCTGGAATTCGGTTTCTATAAAACTTACTCCACCTCATCATATTACCAGAAACAATATTGTTTCACAAGGTAATATGTACTTGATTTTGGTTCATAATGGCGATTTTTGATCCATTGCATCATTCATGTCTCTTTCATGCTAAAATTCACTATTTTTATCACGAGTTTCCCAAAAAAACTATACAACATTAAGCTATACACCCAAATACATTATAAAATTTCATACCTCACCTTCCTCCGGCCAATTGGCCGGGGTCCACGCTAGTAATAATAATAGCAGATGGTTTCTAAAAAAAAATTATAGTAGTGGCCTTTTTTTCTTTTACTACCTAGGGCTAGTTTAGTAATTGGGGCTTTTTCATTAAGTCGCTTATAGATAGGGATGACAATTTTGACTTGACTCATCTTATTATTCGACATGTTTAACCTGTTTTGGAATAGATAATACCTACTTCACAGGAGAGGCAAGATAGACAAGGGTACTCTACTCGAGCGGACCCCTGACGTGCCCATTCCATTTCATTTTCCAAGGCATAGTTTGTTTCTCAAATTTTCATGAAAAATTAATGTTTCAAGTGTTTTCCCCCTCGTTTTATAGCTCTTGCTTGGCAATTTGCCAAACTTGTGGAAACCACACTGCAGCAGCAGCAATTGTACAGATATAGGCTGCAATTGTACAGATATAGGCTGTAGTATCTACTATCCTAACTAGCTACTACTGTAATTCCTTACAATGCTACCTATCGCATAATTGTTGAAAATATACAAATCCTGCTAAGACTGCTGCAAATTCTATGTTACCTATGCTATAACAATGAATTTCCAGTTTCAGTTGATTCAAAATTTCCACCCAACTTCTGCTGATCCCTGTATAGCTCCTGCAGCACCTTTCTCTCCACAACAATGAGATATACGAGCACCACAGTCCTCCAATGAGTTGATCCCCTTGCCTGATCCTCCTACATAACTCTGCAACCATATCTTCCCACTCTCCTGGCCAGCTAATCAATGGGCAAATTGCAGATACAATTTCCAAAGCAAAAGGGAAAGAACAAAATAAATGGTCATGTGTTTCAAGTGTTTTCTTTTAATACGCGTACACATATGGGTTGACCTTCCCCAATCCGCGCTCCAAAATAAAATATTCGATCTGGACTCAACCTGCAACAATACATATATGAGTATCGTGATGCCCGCTCGACCTGTCCAATGCCATTCCTACTCCCAGGCCCTACACATGCTTAATTCATAATTAGACTAACAACTAAAAAATAAGTGAGATTTAATCAGTGATGGAAAATAAAGTCACTTTTAAGAGATTTTGGGGCAAATATGTAGTTATGCTACTAATCAATTGATTCTTCTTGACAACAGCAAAACCCAAGAGTTCCATTCAAGAGATTTTGGGGCAAATATGTAGTTATGCTACTAAACAAGCGAGCTACGTTCATTCATATCTCTAAACAATAATCACAACTAGCTTGAAAACACACTAATGCATCAGACATGGATCATCATCTATTCCCATGCTAGCATTGATTGGTTCTTTCTGATAATATAAGCAAGTATGGAATCACATATGTAAGTGGGACGGCAAGGATCATGACTCGGACCTTTAGTTCATTTAACCTTCTACCATCAGAATGTTCTTGACACCTGGAGCTTTTGATCAACTACTGGACCATCCAACTGGTGTTTGGATGAGAATTTCAGCAAGTTCCTTGAGTTGCAGCAGCTGATAGACCGCCGGACCCAATTCTATGACTCTTGATATCAGGACCACTCATCAGCTTCTGGAAAATTGGATGATCCAACTGATTCTTGGGCATCAATTCTATTAGCAAAGACATAGTGGTTGCATCGGCTGAGAAGCCTTTCGAAACCATCTCGTGAATGAGGTCCATTGCTTCAAGCGGATCCTTATGGTGAAGAAATCCATGAATAATCACATTATAAGAGCAATTGTCAGGTAGACATCTATCCCCCTCCATTTTCCTAAACAAATCATATGCTTCATCCACAAAACCTTGTCTGCAAAGTCCATTAATTGCTATATTATATGTGCGGGTATCAGGTTGCAAACAATTGTCTCTAGAGAGCCTAGAAAACAATTCCCTTGCCTCCTCTCCCCTCCCTGCTTTCCACAGTCCATCCAAAAGTATATTGTATCCCACAACATCAGACTTCAACCTACTTTCTATTACTTGAAACAAAGCTAATGCGTCGTCAATTTTACCTCGTCGACACAAGTAATCAAGCAAACTATTGTATGTCATGATATCAGGGGAACAACCCTCACCACTCATTTTCTTGAGAATTTGTAGTGCATCTTTAAGCCTCCCAACTTGACAAAATCCATTTATCATAGTATTATACGTGACCGTATCCGGAACCAAATCCTTCTCAAGCATACTATTCAATAACTGTTCTGCTTCACCCATCATTTCATTTTTACAATATCCATGAATCATGATAGTGTACCCCGCAACATCAGGTTTGCACCCCCTATTGTCAATGAAATCAAATAGCTTTCTGGCTTTGTCTAATTCATTGCGCAAACAATACCCATTCATCAATGAATTGTAAGTGACGTTATCTGGAAGCAGTCCTCTTTGAATCATCATTTTGAGTATAACTTTAGCTCCCAAAACATTTCCTTCCTTACAGAAAGCATCAACCAATATGTTATAGGTGAATGTATCAGGCATGATCTTCTTGTCTACCATTTTATTGAACAACTCCATAGCTTCATTGATTCTGCTTGAAATGCACAAACCATAAATCAAGCTATTGTAAGCAAACACATTTGGTTGAATCTTTTTCTCCTCCATCTCTGAAAACACATCTAAAGCTCTAGATACCATTCCATCATTGCATAGGCTTCTAATGACCGTGCTATAACTAACGACATCAGGTTGACAACCGAACTCCTTCATGTTTTCAAGCAATTCAAGTCCAGCACTCGTTTGCCCTATCTTACAAAGCCCATCTATAATAATGTTAAAAGTGAAAACATCCGGTTGATAACCCAAAATCCTAATTTTATGAACCAACCTTGCAGCCTCGATTACTTTCCCAACTTTACAGAGCCCGTCAATCAATGTATTGAGCATCACATCATTGAATTGAATACCGAGTTTCAGAGCTTTGCTCAGAACTGAATAGCCAAAATCCACTCGACCCAATTTACAGAAGCAACGAAGCAACATGTTAAGTGTGTAAGAATCGTGTGGGACTCCAGCTAATTCCATTCGTTTAGAAGCATAGAAGGCAGCCTGGAAGGCGCTCATTCCCATAAGATAATTTACAAACTGACTAAATTTCACAATCGAAGGTCTTGGGTTCATGTGGAGCATCCTATTAAATGATTCCAGGGCATCATCTACGCTTGCGAAAGTTACAGAATTGGAGGTAATATGAGTAGTTGAGTTGCAGGTCATAGCAGCAGAAGAATAAGGGAATTGATTCATACCGGCTTTTCTTCGCCAATGAAATAGAGAGCAGTTTCCATGGATGATCCTAGCCATGCCGAGATGTTGAACTGCTTTGAATTGAAAGCATTCACAATGAGAGACCCTGACAGCCATCAATAGATCGATACTGCCAAAATCAATTTCCACTGCGAACCCAGAATGAAAGATGCGAGCTTGACATCAAATCCGGAACCCAACCAGAAAACAGACTGAAACGCCGCCGCCGACCGGCGTGGATGCAAGAAGGTTGAGACTTTGCGAAGCACTCACCAACGGTTCTCAGTTGCTGGATTGGCAACAGTGGTCGGAACGTATATCCAAGCTTGAACTTTGCTTTGGGCCCAGATTATTTGTGTCACCGTATGACTGCGGCCTTTTTGACATTGGGCTCTTATCTATTGGGCTTGCTATCTTCTTCCGGGCCTGGCTTCTTATGCTTGAGTCATATTTAACAATTAAAGTTCTAATTAGCGAGTCGCTAATTTGATGTCTGTATTAAAGTTCTAAAATAAATATAATTGAAGCCAATCACTATTAATTTATATCAGCTGAATACAACCACGTAACGTTTACCAAATTTTTGGTGTTTGTTCATTGTTGACAATTAATGTGGAATCTAGCTATTAGTAGCTAGTCGCGGGCCCGACCAGTTGATCGGATTTCATCGCCAATAACATAAACAACATTAGCAATTTGTATGCGAGTTACACATTTGTTTTGTAGTATAATAAAATCTGAATTAGCAAAATACTCGAAATATTAAATTGATTGGTAGAATAAGAAAATCGAAACTATTAAAATACTTCAACAATTCATAAGGATCAACAATCACATAGTTCTCCAACATTTTAATGCTCTCAAATAAATCTTCTCTTTACTCCTCGTCGTTAGAGATTAATACACATTTTCTTTTTTACTTTTATGCATTTCCTCCGTCATGAACAACATTATCTTCTCCACCAATAATCTACATTTATATGCATTATTGATTGCTTCTTCCTTCTTCCCTTGCATTTCAATACTCAGCGAAGTATATTTGTTCAAAGCCTAAAACTGCCTATTGATCGGACCAATTGTATTTTATGTAAACTCAACCTATCCTTGTATCTTACTATTTTTTTTATCTCCGAACTTATTTGTTTTGCCGTAACATCCTACGATTAAATATTTGTAGTCAACAATCAATTGATGATTTAGACCATTGTCATAAACCATATATATTTCTAAGTTAAGATGTTTAATACCTAATTATTGACAGTTGGTTATGTCTCTCATAAGCCTATGTTGAAATATGTTGGCATATATCATGATTTCTAAATTATTTAGTGTTGACTCATTCCCGGCGTGGAGATTTGTAAATTGTCGATTGAAGACATTATGCCTCAATTTTTCAATCATGATACACAAATTTATTATCTTATACAATATACGCTAGCTAATTATTCTCAAAATTAGGAATAACTTTCAAACAATACTTATTGACCCCTCAGTATATAATTGAATTTCTCACCGAAAGTGTTTGATCTCTAGAGAATATTTGTTTGTCCGAATTCAAAGCAATTGACACATCATCAAGGTTCCATCCTTGACATGGTATTTTAGTTAGTAATTCCTTACTTCTAACACATTCTCTTAAAAGTTAGATAATCTTGGAATATTTTTTACAGTTAATATTTTCTTATTAATATAAGTAATTGATAGGATGTGTCTATAACACATTGCGATCATATGGTTCAAATCAAGGTCTCAAACTGGTTTAAACTGTTGAGCCGGTCAATTAAATGGTTTGAAATTCATTGTTAGACTGGGGTCCAACCAATTCAAGCCATCTTATCAATATTATAAAAACGTATGTGTGTATATGCCTATATGGTAATAATTCAAGATTTTCATAACGTGAATGTCAATTACAGGTACCATACAGTAATTTAACAATTAATCTATTGTTTGACTCTAAAAGATGTATATATTGCTTCATTTTCCATAATAGATTTGGGAGAGGACCAAAATGCAACATTCTGTCTAATAGTCGAGAATTGGTCAATGCATTCTTTCTTCCATGTATGTTGCTATGATCGCTGCTCTTTTTTCTATTTTCCTTCCTCCATCCAATGGTTTAGATAAGTTTGCAACAACAACAAAAAAGCGGTGGACTGGTAATTCCGACATGCTACCTTTTTTTTTGTTTGGCCTGACACGGATCCAGAAGAGAGAGAAAAGACAGATGGGCAGCCAATGTCTACTTTTCCTAATTCTCAATTTGATCCTACAACGTTCATTTTAACTTATAATTTTAAAAAATTGTATAGAAAAAATGCTTTAATTATGATCTGCACAATTATATCCATTTTGATATATTTTGAGCAAAAAAAAAAATTAAATCTTCAAAACACATGTTGATTGTAGTATTATTACTGTCATATCTATCATATCATTATGATAAAACATTGATATGATGATCCATCTCATTCATTTCAACTCAGAATTAAAAAAAAATATATAGAAATAATGCATTCTTTAAGCTATACATTGATATCCATTTTTTCATATTTTGTCAAACATAAGACCTCGATCTAACATCGTATCATTGTCATATCATGATATTATCATTATGGTGATAATATCATCATACCATACTGATAATATCATGATATGACAGTGAATGATGTCATTAAATTATTTTGTTAAACATAATACATCATAAATCAACATCATATCAGTGTCATACCACCATCATTAATTAAGTTATACACAATTATATTTATTTTGTTATATTTTGTCGAACATAAGACCTCATACCAAAATCATGTTAGTGTCATATCATCATATTATCACCATATCATAGTGATAATATCGTGATATGACATTGATAAGATGTCATCAAATTATTTTATCAAACATAAAAACTCATACCAACATCATATCAATATTATATCACTGTTATATCAACTTCATATCAATGTGATATCATACCACTCTCAATGGTAATATCATAATATGATAGTGGTATGATGACGTGAAAAAATTTTGCGCCAAAAATATCAAAATGAATATCATTTTTTAGAGCACAAAAAATGTGAATTTTTATGTATTTTTTTTTAATTCGATATAAAATGAATGCACTATGGTCCGTTAAATTTTCGTCGGAGACTTGAAAATGAACTTAACAGCCCCCAGAGAATAGCCCTCTATGATATGGAATATTAGATCTTATCTTCCCAAATCACAATCATTGGATTAGGTTTTGTAGAACTACAAAACTATTGGGTTGTATGCTAAACCAAGGTTTTTTTAATCCAAAATATTTTTACATGAATATCATCTTATAGAGTATATTTAATTTGATTCTTATTCAAAAATTTAATTTTTAAATTAGAACAAATTCATTTTGATTAACTAAAAAGTGAAAAGGGAGTGGATCCGGTTTAATGTTTTTATTTTTATTTATAGACATGAATTATGTGTTTGAGAGCACCTCTTCCACTAATATGGAAGGTTGTTTGGATCGACCTGCGGCTGATTCATTTTGTCCTTGATCTGGTGTGAAAAATGGGTGTCACACACATGCGGGTAGCCACGTAGCAAGATTCTTGAGTTGGAAATCATACATCGTTGTTTTTTCCTTTGATTTGTGAAATGCGCCTCTTTTCATTTTTCCACCTTCACCTAAACCTATCTTTATAAATTATAAGTTGAACATTCGAATATTAATGTTATATGAATGTGTTTGATTTTTCACTAATATTAGATCCAAGTACGAATTATTATTTTGGTGTAATCTTATAAGTTATTGATCGTATGTTAGATAAGATTGATATATTTTATTAATGTATAAACAATATAAATATATTTTCATATTCCTAGATAAACTGAATTAAACTAATCAAACCATTAACACTAAATTCATATACTCAATTGTACCAACGACATAGACCCGTTGACAACTTGATAATATGATTCGGATGCTTGCTGGAAATATGTAGAGGGTATAAGGTTCGTCAAATGACTCCGTCCAGTAATAAGTTTGTCATTATTTAATTAATTTAATTAAGTTTAACAAAAGACATAACACTCCTTCCGTGCTATGCGCACAATACAGGAAAAGTAGAATGATATGGGTTCTGCCGAGGAACCTCTTTATATGTTTGTGAGGACAACTATTTTAAAATTGTCACCGGATACATTTAATTTGTTAAGGATTTTTGATAGCATTATTAACGGTTTGCTATCAATTAAAAAATTTAAGCAAAACCTTGTTAACGTTTTTTATTATTATTTTTGAATGAAAAACATTCGTGTGTTTTTGACGAAATTGATGGTATTTGACACTTGATATTGAATCGACTAATTAGTCATGATTACAGGCTGGCTGTCAACAAATTTCAATTTCGTTATCAATGATTTGTTATTACATTTATTGTAATAATTCATAAATAATAAATCATAGAATATTTCTAACAACAACAGAACCCTAGAACTCCATTCGCGGCTTTCGAGCTACATTGCAATAATGTTACTAAGCAGGTGAGCTAAGCTCATTCATACACCTAAACTGTAAATCAGAAATCGCTTTGAAACACGGTAAAGGATCAAACATGGATCATCATCATCTATTCTCATACAGAAACGGAAAAGGAAGCTCATTTATACAGCAAGAAGAGCAGCAGCCAGCGCTAGAGTAATTGCAGAGCTCAATGATACATAATACCAACCCTTGAAGAAACTGTCACCATACTGCACGTAGAAAACAAAGAAGAAAAGGAACAGAAGCTTTCCATTAATGGGGAGAATGTAATCTGTTAATGGATGAAACTTGTGTTTTGTTCTCGTGGACAAGACTTCCCTTTTTCGAGTTGTGGCGAATTAAACCCCGCCCATACCAGAGTTTTGTTACTGCAGCTGTTGAGGGTGATCATCCAAGGCCAAGCATGGGTTCTGGAAAACAGAATCATAAAGCCACCTCTGCCTTCCTTCCATGGCAAAGAAAAGAAACAATATTCATTGCCTTCACTGAGATGCATTAGTAAGTATGGAACAAATGTAAGTGAGATGGAAAGGATCATTACTCAGACAGTTACAATCAACTTCGATCCTCAGAATCTTCTTGACACCAGGAGCTTTTGATGAACTACTGGATCATCCAACTGGACTGTGGATGAGAATATCAACAAGTTTCTTGAGTTGCACCAGCTCATAGACCAATGGACCCTCTTTCATGACTCTTGATATCAGGACCATTCAACAGCTTCTGGAGAATTGGATGATCCGACTGATTCTTGGGCAACAATTCTATTAGCAAAGTCATCGTGGTTGAATCGGCAGAGAAGCCTTTCGAAACCATCTCATGAATAAGATCGATTGCCTCAAGTGGATCCTTGTGGTGAAAGAAATCCATGAATGATCACGTTATAAGAGCTATTGTCTGGTAGACAACTATTTGCCTCCATTTTCCTGAACAAATCATATGCTTCATCCACAAAACCATGATGGCAAAGTCCATTGATTGCGATGGTATATGCGCGGGTATCAGGTTGCAAACAGTTGTTTCTAGAGAGCCTAGAAAACATTCAACCTCCTACTTTCTAATACTTGAAACAAAGCTAATGTGTCGTCAATTTTACCTCCTCGGCACAAGTCATCAAGCAAACTTGTGAATGTCACAATATCAGGTAAGCAACCCGGACCACTCATTTTCTTGAGAATTTGTAGTGCATCTTTAACCCTCCCAACTTGACAAAATCCATATATCATAGTATTATATATGACCGTACCCGGAACCAAATCCTTCTCAAGCATACTATTCAGTAACTGTTCTGCTTCATCCATCCTTTTAGTATTACAATATCCATGAATCATGATACTGTAACTGTAAACGTTAGGTTTGCACCCCCTATTGTCAATGAAATCAAATAGCTTTCTGGCTTTGTCTAATTCATTGCGCAAACAATACCCATCCACCAATGAATTGTAAGTGACGATATCCGGAAGCAGTCCTCTTCGAATTATCATTTTGAGTATAACTTTAGCTCCCAAAACATTTCCTTCCTTACAAAAAGCATCAACCAATATGTTATAGGTGAATGTATCAGGCATGACCTTCCTCTCTACCATTTTATCGAACAACTTCATAGCTTCATTGATTCTGCTTGACATGCATAAACCAGCAATCAAGCTATTGTAAGCAAACACATTTGGTTGAATCTTTTTCTCCTCCATCTCTGAAAACACACCTAAAGCTCTAGATACCATTCCATCATTACATAGGCTTCTAATGACCGTGCTATAACTAACCACATCAGGTTGACAACCTAACTCTTCCATGTTTTTGAGCAATTCAAGTCCAGCACTCGTTTGCCCTGCCTTACACAATCCATCTATAATTATGCTATAAGCGATAACATCCGGTTGATACCCCAAAATCCTGATCTTATGAACCAGCAGCCTTGCAGCCTCAATTACTTTTCCAACTTTACAGAGCCCGTCGATCAATGTATTGAGCATCACATCGTCGAATTGAATACCGAGTTTCAGAGCTTTGCTCAAAACTGAGTAGCCAAAATCCACTCGACCCAATTTACAGAAGCAACGAAGCATCATGCCAAGCGTGTAAAGATCGCGTGGGACTCCAGCTAATTCCATACGTTTAGAAGCATAGAAGGCAGCCTGGAAGGCCTTCATTCTAACAAGAGATGACACCAACTGACCAAATTTGACACCGGAAGGCCTGGGATTCATTTGGAGCATCCGATTAAATGAATCCAAGGCATCATCTACGCTAGCGAAAGTTACAGAATTGGAGGTCATAACTCATAGGAGTAGTTGAATTGGAGGCGAAGTAAGACGAGAGAGGAGCTGCGGAAGAAGAATAAGAATAGGGGGATTCAGTCATTACCGGCTCCGGCTTGTCTGCGCCAATGAAACCGATAGCAGTTGTTGAGGATCGCCGTCCTTGACATTGCAAGCTATTGAACTCTGCTGAACTGAAAGACAGCGACAACAAGAGGCTCTGGTAAGCAGCCAAACCCCGATGATCCAACCCAGCGTGAAAGATGCGAACATGGAACAGAACCCAGAACACAACCTAGAGAATAGGATGCACACCAGTAGTTTGCACTTTGCAGGGCTTCCAATTTCCATCGGCTAATTAGAGTATAAAACAGTTACGCACCTTTAATTTGTAACCATATAGTAATAAAGCGTTTGTATTTAGAACAAAACGGTCACAACATTAAATGGAGTGACCATTTCACAAGTTCAAACTTTTGTTACCCTACCTTTACAAATAAAACTTTTGGTTACCGTTTTGTACAACGTTCAAAGGTTTGAACGATCACTCGCTATTACAGTTAACTCCTGCCGAGGATAATGCTTTGTTAACTTATGTGAATGATACGATCGCAACAAATGATGATAGTACTCGTAAAAAAAAAAAAACAAAGATGACAATGAGGAAATTCAATGCTTCATGAACGGGTTACATCTTGCTTTTTAGTTGAAAAAATGTGAACTACTTTCTAATTAATTTTTGGATCGAAATTGAAAGGTAAATAGAGGGCATTCTTATTCGACAAAACAAGTATATCGATGAACACACGACCCAACATCTCATATGTCATTCAACTGATTAGTGTCATATACTTGAAGAACACACGATCTGATCTCAAAATGGTCACAAACTTTTAATTTGTAAGTTGTAACGACTCGGTAACAAACCTTTGCACTTAATACAAAACGGGTAAAAATCAAACAGAAGTGACCATTTCATACAATTTCAAATTTTTGTTACCATATCGCTATAAATTAGGCTAATTATCATAAATGGTCACAAAACTATTCACTTTGTACAAAACGGTCACAAACCTTTAATTTTGCACGTTTCAGTAACATATGTTTGGACTAATAACAAAAAGGTGATTCCGTCCATCTCCATCCAAAAAAACGTTATGTTAGTCTAGTCTAGTCAGCATGCTACGTCATTTAATATATTTATACAAAAATTAATAACCAAACCGAATTGAACCGATAACCAACCAACCGAAAACCCTAATTCTATACCACTCAAAAAATCTGTCACTTTCCCCGCCCGCCGTTGCTTGGTCCAGCCTTCTCGCAGGCCTCATCTACTCCGGCGTCGCCCCGCCTTCCTCTCAACCCGGCTATAACCTTCTCTGAAGCCGAATCGCCGTCGACCAACTGCTTCCATCTGACTAGATCCGGCAGAAGACGAATCCCCGGCCCTCTTCAGAAATTGACCTTGCCTTCAATTCCTCATTCGCAGGCTCTCCTAAATCCATTTTTTATTTTTCAGATAAGGGGAATTAAGGCCTGAACCCACTTTCATATTTCATCATCATTTTCTTCTAAGAAAATCACTTGTCAAGCTTCAAGAGACAATGCGGGTGCAACACCAGGCCTTATAACCCACCAACATTCATCTGTAAACATAAATGGTGGGTATGAATACTTTGCCATCTTCTTGTTCTTATACTCAAAGCCGGTTGCAGCTGCTGCAACGCTCTGGGTCTACAATTGAAGCCCAACAATTCTCCGGTTGCTGCCTTGCTAGTTCTAGCCTTCTAGGGATGAGCAATCGATTGCTTGTGGGCTTCCTCCGCAGGCGAGTTTTCTCCAGAGCGTTTCATTCGCGAGGTCGCCGAAACGCAAGGCCGCCGAGAATTTTCTTCTGCTGCAGGTCTCTTCGGGGAAGGGGATTAGGCGGTGGAAGAAGATAGGACAAAAGTGCACAGCGACCGTGTTTCTGTCTCCAACAATTCGGGTGGGTGGATATAGGATAGGGGTTTTCAGTTGGGTTATCGGTTCAATTGGATTTGGTCATTAGTTTTTTTATTAATATCTTAAATGATGTGGCGTGCTTACTAGATGGAAATAACGGTTTTTTTGGATGGAGATGGACGAAATTACCTTTTTGTTATTATTACAAACATATGTTACTGAAACGTGCAAAATTAAAGGTTTGTGACGATTTTGTACAAAGTTAATAGTTTTGTGACCATTTGTGATAATTACCCCTATAAATTAAAGGCTTGTGACCGTTTGTAATAAGTGTAAAGGTTTGTGACCGTTTATACTAATTAGTAATTACCCAATTTCCATCTGTTACATACTGACATAGTGACATTGGCTAGGGTATTCCTCAACCCGATTCATCCTTCTTGGGTTGGGCCAATGCGGTCAAAAACCTTTTCTTTTAGACTGTTACATTTTGTGACTGGATACTGATTAAAAGATTTATATTTGGGATTTTCAGGTCAATCAAAAGCTTATGAGATGAAAAGTGGTATGGTCCGACTAAGATTGTTATGTCGATTTTATTTGTTTTAGATGGGCTATAAGTACTTAAATATATTGGGATGAAAATATATTAAGTTGATCAATGTTTGTGAAATTGTACCATATCGATAGTTCGATTGAAAAATATGCTATTAAAATCCAAATCGGTATATGATTTTAGCCTCCTCCTTCTTTCTCACTAAGGAAGTGAACTAGAATTCACAGCTATTGAAGACGTGCTTGGCCTCTAGGATAAGAAAAGCAGGTATGCCAATGAGTTCAGATGGACCAAATCGGCTGACAGACATCGAAGAAGAAAGATTTCAGATGAGTTGCTTTGCTAGGTTTGTCTAAAAATGGAATTCGTTTTCTAGCTTATCAAATGGTTAAACTTTAATCGTAAAATACTCTATCATGACTTATCCGATACAATTTTGGTACGAGTTTACAATCTTTGACCTTGATTTGATTGGTGCGAAGATCTCTAGCCACTTAAAAAGATTATCTCGTATTGATCAAGTAGCAAACACTGTGAACAACCATTCCACATTTATATCCTATATCGAAAGTTCGACATAAATGAAGTATCAATCGGCTCTAACACCAAGTTAACCGCTAACTGCAATCCATACTCACCACAATGGATTAATCTCCTTCTATTTCCTAGGGTTGGTTTTGATAATTGGGGCTTTTCTCAACTTGAGTCCTTCTAGTTTTCTGATTTCAGATATATACTAAAACTTTACAAGGAAGGAGATTAACTAACAGCTGATAAACAGTAAAAGCCAAACTAACAAATAAATGCACCTCTAGTCGATTAACACCTGTCCACAATTAGTTATATCTACATTGATTAATCAAAACGACATAGCAGTTGTCTTCTTGTTCTCAACTGAAGGAAAAACGGGCCCGTTCTGAACCAAACACTAGTCTACAGATTAGCAGAGAACGGCATCGTTTTCTGGTGAGTTATGTTCTTCAATAGTCCAGAGCTCCACTGATCCTCCTTTGCAGCTGCAGTCAAACAAGATTCGCTACCGAGGAATCATCCCAAAGGTTTGCCAATCACTGTACCTACATCATGCTCAGCATCAGCCAAAATCACGTAGAAGATTTGATGCTCAGCATCGGCATTATCTCTAAACACATGAATAATGCATCAGACATGGATCATCATCTATTCTCATGCTAATTACAGACAGAAACTTACAGGGAACTTATTTACACAGCAAACGGAGAGAGCCAACAATATGCAGAACACTTGAATCAAGTTCTTTCTGATAATGTCAGGAAGCGTGGAAACACATATATGTAAGTGGGATGGCAAGGACCATGACACACAAAGAGGTCTTGATAAACTACAGGATCATGCAACTGGCCTTTGGATGAGAATTTCAGCAGGTTCCTTGGGTTGCAGCAGCTGATAGATCACTAGACACTATTTCGTGACTCTTGATATTAGGACCATTCAACAGCTTCTGGACAATTGGATGATCCAACTGATTCTTGGGCAACAATTCTATCAACAAAGACATCGTGGTTAAATCGGCTGAGAAACCTTTCGAAACCATCTCGTGAATGAGGTCCATTGCTTCAAGCGGATCCTTATGGTGAAGAAATCCATGAATAATCACATTATAAGAGCAATTGTCAGGTAGACATCTATCCCCCTCCATTTTCCTAAACAAATCATATGCTTCATCCACAAAACCATGATGGCAAAGTCCATTGATTGCGGTGGTATATGCGCGGGTATTAGGTTGCAAACAATTGTCTCTAGAGAGCCTAGAAAACAATTCCCTTGCCTCCTCTCCCCTCCCTGCTTTCCACAGTCCATCCAAAAGTATAGTGTATCCCACAACATCAGACTTCAACCTACTTTCTATTACTTGAAACAAAGCTAATGCGTCGTCAATTTTACCTCGTCGACACAAGTAATCAAGCAAACTATTGTATGTCATGATATCCGGGGAAAAACCCTCACCACTCATTTTCTTGAGAATTTGTAGTGCATCTTTAAGCCTCCCAACTTGACAAAATCCATTTATCATAGTACTATACGTGACCGTATCTGGAACCAAATCCTTCTCAAGCATACTATTCAATAACTGTTCTGCTTCACCCATCATTCCATTTTTACAATATCCATGAATCATGATATTGTACCCCTCAACATCAGGTTTGCACCCCCTATTGTCAATGAAATCAAATAGCTTTCTGGCTTTGTCTAATTCATTGCGCAAACGATACCCATTCATCAATGAATTGTAACTGACGTTATCTGGAAGCAGTCCTCTTTGAATCATCATTTTGAGTATAACTTTAGCTCCCAAAACATTTCCTTCCTTACAGAAAGCATCAACCAATATGTTATAGGTGAATGTATCAGGCATGATCTTCTTGTCTACCATTTTATTGAACAACTCCATAGCTTCATTGATTCTGCTTGAAATGCACAAACCATAAATCAAGCTATTGTAAGCAAACACATTTGGTTGAATCTTTTTCTCCTCCATCTCTGAAAACACATCTAAAGCTCTAGATACCATTCCATCATTGCATAGGCTTCTAATGACCGTGCTATAACTAACGACATCAGGTTGACAACCGAACTCCTTCATGTTTTCAAGCAATTCAAGTCCAGCATTCGTTTGCCCTATCTTACAAAGCCCATCTATAATAATGTTAAAAGTGAAAACATCCGGTTGATAACCCAAAATCCTAATTTTATGAACCAACCTTGCAGCCTCGATTACTTTCCCAACTTTACAGAGCCCGTCGATCAATGTATTGAGCATCACATCGTCGAATTGAATACCGAGTTTCTGAGCTTTGCTCAAAACTGAGTAGCCAAAATCCACTCGACCCAATTTACAGAAGCAACGAAGCAATATGCTAACTGTGTAACGATCGTGTGGTACTCCAGCTAATTCCATACGTTTAGAAGCATAGAAGGCAGCCTGGAAGGCCTTCATTCTAACAAGAGATGACACCAACTGACCAAATTTGACACCGGAAGGCCTGGGATTCATTTGGAGCATCCGATTAAATGAATCCAAGGCATCATCTACGCTAGCGAAAGTTACAGAATTGGAGGTCATAGGAGTAGTTGAATTGCGGGTCATAGCAGCAGAAGAATAAGGGAACTGAGTCATACCGGCTTTTCTTCGCCAATGAAATAGAGAGCAGTTTCGATGGATGATCCTAGCCATGCCGAGCTGCTGAACTGCTTTGAATTGAAAGCATTGAGAGACCCTGACAGCCATTAATAGATACTGCCAGCTCTTCGCCTATTTCGATAAGATAGCAAGCTCAATCATCCAAAATTAATTTCCACCGCGAACCCAGAATGAAAGATGCAAGCTTGACATCGAATCCGGAATCCAACCAGAAAACAGGACGGAAACACAAACAACTGTGACGCCGGCGGCGGCGCGGAGGCAAGAACGCTGAGACTTTGCGAAGCACTCAGCCAACGGTTCAGTTGCTGGATTGGCAACAGTGTCACCGGATGGCTTGCGTCCATTTTGAGATTGGGCTCATATCTATTGGGCTTGCTATTTTGCTATCTTCTTCCAGGCCTGCCTTCCTGTCCATATGTTTAAGAAAATGCTTAAACTTCTACCCAGATTTAACCAAACCGAACCATTTTCCAGTCTAGCTACAAAGAGTCAAAGACCATAGCTAATGGAGATTTCACTCTTCTTTTTTTCTTTCTTCTTCAGATTAGATGGTTGTGATGCCATGTAAGAAGATAACAAGCCCAATATATAAGAAGAATAAGGCTGCAGTGGGAACCAGAGATGGAGGAGGCGATGGCAGTCGATTTTGGAGTGGAGATGGAGGGGCGTTATCATTTCTCTCCAGCTGCTATCCAAACAGATTGCCAGGTGTTGGAGAAGATGCTTCGTGGAGATAGCCAATCCAAGCTAGAAGTGGGCCAGGTCTGTGAGGAGATAAGACAAAGAGCAAATGGGCTTGGCTCCTTTATTTAGTGTTTTGTGAACATAAGTCTGAATGAGTCAGCCCATTTCTTAGCTCACAAAGAGTGCGATTGGGAGAGGGAAGAGATCTGGCTTTCCTTGTACCCCTCTTACTGAAAGATGGGGTTGTTGATGATTCTTCACATTAAGTAATAATAATAGCAGATGGTTTCTAAAAAAAAAATTATAGTAGTGGCCTTTTTTTCTTTTACTACCTAGGGCTAGTTTAGTAATTGGGGCTTTTTCATTAAGTCGCTTATAGATAGGGATAACAATTTTGACTTGACTCATCTTATTATTCGACATGTTTAACCTGTTTTGGAATAGATAATACCTACTTCACAGGAGAGGCAAGATAGACAAGGGTACTCTACTCGAGCTGACCCCCTGACGTGCCCATTCCATTTCAAGTGTTTCTCAAATTTTCATGAAAAATTAATGTTTCAAGTGTTTTCCCCCTCGTTTTATAGCTCTTGCTTGGCAATTTGCCAAGCTTGTGGAAACCACAAGCTTGGCAAATGTACAGATATAGGCTGTAGTATCTACTATCCTAGCTAGCTACTACTGTAATTCCTTACAATGTGATAGAAACCAACTTCCGTTCGGTTTCTATCATTATTAGTTTCTATCATTATTATTATATTAGAGTAATTAGTCTTTTAGTTGTATTAGGTTAATTGTTAGGGTTTTATGGTTCTTTCCTATATATGTACGTTGTTATTTGTCTATTCAATCAATAAGAAGAATATTAAGAAAACCCTCCTAAACCCTATTCTCTCAATCCTATCAATTCTCGTTCCCAATCCCTCTAAAGGCCTAGGCCGATTCCCTATCTTTCTCTTCTCAAATCCCTAATTCTGTTCGTATAAACCCTAATCCCCAAATATCAAACCCAATAATTTGGTATCAGAGCCCTCATGAGTTCTTCGAAACTCAGTGATCCAGCATGGGTCCGGTGAAACTGTTGCCAATCCAGGCATCCAGCAACTGAACCGTTGGCTGAGTGCTTCGCAAAGTCTCAGCGTTTGCCTCCGCGCCGCCGCCGGCTTGTTTGTGTTTACGTCCTGTTTCCTGGTTGGATTCCGGATTCGATGTCAAGCTCGCATCTTTCGTTCTGGGTTCGCGGTGGAAATTAATTTTGGATGATTGAGCTTGCTATCTTATCGGAATAGGCCAAGAGCTGGCAGTATCTTTTAATGGCTGTCAGGGTCGCTCATTGTGAATGCTTTCAATTCAAAGCAGTTCAGCAGCTCGGCATGGCTAGGATCAACCATCGAAACTGCTCTCTATTTCATTGGCGAAGAAGAAAAACCGGTATGACTCAGTTCCCTTATTCTTCTGCTGGTATGACCTGCAATTCAACTACTCCTATGACCTCCAATTCTGTAACTTTCGGTAGCGTAGATGATGCCTTGGATTCATTTAATCGGATGCTCCAAATGAATCCCAGACCTTCCGGTGTCAAATTTGGTCAGTTGGTGTCTTCTCTTGTAAGAATGAAGGCCTTCCAGGCTGTCTTCTATGCTTCTAAACGAATGGAACTAGCTGGAGTCCCACACGATCGTTACACAGTTAGCATATTGCTTCGTTGCTTCTGTAAATTGGGTCGAGTAGATTTTGGCTACTCAGTTTTGAGCAAAGCTTTGAAACTCGGTATTCAATTCAATGATGTGATGCTCGGTACATTGATTGACGGGCTCTGTAAAGTTGGGGAAGTAGTCGAGGCTGCAAGGTTGGTTCATAAGATTAGGATTTTGGGTTATCAACCGGATGTTTTCACTTATAGCATAATTATAGATGGACTTTGTAAGATACGGCAAACAAATGCTGGACTTGAATTGCTCGAAAACTTGAAGGAGTTCGGTTGTCAACCTAATGTCGTTAGTTACAATACAATCATCGACGGCCTTTGCAAGAGTGGGTTGGTATCGAAAGCTTTAGATGTGTTTTCAGAGATGGAGGATAGAAAAACTCAGCCAAATGTTATTACTTACAATAGCTTGATTTATGGTTTATGCACTTCAAGCTCAAGGAACAAAGCTATGATGTTGTTGAATGAAATGGCAGACAGGAAGATCATGCCTGATACATTCACCTATTCCATATTAGTAGATTCCTTCTGTAAGGAAGGAAATGTTGTGGGGTACAATATACTTATGGATGGGTTGTGGAAAGCTGGCAGGGAAAAGGAAGCAAGGGAAATGTTTTCTAGGCTCTCTAGAGAGAACTGTTTGCAACCTGATACCCGGACATATAACATTACAATTAATGGACTTTGCAGACAACGTTTTGTGGATGAAGCATATGAATTGTTTAGGAAAATGGAGGCAGAAGATAGTTGTGTACCAGATAATTGCTCTTATAATGTGATCATTCATGGATTTCTTCGCCATAAGGATCCACTTGAAGCAATGGACCTCATTCTTGAGATGGTTTCTAAAGGTTTCTCAGCTGATGCAACCACGATGTCTGTGCTATTAGAAATGTTGCCCAAGAATCAGTTGGATCATCCAATTTTGCAGAAGCTGTTGAATAGTCCTGATACCAAGAGTCATAAAATAGGGTCTAGTGGTCTATCAGCTGCTGCAACTCAAGGAACTTGCTAATATTCTCATCCAAAGGCCAGTTGCATGATCCTGTAGTTTATCAAAATCTCTTTGCGTGTCGCGATCCTTGCCATTCCACTTACATATGTGTTTCCATGCTTTCTGATATTATTAGAAAGAACTTGATTCAAGGGTTCTGCATATTTGCTGGTTCTCTCTGTTTGCTGTGTAAATGAGTTCCCTGTACGTTTCTGTCTGTACTTAGCATGAGAATAGATGATGATCCATGTCTGATGCATTAGTCATGTGTGTAGAAGCTATTTGTGATTGTTGTTCAGAGATATGAATTAACTTAGCTCGCTTGTTTAGTAACATAACTACATATTTGCCCCAAATCCCTTGAATGGAACTCTGGGGTTCTGCTATTGTCAAGAAGAATCAATGCCTTTGGTTATCCATTTTTCACTCAAGTCCTCTGAATATGATAGTGATCAGCCTTCCATCCCTCTAGAAAGGAAGCTTGTGTTAGTAAGAAGGTATGACTTCGATCACAGTTCAAATACTGATCTAGTCTTAGTAAGAAATTAGTCCAAATGAGCTCTTTGTAATGAATGAAAGAATTTATATAAGTTGAGAAGTACAGAATGTTTTACGCATAGTTATTCAATGCAACACTTTCTTAAAGGTACCAGGCAGAGGCTGGCTCGTTGTCGTCCGGAGAGGACGACTCAATTCTGTTAGCAGTACTGGAGCTATGAATATGGAGTGATGATGCAGATGAGAGTAGGAGACTACTAGTTTGTAGCCGAGGGAGCTAATGGACAGTAGTTTGTTTATAGCTGTGCTAAGGCTTTGAGTTTCTGGAAATGCTGCAGAATTGGGATCCTGGTCGCCGCTCATGTCCTGTTCTTATGAATGTAAGACAGTTTAGGTTTTAGTGTCTTCTTTGTTATTGTTGTTGTTTGCTTGCCTGTGTCTGGCATAGGTTTACAAAGGAGAACTCGGTGAAGGCAAGGGGAAGTTTGTGTCTTCAGAGTGCATTTCAAGGTGACCTAATGTTTATGTCCTGCTGAAAGTCACAATTGTAAGAGAATGTGTTTAATTAGAATCTGCTTGTTGTTTGTTGTATTCTTTGGAAGGCTGTTCCATTTTATGCTTTTGCTTGTGTGGAAATTTTGCACCAGGGAAGAAAACTTATTAATGCTTCCTGAGGATGCATGACTTTTGTTTGCCAGCCAGCTGCCATATGAATTTGGGCGGGAACAATAGTTCTGGTCAAATTTGTTTATCTGCTCTAATAAGCTGGATTTGGAACAGAAGAGCAGCAAAGGGTTCATCTCGATCCTTGGATGATCATATCAACAACAAACCATTGGTCCATAATATGGGTATCACCATGGTCTCCCAGATTTCCCAGAATTAGAAATAGCTTAAACCTGACACCCAAATACCTCCTTTAACCGTTTTCAGCAAAGAGAAAGAGAAAGCAAGCAGTTCCCAACTACATCAGGCAGCCTGTTAGACATTCAATTCAGACGTCAGACTAGCCCATTTTCTTTTCCTCTCTCTGTCTTGCCTCTTTCAAGGTTTTCTCCTTTCTAGGGATGGCAATGGGGCGGGTTTGCCTAAACCATCCCCATCCCCATCTTCAAATACCGAAACCCATACCCGCCCCATATCCATGCGGGGAAATGTTTTGCAAACCCATCCCCATACCCGTGGGTTTCGGATACCCATGTAATACTCATACCCGTACATCCAACATTATTATACCTAAAACTTATCAGAAAAGTTTTAATTATAACTCTAAACGAACATATTATATCATGAAGTCAACAAAACACAGTCATTTTTTTAATATGGTTCAAAGAATACGATCATAAAATATCCATTAATACATAATATAGAGTATAATATTTTTCAAATTATTATGTTCTAACTTTGATACATCTACTAAGTAATAATTAACTAACATAATATTGTTGACAAGGGGGAAAGTGAAAGAGTGAAATGAGAATTGAGAGAAATGAGTTAGGTTTTGATTAAGATAGTCACTCAATTGCATTTCTACTATTTATTTTCTCAAGTTATCCTCATCATCATTGATAGATTATAATTTGATGCACATATTTTTTTTATATATGAAGAAATTCTCTTGGTGGGGCGGGTATGGGTATGGGTATGGGTATGGGGCGGGGGAGGCTAAAACCAAAGCCGCCCCATACCCATCAAACTTTTTGTGGGTTTTACCCATACCCGCCCCATACCCGGTCAAAGCGGGGATTCCCCGCGTTGACTGGGTCGGGGGCGGTCGGATACCCGCGGCCATGGGTTTGATTGTCATCCCTACTCCTTTCCCTTCTTCAAACCCTACAAAGCAGCAAGTGTTTATTCTCCTCCAGAGTTTGAGATCTGTTGCTGCCTAAAAACCAACCTCAAACATGGCCTATTTCCTCAAGCATTTACTCTACCCGATTAGATCAGATTCGACCAGGCTTGAAGTTTGCATAGGTCTAAAGACAAGAATACCATGTGCTTAAGAAATGGGGGTCACCGGGAATCAAACACAAGACCTCTCGATCACAAAAAGCTCTGATACCATGTCAAGACAAGTTAGTCCCAATAACTCGAGTTGTTGAGAGAGGTTCAATCGTGAATCATATACCACAAACACTAACATACCTCGTACTCCATTGTGCCTTCCCATTAGCTTGTAGCCAACGACGTCCAATGTTTTAGCTTGTCTATAACTCTATACTAGCTTTGAACCCGGCCAGTTGGCCGGTAGGCGAATTTTTACCGATAAGATAATTAATTTGATTTATACTCAACGATAGTGTTTTAGACATGCATGAATCTGTTATGCATTATGGGTAGAAAACTGAATCATATTTGTATAGTTTAGTAACACTGTAAAATTTGAACTTGCTCCATGAGTTATGATGGTATATGCGTCAATCCTGTATGGAGGTACAAAACTTAGTGATATTGATGTTTCTAGTAATTTTGTTAAATAGGGACATGGTTCGTATACTCGTGCTCGTGAGCCATGGTCTTATTATTTAATTTTTAACATATATCAAAATGAATATCGTTATATAGCTTACATAAAATATGATTTATATGTCCAAAATATCCAAATTCACTTTGAAACGAAAGAAACGCGGGTCAATTAAAAATGATAGAAAAACTGAAAGGAAGACCTAACACACTCTCATGGGATGACAAAAATAAAAAAAATTTAAAAACTAAATAAAAAATTAAACTACATGTTAAGCTTAACTTCCACACTTTTATGCTCTCCTTTAAATTCTATGCATTGTGCATCGTTTTGAATAAAAAAAACTGCACTGAATTTAGGCTGTTAAATTTAGAAGAAAAAATTGACAAAAATGCTCAATCACTAGTTGTCATATTTAACTTTTTATTGATTTTACTTGATCTCAAATTATTCCTTAATTGAGGATTGTCTTAAATAAATTTTTAGTCTGTAATTCTACTTTTATGACTCTTAGTACATAGCGCTATTACATAGTGTATATTTAAATATGAGATTTTCTCATTTTGTTTATAATGTTATGCTTTATGTAAATTGTAGTGAGATTGGATTGAGATAGGTTACATATATGCATATTTCCTTTGCTTTCAATAATACTCTACTTTCTATGCATATTTTGTTAAACAATTGGCATAAATCGATTGTATCCTGGTAGGGTCATTTCACTTACTAAATCAACATCACGGTGTAAATCGGTTTGACAATCTTGTATAAGATTCCTAATTAAAATAGTTTAGTACCAACGTGTCCATTATTATAAAATTACCGGATAAAATTAGATAATAATATAAGAAAAATACACATGGATAAATAAAAGAGAGATTATGTGGTTTGGCCAAAGAAAAAACAAAGATAACATGTGGAAGTAAACATGACAAATAATGAAAGCAAGAACTAACTTAAATGGTTAGGGAAAAAAACTGCCGGTTTTCTATATAAAAAAACTGCGGTTAAATAATTCGGCAATAACTGTCCTATAGCAAAAAATTAGGGAAAAAACAGTTTTTTTTTTTTATGGTTAGGGAAAAAACAGTTTCGTTGGTTGTGAAAAAAATAAAAAATGATTATAATTAGTTGCTGATGTGGAAGCATGAGAAAATGAGAAATTCAAAATGGTGAAAGCCTTTTTGAGAAAGTGTATTATATATTCTTTAGATTAGATAGATTTAGATAGAATATCACCATCGCCAATGTATTTTAGATACCTATACTCCATCCAATATAGAATATATCACATTCCCCAATGTATTTCAGATACCTGTACACTCCATCCAAAAACGAATATAACAACGACGATCAAGACAACACTAATGAAACAAACCAGGATGAAAAGAACAAAGCTAAGTCACGCCAGTCCTGCCTAGCTAGCTAGCTACTACTTCATCTTGTTCACAAAACCCTCGGCTTTTCCTCCCGGCCGCCGCTCCGCCTGTCCCCACGCTTCCCAACGCCTAGCACCACCGCCGCCACCGCTCCTATATATATATATGCTAACCATCAACTAGAAGAAGGGAATTAAAAGAAAAGAGAAATGGCGTCAGCGTCAATATCAGCTTTTCTGCTAACAAATATTGTTACCATTTTGTTAATTATGACCGCCACTACGACGACGTTTGTTTCAAGCTACAAAGACAGCAGCCCGGCATGCCTTCCCCCGGGGGACAAGGAAGTCTTCAACTACCAATGCAGCGTCGCGACGCTGCCCGGCGGCGTGCAGGAGGGCCTGCTGGGATTCATCGACGGCGACAAGCTGGTCAACCCCGACACCGACGTCTGCACCGGCGACACCGTGTCGGGGACGGCGTTCACCGTCTACGTCGGGTGCAACCGCAAGTTCCCCACCGACCCGTGCAAGGACTGCGTGAACGGCGCGCGCACCGTCATGAGGAAGCACTGTCCCGACGCCGCGGGGGCTCAGGCCGCCGCCAGGCACTGCTGTGTTCGCTACGAGACGTACAAGTTCTGTACGTGAAAACGTGAGGGGGATTAATTAATTAACCTGTCTTTGCGTACGTATGCGTCGTCTGTCACGTTATACCTCGGTTGATACTCGCATAATAAAATGCTATTTTGTTTCGTTCTGTAATCTGGGTGGTATATATATATGGTTTTTTTAATTATATATTTTACTTGTAATTATAAGGGATTCGAATATTACATCTTTGGGTTGAAAACTAGTGGTAATACCATTAGTTCAAGTCATTAATAGGAATGGTAACAAAATCCGGATTTACGGGTATCCTACCTGATCCAATCCGATTAAAGCAGGTAAAATCCGTGTTATTGTTCAGCGGGTTGGGTTTTGGTATAAGTATATCCTACCCATGTATATCCGGATATCCCACTCATATTCTCGTAACCCGTTGATTAAACGTGTTGTTCGTGGCTGTTTATCTTTACGAATCCAAACTTTCACAAATTCCGTCGTCGTCATCATCATCTCATCGTATCCAAACTTGTATAACCTAATTAGACTAATTTTGGCCGGAGTGGCCGGAGGAAGAGCCGAGGGGTTGTGAACAAGAAGTAGTAGGTAGGACTGACTTGAATTGTTCCATTTCTCACGGATTGAGGTTTAATGGTCGGATTGAGTTCAATAAGTTCAAGTCGGTTTTAAATTGTAGGAACTTCAACGAGGGGAAATCTCGTACTGATCGAGTAAATGAGAGGGGAGGGATGAGTTGATGATGAGTTGCGAGCTTATGGACTTTACCTCGTCATTCAAATTGGCGGAACCTAATTCCGAGAGATCCGTCCGTGGTAACTACAAATTTGAGTTAAAAAAGGGCCCTGGATCAAGGATGTCAAACCGAGTTACGCCATCAAACCTGTTTGACAAGTGGTTTGAAGTTTAATGGTCGGATCAAATTCAATAAATTCAAGTTGATTCTACTAATCTAATGTGATAAAATGTTTCATACCAAATAAATTGGGTATATATTTGACATCTTTCAAAACATTCTAATTAATCTACATTCATGTGTTATATAAATAAATATATTACAAAATTATCAATCCCATCTTAAAAACCGGTTTGACTGGTCAGACCATCCGATTTTACGTCGTATCAACCTCAAGGGGAGTTTCAATAAGCTTTTGAGCAAAGTCCTAATACAAAGACTCAAGCTGGTTCTACCTATATTGGTGATCTCCATTAATCAACAAGCCTCGGTTCAAGGCAGTCGAATATCGGAGGCCGTCCTGATTGCTAATAAGTTGATGGATAGTAGGAGGAGTGAAAGGCGAGGTCTTATGTTCAAATTGGACATTGAGAAGACATTTGATAAGGTCAACTAAGAGATTGTCTGTTTAGGATGTTGACAATCTGGGTTTTCCTTCAATTTGACAGCAATGGATTCGTGACGTTATGTGCTCTCCGGTGATTGAGGTTCGCCATCGTCGGAGACAGCGGATTCAACAGCTGGGTGCTTGAATCATGGGTTGCCTTTCGGTGGAGGAGAAGATGGACAATATCACTGTTTGTCGTCTCCCGACGACAGGGAGACGACAGCAAGCCAGCCTCTCTGCATATAAAGGTGTTGAGTTGTATGACAGGTTATCTCAGATTGGAGAATAACTATGCGCAATGCATATTGTACTTCTCAGCTTATATAAATTTTTTCATTCTTTACAAAGAGCTCATTTGGATTCGTTTCTAGATGCATTATGGACAAAAATCCGCCTCGTCTGACATATATGCATACTACTGGCACAAAAATTCCAATCTATAGCAGAAGAGAAGACTAAGACTAGATCAGTAATTGAACTGTGGTCAAGGTCATACCTTCTTTCTAACACAAGCTTGTCTTTCCAGAGGGATGGAAGGCTGATCACTATCCCATTGAGAGGGCTGAAGTACAAAATGGGTAACCAAAAGCAATGCTTCTTCTTGACAACAGCAGAACCATGGAGTTCCATTCAAGGGATCTGGGGCAAATATGTAGTTATGTTACTAAACAAGCGGAGCTAAATTAAGTCTCTACACAATAATCACAAATAAACAAGGGACACACATGACTAATGCATCAGACATGGATCATCATCTATTCTCATGCTAATTACAGACAGAAACTTACAGGGAACTTATTTACACAGCAAACGGAGAGAGCCAACAATATGCAGAACACTTGAATCAAGTTCTTTCTGATAATGTCAGGAAGCGTGGAAACACATATATGTAAGTGGGATGGCAAGGACCATGACACACAAAGAGGTCTTGATAAACTACAGGATCATGCAACTGGCCTTTGGATGAGAATTTCAGCAGGTTCCTTGGGTTGCAGCAGCTGATAGATCACTAGACACTATTTCGTGACTCTTGATATTAGGACCATTCAATAGCTTCTGGACAATTGGATGATCCAACTGATTCTTGGGCAACAATTCTATCAGCAAAGACATAGTGGTTACATCGGCTGAGAAACCTTTCGAAACCATCTCATGAATAAGATCGATGGCCTCAAGTGGATCCTTGCGGTGAAGAAATCCATGAATGATCACGTTATAAGAGCTACTATCTGGTAGACAACTATTTGCCTCCATTTTCCTGAACAAATCATATGCTTCATCCACAAAACCATGATGGCAAAGTCCATTGATTGCGATGGTATATGTGCGGATATTAGGTTGCAAACAATTGTCTCTAGAGAGCCTGGAAAATATTTCCCTTGCTTCCTTTTCCCTGCCTGCTTTCCACAACCTGTCCATAAGTATATTGTACCCCGCAACATCAGACTTCAACCTAGTTTCTGTTGCTTGAAACAAATCTAATGCCTCGTCAATTCTACCTCGTCGACACAATTCGTCAAGCAAACTTCTGAATGTCACAATATTTGGTAAGCAACCCGGACCACTCATTTTCTTGAGAATTTGTTGTGCGTCTTTAAGCCTCCCCGCTTGACAAAATCCATTTATCATAGTAGTATACGTGATCGTATTCGGAATCAAATCCTTCTCAATCATACTATTCAGTAACTGTTCTGCTTCACCCATCCTTTTAGTATTACAATATCCATGAATCATGATACTGTAACTGTAAACGTCAGGTTTGCACCCCCTGTTGGCAATGAAATCAAATAGCTTTCTAGCTTTGTCTAATTCATTGCGCAAACAATACCCATCAATCAATGAATTGTAAGTGATGATATCCGGAAGCAATCCTCTTTGAATCATCATTTTGAGTATAACTTTAGCTCCCAAAACATTTCCTATCTTACAGAAAGCATCAACCAATATGTTATAGGTGACTGTACTAGGCATGATATTCTTGCCTACCATTTTATCAAACAACTTCATAGCTTCATTGATTGTGCTTGACATGCATAAACCAGCAATCAAACTATTGTAAGAAACCACATTTGGTTGAATCTTGTTATCCTTCATCTCTGAAAACACATCTAAAGCTTTCGATATCATTCCATCGTTACAAAGGCTACTAATGACTGTGTTATAACTAACCACATCAGGTTGACAACCGAACTCCTTCATGTTTTTGAGCAATTCAAGTCCAGCACTCGTTTTCCCTACCTTACACAATCCATCTATAATTATGTTATAACAGTGCACATTCGGTTGATACCCCAAAATCCTAAACTTATGAACCAACCTTGCAGCCTTGATTACTTCCCCAACTTTACATAGCCCGTCAATCAGTGTACCGAGCATCACATCATTGAATTGAAAGCCGAGTTTCAGAGCTTTGCTCAAAACTGAGTAGCCAAAATCCACACGACCCAATTTGCAGAAGCAACGAAGCATCATGCTAAGTGTGTAACTATCGTGTGGGACTCCAGCTAATTCCATTTGTTTAGACGCATAGAAGGCAGCCTGGAAGGCGTTCATTCTCATAAGAGAATTTACCAACTGACCAAATTTCACAACCGAGGGTCTGGGGTTCATGTGGAGCATCCTATTAAATGATTCCAGGGCATCATCTACGCTTGCGAAAGTTACAGAATTGGAGGTAATAGGAGTAGTTGAATTGGAGGCGAAGTAAGACGAGAGAGTAGCAGCAGAAGAATAAGGGAATTCAGTCATACCGGTTTTTCTTCGCAAATGAAACAGAGAGCAGTTTGGATGGATGATCCTAGCCATGCCGAGCTGCTGAACTGGGTTGAATTGAAAGAACTGGCAATGAGACACCCTGACAGTGACAGCCATCAATAGATACTACCAGCTCAACACCATAGAAAGCTCTATCAGCCAAAATGTCTGTCTCGCCTGCGAACCCAGAATAAATGCTGAACCCAGAATGAAAGATGCGAACTTGAAATCGAATCCGGAACCCAACACTGAAACACAAATAACTGTGTAGCCTGCGGCGGCACTCAGGGCATCAAGGTTGAGACTTTGAGGGAAGCACTCAGTCGACGGTTCAGTGGTTTGCTGGATCCCGACAGAGCAGTGCCTGGAATCGATTACCAAGCTCGATCTCTGCTTTGGGCTCGGGTTATTTGTCTCACGGGATACCAATCGGCCTTTTGGTATTGGGCTTGGTATTTCGGCGCTACTTCTTCTTTGGCATCACACCAAAAGAAAATCACATGCAATGCAAGGTGAAAAGAACTTCATCATCCAAGCAACTGGGTAAGCTAATGAATAGAGTTCAATGGAACTCAAAGCTTGAAGCGAGGGTTGTCTTTCCGTGAGGGGAAAGAGACATGGTAGTCTTAGCATAATTTCCTCATAATTGACAACCTGAGCTCAATGAGTCATCATGTTAGTTAAACCAACTCGCAAGTCTATCGAACTGATCAATACGCAACTCGTACTTGATCTCTTTAGCATCAGGCCTAGTTAACAAACTAACGTGAACCCCCATAATAATCCTAGTACGTTTATTCGACCTTTTTACGACACATTGGACCAAGTCAACAACGAGTCAAATATGCAGACACTAATTCAACCATATAGCCCTCGACCCCATCGTCTCGTCAGGGAAATAAGTCAAGCAAGAAGAGCGGACACAACAGAAGATCATTTCAACGTTCATATCCATCCCTGTTTTATGTTTATATCAAAATTTTACATGTCTGGTCTTGCATCCACAGTGTACCAAATGTCTGATCCATCACAAGGTGATCTGGATACACTTCAACAAACACACAGATAAATCAGGAGCCTCTATCGTTTAAACACTAGACCGCGCCAACTAACCAAGTAGAGAAACACTCATCCTGCTCATCTTGATTGGTTTTCCGAATTTCATGGCTCTTTCACAGTAACCTCACTATTCAGTAATGACATAATAACAAGGTAGCAAGGGATCCGTGCCTTTCTTCACACCTTCTTGATAATCTGCACCACGTCTTCATCCTCCAGCTCGTGCTCCTGTAATTCCGCAAGAATCAAAGTCAAGCCTCGCGAGCATGCAAACTAAAAAAAGAACTTGTTTGGTGGAATGAGGAGCAGCTCGGCAGAAATGTGTACCTTTCCAACTCTTTGTGGCTTGTGCTTGGCGCTGGATCCCCATACTAATGCACTGCAATAATGGCAAACCATGTTAAATGACGAAAACATATGGGCGACGGGAAACTTAAAACAAGTACTATTTGCCTAAACAGAAGATCCATGATTACAGCTACCTGTTCACCCGGGTGTAATTGTGTTAAGGGTACAAAAAGGGAACTTCACAATGAAGAATGAGAACTACATGGAACCCATCCGCTCCCCACAAAAGCACGGTTTGCAGCAAGTGTTTTATTTTCATGGTAAATTATGTCTAAAATAAAAAAGTGAATTGACAAGATACTCACTACTTGAACTGTTTAGACATATCCTTGTGAATCTGGTTGCAAAAGTCCTCCACGGTCCGCTTTTTTGATGAGAGGATCACTGGGTCTTCATAATCTGGGTTCATCCCTTTGGGCTTTGTGTATATGCGAGTGAGATCTAGATACTCCCATATCTTGTCCAGCAACCCATCAAGGTTCCATTCTAGGTGAGCACTGTCCAGCAAAATGAGCAAGAAAGAAAACCCCACCAAATAAATTTGAGGACAAGAATTTTGGACAAAACATAAGATTTGGTGCAGAAATTCATAAACCAAATCCAACATCATAGCAATCCCTTGATGTTTCACCTCTAATAGCACTAAACCTATCTTAGTATTTAAAAGAGCAGTTAGGCAAGATATCCAATTCTTAGCCATAGAACGCTACAATCCCGTGCATCAGTCAAGTTTAAGATGTTCAAGGCCGGTAATACGAGAATATCCAGTCTTATCATACAACCAGAATGAAGCATAATGAAAAACGGAAAAAAGAAAAGTTAGGCAGCAGGGAAATAAAATTTCACCTGATTGGGCAATAGTGAGGAAGTTTATCCAAAATCTCGAGCTCTTCAAGAGTGATCTGATCGATTTTGTTCAGGGCATAGACACATGGAATATATACCCTACTGCCCTCAATGACGTCTATCAGATCATCAGCCGTTGCATCAAACCTCAAAGTAACATCAGCATTGTGAATTCGGTACTCGCTGCATATTGCCTTTACGGTTTCAAGATCAAGATGTGTGTTGGTAACTGTTGATGTGAAATTAATCCCACCCTTATCCTTCTTTCTGAATGTCAAATTAGGTGGCTCCTTGTTTAACCTGTTTTACAAAGGACAAAAGAGCTTTTCATGATGTTATTCATTTGCCAAAGAGGATTGATATAGCAAGACCGTTGTATATAGCTGTTTCCCTCTCCTAGACAACTACAGAGTGAAGATCCCACATGCATCCATAGAAGTTGCAATACCAGAATCTTTGGAGCAAAAAAGTGGTAACTAGTCCCTATCTAGGAACTTCAAATTTAAACAAACATACAAAAACATACATAAGAGACCAATGGTACTTTGTTATTACCTTATCCCAAAACCTTCAAGCTCTTTTTCAATAAGACGTTTATGAGTTATTGGCTTAATTGCATCAAGTACAATTATGATACAATTGCATGTCCTGGCAGTACTTATCACCTGCATTTCACTTGCAGCTTCACATTACTCATCCAGGTGGTACCATATATAAAAATGAGAGCCAACAGTACATAAAGTAGAAGTCCCAAAAGAAAGTTGAGTGCAAAATGTAGAAGTGTGAATTGACTACAACCAATCATCAGGGGATTATAACTAAACAATGGAATAATAATGCCCTTGAGACTAGAGGAACAACCTTTAAATAAAACAGAAGGCAACACTCAAAGCTCTGCTTGGGTTGTTGATTCGCGAAGGGTATCACAACCTAACTACAAACTACAAAGACTACAGCATACACCCCAAAGTACATCTTTGTCCATAAACATGATAGTGCAATACACTGTACACTCTCAACATCATATTCACTATCAACATCTACCATTAAACACTATAAGCGGCCTATGCTTTAAAGAAAAATGCTTAGTTAACGAACATTATATCACATAGAGAAGAGTAACGTGTACTGAAAAAAAAAAAAAAAAAGATAAACGCAGCTACCCGTACAATCAACACAAATGACTGAACGAGGGTATCAGTTAGATAAACTAGGAGAAAAATGTTTACCTGTCTTCCTCGACCCTTTCCATCCTTAGCACCCTCAATAATACCAGGGAGATCCAGCAACTGAAATAACCAATAACAGGTGTAGTTTCATCCTCTTTGTTATTTTTTACAAAGAAAGCAATAGAAAAAAACAGGGGAAAGATAGGGGAAAACAAAAACAAAAAGAAGAAAGAAACACAGTGGATCTTCCAGGCAAGGTGACCCTCAGAGAGCTGAAGGTCATATTTGGATTAGATGCGGGGAAAAATACAACAATGTTACAGGCATGCTATTCTGAATAGGTAAAGACTCCCTACAGCTATTCTAGCCAAAACAAACTGATCTGGGTGGACGATGTACCAGGCAAAGTACCCCAATTGCTGACCACATGAAGATTACACTACTTAAGGTCATAACTCATTCCCAGATATATGAATCTTAATATTCGACAACACTGTAGAAAGTAATGTACCTGAATCTTCGCTCCCCTATACACGATAACACCAGGGATGCAAGTCAAAGTAGTAAATTCATAGGAAGCAACCTGAAGGTGATAAAATTGGATGGAATGTCAGCCTCTGGAAAGTTCACTGGTTTCCTGACAAGAAAAATGCATTCTGAATGGAAAGTAACACGAATTACACCGTACCTCTGAAAAAGTCCCAGTTAATTTGTTTAGAAGGGTAGATTTCCCGACTGAAGGAAACCCCACGAGACCAACTCTGGCATCTCCACTTTTAGTCACATCAAAACCTTGTCCAGCACCACCACCTCCTTTGGATGGAGGCTCAAGTAGCTCTCTGCGGAGCTTTGCTAGCTTAGCCTGAAAATCAACATACAGAAGGAGTACGGCATAAACTACATCAAACTCTTAAAACAATTCGGACAGGACAAAGGAAGAAGAATATTAAAAAACGTAGTAACCCTATGAGACCACGATCTGCTAGGAGTCAGTAAAGTAAAGCAAATGAGAATACAAGTCTAACAACTCAAACGCATGCCGAGGAAGTTACTAGATCACAGAGAAAAGAACCACAGTCCATCAACAGCTGAAATGTACGAGGTCTAACAGTTAAACGAACAATGAATCCAAGATACAAACTTCATTTCTGTGTCCAGCTCTTAAGTACAAAGGAATGAGATATAAAGTACAATAAACAGACACAAAAGCTCCATTCTTCCACAGGAAACACCCACCAGCAAAACCGCAGTGATGAAGAATCATTTCAGCTTGTTCTGCACCTCAGTACTATGAGAGCATATCAAGTTGCATACTTATGTGGCTCTACCCCAACTTAAACATTATAAAAAGAAGAAACTTTCAGGTACCTTGAGCAAACCAAGATGATGGGCTGTAGCCTTGTTCTTTTGAGTCTTCGCCATCTGCATATTACACCATGGAAAAAGAAGGGAAAAAAAATTCCACACCGTTATTCATAATCTAAACCAAATTAAGACCCAAAATTTCCAATCCATCAATTCAGAGTAAAAAGGGAAGTCGTAGGCTAGTTAGTTAGATTTCAAGCGAAGCAGAAAAGACTATTCCCAGATGAACTGGAGAATCCTTTGAGCTATTCGACAGGCAAGGCGAAGACACTTAGACGCCATTATTATTATTGTGTTACCTCATCTTCAATGTCCTTGATCTTCTGCATCACAGTCGCCATTTTTGCAGCTCTGAAAGAGAGCTTCTCGGCTTCCGAGCTTTCAAGAGGTTAAACGGTCGGCGGATAGCGGCAGAGTTCGGCGAGAATTCGAAGACGACGGGGAGAAAGATGAACTGAAGAAGAAGAAGGTACGAGAAAAGAGTTGGAGGTCGTATGGCGTTCGGCGACGGCGATGGTGGTGGAGAGCGTGTACATGTTGGGCCACCACGAAGCTATTAATTGGGCTCATAATTTGATCTACTGATTTGGCCCAAATTTGTATTACACCCTGATTTGGCCCAACAAACGACTCGCTTGAAAACGACAGCGTTTGAGATTAACCGTTCTCTCCTTTCCTTTCCACAGCAGACATAATACCTCGAAATTCGAATTTTTCCAGTAGAAAGCCAAAAGGCCGCGGCGGGAGACAGCTTCCAGAGCAAGCTTTTCTTCTCTCCTCCACACCGTCGTCTTCTTCGATCATCAACCGCCGCGAAAACTCAGAGCGAAGAAGAAATGGATTTGGACCCCGAAGACGTTTTCAAGGACCATGAAGACGACGAAGACAGCGAATTCTTCCTGGTCAGTTTTGCAGTGTACTCGCTCTCATTTCCGTCTGTTCCTTTTTTCCTTCCGCTGATATACTCATCGCCTCGCCGCCGATTTCTCGTTCGCTCAGCTTAGGGATTCAACCAAAGAGTTCGTCGTGTATCTCATCGACGCTTCTCCGAAGATGTTCACCGCCACTTGTCCTGGAGTGAGTTCTTTTCTCCCCTCGGACTATTACTACTATTTACTACTGTTATTTTGCTGTAACTCGCGGGAGTGACTGCCACCGCTGGCTGTTTTCTGCCAGAATTTGTTCGAATTTTAGACTTTCTAGCCTTCCAATTTGTAGTTTATAGGACATCGTGGAAGTAATTAGGTAGAGTCGTCTGGTATTTTTATTTGAGACCTTTTATCCTCTTTCTATTGTATATAGTGTCTACTATGTTGCTTAAAATGGAAAATTTTGAAGGTATGGAGAAGGCCTGGGCTCTTCAGATCGAATCGGTTGTAGTCAATGTTGCAGTTGACCTGACCTGTTCTTGCTATAATGTGATTAATCGAGTTTACTTATATTGGCTGCTATTGACATTTGACAGGCAGATGGGGAGAATGAGACTCACTTCCACATAGCAGTCACTTCTGTGGCACAGGCGCTGAAGACGCATATTATTAATCATACGTATAATGAAGTTGCTATCTGCTTCTTTAACACGGTAAGATGTTGCTCTATTGAATCGTTGTTGGTGATGTCTAATTCTGGATCGTATTCCTTGCTACGGAGGTGCTCAATTTCCTTGTTCTGGTCTTTCAACAAAGAAGTTGGATACTGTGCTTAATGTCCCCTCAATTATTTGTTACTTGTGATCAATTTGTAGAAGGAGAAGAGGAACTCGCAGGACCTCAGTGGTGTTTTCGTGTTTGATGTTGCTGAGAGAGAGCATTTGGATAGGCCAACAGCGAGACTTATAAAAGAGTTTGGTTGTGTCGAGGGTAAGTCTCAGGGTTTTCTTAAACCAATGGACTTGCTTCTTGTAAATTTCATAGTTTTTGCTGCACCTTTTTATGGTGTAGAAGACATACCTGGTTTTACCCAAAAAAAACTTGGTTGTGCTAGAAACCTCTTCAGTTCTTTGGGAGTGGATATTTTGGAAACATTTGTTTTTTTTCTCAGAAATAACGGCTGTTATTACTTGTAAGTGATTTTGCAATTCTATCGCCCTGACCTTTCGTTGAAACACCATTTACATCCCTATTTGGAAATACTATAATCAAAGCCTAAAAGAATGTCTCATGAACACACACACAAAAGTGACATTTATATGTTTGGGAGAATGGAGAATGAAGAATGGATATATTGAGTTGAAATCTTTGTTCTATTTCTGCTAGCAGAATTATTTGCAAAAGAGATTGGCAGTCAATATGGTATTGTATCTGGATCCTGGGAGAATTCACTCTACAATGCTCTTTGGGTGGCACAAGCGTTACTTCGCAAAGGGTAACAGTTGTTTTTTTTGGTTTCATACTTAAATTTATTCTGCACTGTGCTGAACGTCTTGGGAGAATTCACTTTACAAGATAGCATTATGCATGGTTTACACTAATGAATCGGGATGTTACAATTGCAGATCTACTAAGACAGCTGAAAAAAGGATACTTCTGCTTACAAATGAAGACGATCCATTCAGGAATATCAGTGGTATAGCTAAAGCAGATATGATACGAACCACCTTGCAGCGAGCTAAAGTATAATCCCAAATTCTAAATGCTTCGAAATTCACTAGCTTATGGCAATTATCAATAGCCAATGGAGTTTACTGGTGCATTTTATTCAGGACGCACAAGATCTTGGCATCTCAATTGAACTAATTCCCTTTAGCAGACCAGATGAGGAGTTCAAAGTTTCGATTTTCTATGCTGTATGCTCATTCCTGCTTTTGGATTTGTCAATTTGCTATTTCACTTCACCATAAAAGACCAGACAACTTCCAGGGAGTAGTACTTATCCACATTTGACGTTGGGCTTTCTGTTTCCCAGGATTTGATTGGACTGGAAGGTGATGATCTTATTGAATACATGCCATCTGCAGGACAGAAGTATGAAATTCTGCAGTCTTTTTTTAACTTAAACTTTGCGAGAGGACAGTGTTCAAGGAAAAAAGAACCTTTTTCTGTTTATAAAAGGAATTTCTTACTGAAGAATAAGAGAAGCCCAGCACCAGAGGTATCTAATATATTCTCTAATTTCCTTGTTCTTGTGCCAGATTGGAAGATATGAAAAATCAACTAAGAAAACGGATGTTTGCGAAGCGGATAGTTAAACGAATCAAGTTCGTAATTACAAATGGATTGTCAATTGACCTGCATACGTATGCTTTAATACGCCCTACAGCGCCAGGTACTTCATGTTTTGTTGTTGTCATTCTGCCCGAATCATGTTTTGAATGACACTTTAGAGGTCCAAGAGTCTCAGTGGGAGGCAATGTTTTGTTTTTGTTTCATCCTTTACATCAGTCGAAGGCAATGTGCCTTATAACTGCTCTTTTGCATTTGGTTTTTAGGGGCAATAACGTGGCTGGATTCAGTAACCAATCGTCCTTTGAAGGTAACACTGGACCATTTGAATATCCCGGGGGGGATTTGATGGTGTTGATGGAGGATTGTATATTCTTCTTGCTCCCTCATTATTGTCTACCATGATATGAAATCTTGCAATGAGGAAAGCATGTATAGGTTGGGGCAGCATATGCATACAAGCAATTCATAATTATAGTATATATTGACATTTTGCAGGCAGAAAGGTCTTTCATCTGTGCTGATACTGGTGCACTGATGCAGGGACCACTGAAGCGCTATCAGCCGTATAAGAAGTGAGTTCCACTTGAGTTTAATATTTTCATATAGCCATTTCTAGATGCTCTTTTCTGTTATCTGTGTGAAAGACAACCTCTATCTTTTGCCCTTGTTTTATGTTTATCTAGACAATCTTTTACCTTCTGGGCTCAAATATTCATAAAGAAAGCGTCATTTCACCGAGAAGCATTCAAATGTGAACCTTGTTTCCTAAGTTCCTGTTGTTTAATTTATAATCTTTACTTGCTTTCTAATTTTGATTGTATCCTACTCCAAGTCTACAATATTTGTATCCAAAGTGTTAATATCTTTTGCATTTTCGTTTCTGCGGGTACTTCTTGTTGTTTTTAGAGCTAATAGGACCTTCCTTGTTTTTTTTTTTCTTTCTGGGAAGAAATTGAGTAGGAAAGTGGCGTGGGAAAAAAAACTCACTCTAGGGTCCATCTTTCCCATCACTAACAAGTTGTTAACTATCTAAACTGCCTCAGATATGGTTGGCTATTAAACATGGTGGTTGCTTGCTGTTATATTTGCCTAAACTTTTCAATTTCAATTTAGTGAGGATGTGAAGTTTTCAGAGGAGGAGTTGAGGGAGATCAAAAGAGTTTCAACAGGACATCTGCGTCTTCTTGGATTCAAGCCTCTAAGCTGCTTGAAAGACTATCACAATCTAAAACCTTCTACATTTGTATTTCCGAGTGACAAGGTTCTTCTCTATCTTATTTACACCCACTTTCAATGCTGCTATTTCGATTGAAGAATAGAATTATGAAGGATTTCAATGGGCTGCGTAGGAATGTTTGTTTAAACTCTGTTATTCTTTGTTACCCTTGGTAGGCCCAGTTTATATACCTTTGGTAACACAAACCAACCATGCAAAGTTTTACTCTTATTTTCATTTTCATTTAATTTTACGTTCATATTTTATATTATTCACCAAGTCCTTTCTGTTTAAGCTTTTACCCAATGTTTAAAAAGTCATTTTTGTTCAACCAGCTGTCTGATATTCCGGTGCTGTAGATTTATGGTATGAACCTTCTTTTATCCTTTGCTATGGCAGGAAGTGATAGGTAGCACTTGCGCTTTTGTTGCCTTGCACAGAGCAATGATACGAAATCAGCGGTTAGTCATGCTGTGGTAACATACACAAATATGTACTATTTTGTATGAATAGCTACACTGGAAATATCATTTTTGGCATGATATAGTTTGAAGAACATAAATACATCCTTTCAAAGCATGTTATGGCTCTTGTGCAGTCTTGTGGTTTGTAATGGGAATAAATATTTTTATCATTTTGACCACTGAATTGTTAGATGGGTGATTAGCAATTTAGCACCATTCATGTGGTATTATAGAAGTGGTATGCTTGAAGATTTGAAGTTCCCCTAAAGTTCCAAACCTCTCCCTGCATGATGTTTTCTGTCTCTTGATACAAACAGTCACTTCATTGATTTATGGTGTTTGGTGGACATGAATGTGTCTCTCAAATTTTAACTTTTCCTTGTCTTTCTTTTGCAGTTTTGCTTTGGCATTTTATGGTCTTTCAACTAATCCTCGATTGGTTGCCCTTGTTGCTCAAGTATGACTCCCTCCCTTGCATGACTTGATTAGTTGCACACGTGAAGATTATTAATTCGAAAGAGCCTAGTTGGGTTATTTGCATAATCCTTTGACATATGTTCATCTCTAGAAAACCTTATTAAGCGACTGCTCAAAATTCTGTGCATATCGTCACTTAAAAAATGCAGATTTGGTTAGGAGATGACCCAGTATTTGTAGGCACTTAATGTCTGGTCAAGGCTGGATGGAAGCTTATGTTTAAACCTTGGCTCCCCAGCATTCAACTAAGGGCAAATTACGTTTGTGGTAAATCTCAAATAAAGCTTAGGCCTAATGTTGCTGTTTTCATGGCAACAGTCACGCATGTCGGCATAATCATGGCTTATTTGTCTAGTTTCCGATGCAAAGTCCAGGTTTAAATCATTAGAATCCTCAGATTCTAAGGCCTTTTCACTTAATAGAAAATGCTATCAGGACAAATTGTTTGGTATTTATGACTCATAGTGATAAGCATTTTGAGATCTCATTGCCAAAGATGATCAACCTCTTGTTGAATTTTGCAGGAGGAGATAATTTCTGATGGTGGTCAGTTTGAGCCACCAGGCATGCACATGATATTCCTACCATATTCTGATGATATCAGAGACATTGAACAGGCAAGAACAGTTTAGAGTTGGTTTTTCCATTGTTAACTGGGTTCTTAAATTCTTTGGATGTTGATGACGTTGATGTTTCATTGTAGAGTCAGTTGACCACCAAGCGTCCAGCGCATCGAGCAACTGAAGATCAAATTCAAAAGGCTGCCGCTTTAATGAAACGTATTTACTTGAAGGATTTTTCAGTATGCCAATTTTCTAACCCTGGTATGTTTCTTAATGTATTCTGGAGGGCGTTATCCTTACGAGTACTTACAAGTGACATACTGGTGTTCTGTACACGTGCCTGTAAACGAATTGTATGTTGTTCATATATTTTTAGTTTAAAAGTGAGATTGGCTCCATTGTATCGCATGCCATCAATTTTGTGGCATAGCTTCTGGTGGTTAACAGTATCGTTTCTTTGCAGCATTGCAGAGACACTATGCAGTGCTGCAGGCTTTGGCACTGGACGAAGACGAGATGCCTGAGATTCACGACGAAACACTGCCGGACGAAGAAGGCATGTCTAGGTTAGGCGCGACAGCTTGCCATTGTTTTTGCCAATTCGAGTTGATCAATCTACGAACGGGATCTCTCATTTCAATTTATGTCCTGTAGACCGGTAGTGGCTAAGGCCATCCAAGAATTCAGGACATCAGTCTATGGAGAGGACTATGATGAGGCAGATGACAAGCCACGAGAAAGCGAGGCATCAAAGAAACGAAAAGCTGCTGCAGAAATTGTTGCTCAGGAATACAAAAACTACGACTGGGAGGAACTTGCTGACAGTGGAAAGGTTTGCCTTCCTCCCCTTTTGATCCCTTTTAAGCTTTGCGTCATCTCTGGAGTCTATCTCTTGCTGCTCTTCCTTTTCTTGACTGGTTAGTGTTGGAGTGGGCAACAGTTCAATCGATGCGAGATGGAATTCAACCGGACTAAAGTACAATTAAGATTTGGTTTCCATTTTCAAATTCTACATTTTGTTTCGACTTCATTGGATCCCTTAATATAAAACAGGAACGATCAATACCAGATTCGATTGAATTAAATACATCGTTCAGGTTGAGATCCTCAGTTTTCGTTTATCCTCGATACTAATCTTATCATATCCATTCTTTATCCGGTGACGATCCTCGTCTTCTCTTCATTATCTATCCCGGATCCGTCTGATTTTAAACTGAACTGGATCATACTGACCGCTGCTCTCAGAGACGGGGGTGTAATAAAGTAGCAGCAGCAGCATTACGGTTTTTCTGTTCTGCTGGTTGAAGAACACCATCATCAGAACATGTCATAATTCGGCTTAAAGAACGATCCGTTTCTGTTTGTTTTTCGGTCCTCTGTCGGTTTATAATTGATCGAACTGTTGCACTATCGATTGTAACATCATTGGGAAAACAGCATTATCTCACACAATTGTGAAATGAAATCTTTTGCAGCTGAAGGATTTGACCGTGGTGGAGCTGAAGTACTACTTGGCTGCCCAGAAACTCCCACTCGCCGGGAAGAAAGAAGTGCTCATCAGCCGGATTCTAACCCACCTGGGGAAGTAATTCAACTGCCTCTGTTTCCGCTTGTAACATATATCATTAGCGTATCCAAGTATCATACAATCGACAAGAACACCACACAGTTCCCTGTAGCTAGTCAGCAATGGTTAATCTAGCTAGTAACTACTAGAAGCTAGCCAGCCGAAATGAAAGCAGAGGACCCGCGACGACGAGGCTCTCCTCCTGGCCCCTCGTACGTCGATCCTCGAGCTTTCGTCGCAAAACAAGACCGCTGCGAACTGATCTAGGACGGAGATCGGGTAAGAATTTCTGTGACGGAGCTAGTGAATAGCAGTCGAAGAACACAAACAGGTAAATTATATGGGTCGTTTGGAAACTTGAAATTCTTTTACATATACAATACAATTAGAACTTGACAAATCGGATAAGGCCTGGAATATGAACATTCATGATGTAGTCGCTCCAATTAATGCTGCCTGCATTCATATTCATCTCCTCGACGCCCCACCACCCATTTTGCCTGCCCCTTGCCCTCAACCTCTCCAAATTAGTATCATCAAATCTGCAACAATTCAAGCCAAGGAAGGTTAATTAGGTTGTGATTAGCCCTAACCAGTGGTGTCTATACACAATAAGAAGATTACCGGTTTTGATTATTTGGTTGCAAATCATTTCAGCGCGCTTAACGATTTCTATCTTAGTTTAAACCGTTAAACCAATAAGAACCTGAAAACACATAATGTGCATTGCAAGTGGGGACAATTCGGTTTGTTCATATTGAACCAATAAATGAAAGGGTTGTCGGTTTTCGATTAATCAAAACCAGTAAACCCTTTATAGGTTTCGGTTTTCGGAGACTTAATTCTCTTAAGTTTTTTTTTATATATATATTTAACTGTTTTGGTTAACCGAATTGAACTAAAGAAAACCGACAACCCTAGCATTTACACTGGTTGTGCTTATGATTATCAACATGATACACAAGAAAGTTTCAAACTTGAGTTTTCCTATCAATCAATTACTTGCTAGACACATTCTTTTTTTAAAAATCATTTTTAAACGGCAGCAAGAAAGAACGTAACGTTGTAAAACAATAGCAGAACTTACATCCCCACGAATAGCAGGTAGGGTTCGTAAAGTTTTACCAGCCTCATCGCCATCTTTAACTTACGATCAAGATCACCACACATTGCTTCGAATCTGTGACAAAGCGCTGCATTTACGAGACAAAGTACCTGCACAAAAAGAAAAAAAAAAAGGAAAGAAAAGAATACACGATCGATGAACATGAAAAATTATAATCTCGTTTTTTCTCTGCTAATAACATGAAAGCGAGATCTATTGATCGAGCAAACCTTTAGAGGGATTAGGAAACGGATGGTCATGTAAATCTGAAAGGTCTTGAAGGAGCTAAATGTCTTCCACTTGGAAGCTTTCAACGTCCTTCCATGGCGGTCCTTCCATTGGTTTCGAGAGAAGAAAGTGAACATACAGTGTCGGAGATCAGATGAAGTTATTGGGTTTCTTGAAGAGCCCAAATGGTAAATGAGATCCAAAGGCTGGTTCTGGAATGCTGAACAGATACATCCTACAATCGAATTCACAACCATATCTACTGGTATCTGTAAAATCACAATTACCATAGTAATTAGTAACGATATGAAAACAGAAGTTTTAAATGCATGAAACATATAACAAAAAATCTAAGTGCATAGACTATTTTTAAAATATAGAGTTATCGAATCTTTCAAACCTCTTTTTTTTTTTTTTTTTGCTTGTGAGTACTATTATACATACATATATCGAATGCGTTTTTATTAAATATTATCATTACAAATGCATTTGTCATATATTTTATAAAGACAATCAGAAGAAGCAAAAAAAGATAATTATTTCGATCCAAAAGAACATGAATAATCGTCATAGCTACTCACCAGATCATAAACGGTTTCTGGCCTCTCAATGAGGCATTTCATTCTCCCTTTAGCGTAATTCACGATAAACCCGTCGATGGTTCTGTATATATACAAAAAAAAAAAATTGAGAAAGCTAGCGTTAGCTATGAACATGAATGCTTATGGTCAGAGATTAAACTTTACAATATGCCCTTGTTTTTTGTTTTTTTGTTACTCGATTGAGACCGAAAGCCAAGAAAAAATATACAAGAGATGAAAACAAGGACTTGCCTGTCAAATTTCTACACCGACTATCAAGCACATTTCAATTGTGAACCTATAGTCATAGAACAGATCTTTCTTTTCATGAAAATTTCTCGACATGAAATAAGTCAGTCCGTTACAGATCAGGAGCGTTCAAGAAATCTCCATTAACTCTAAGAACATCATCAAACACTTCATATATACTTTGTTCAACGAGATTGGAGTCGTGTCTTAAATTCGTTTTTTAAAAACTCGAAAATTGCCATTAGTAAAAAATTCAACTCCAAGTCTTATAACACCTGACCTGATAGATTACCCACTTAAGGAATCACTCCAATGCAAACCAACTTTCAGAACCCTAATTAAAAAACTAGAAATTAAGAAGCAAGAATATATAAATATATATACATATACCTGACACCCTCAGTCCACCCTGGAAATGGGTGTTTAATGGTGCTTGTTACGATGGCGGGGCGAAGGATTACAAGTGGGAGGTCGCCCTTCAAACTCATGGCTATCCTCTCCCCCATTGCCTTTGTAAACGTGTAAGTGTTTGGCCATCCATAATGCCTTGCCCTAATTTCCATCAACATTGATTATACGTCATTAAGAAACAATTCAATCAACCCTTCGACCATTTTTAAGATCTGATAAAACCGGTTTTACCCTAGACAAATCAATCATATACAAAGTTCAGGCTGGTATATACGTTCAGTGAGTATCTTATTCAGATAACGAGTTAACCAAAGTTTGAGGCATGATATTATAGACGTACTCTAATCTTCAATGGGTGAAACGCGTAGTTTTTAATTTCTCTAAACTCAAACTTAAAAATAAATTTAATTAAAAGACAATAACTTGCGATTCTGATTCGTAGAAGTAGATCTAATAGGTGTGAATGCATGCATATATTTATGCGCTACACATATGCTAGCCTTTTTTTCAATATATTATGGAGAGTTCTATATATAGTACTCTAGGTAAATATGAGGGGGTATTGCATCCATACCTTTTAGTAAGAAACCACTAATATAATATATATGCTAATATCAATTTACCAGATTTTGAAACATGATACTATACACTAAACCCGAATGAGTAGAATCTAGTCTCTTATTCTCTAAATCATATATGCTAATATCAATTTAATTAGAAACATAATTAACGATTACAATTCGTCGAAATATATACATTCAAACATATTCAAAAAAGTTGAACCTAGAATTCAGTCATTAAAAGAGTTATGGTAATGCCCAAAATCTTGTTAATTCAAGACTATGTTAGTGCCTTAGAGTTACTCGAGTAGGATAGAAGCCAAATATAAACAAATATACCTCTCGAGGCCAAGGAGCCGCATGGCAGACGAAATGCCTCGTTCATCGCCGCAGTCCGATGAGAGATGTTTATTGGACTGGAGTTGAAGCAACGTTTGCTGTACCAGCTTCCTTTCACCGTCGACGATTTCAAATATCATCTCATCGTCGTCGTCGCCGATTCCTCCTTTCGCCATGCTTACCGGCTTCTCCTTGATGATCCCGGCCTCTTCCCCACACACGTACGCTGAAGAAGAAGAAGAAGACAATATAATGGAACTAATCATCTGGTTAATCTGCCGGACTATAGATAATAATGCAGTTGAGATTCCAAATCTAAGCCATCACTATAAGATAACTCATTATTGGGATAAAAGAAAGCTATCGATCGAGTTTCAACAAGAGGAGGATTTTGTGAGAGAAGAAGAAAATTAATAATTTGATATATGGAATTTGATTTTGTTTTAATATTATTTATGTTGAATATTATTTAGGGGTCGTTTGGAGAATATGAGTTTAAATCTATAGATTGTAAACAATCTAAAGATTCTAAGTCTTCGGATTGTTGAAAATAGATTTTAAAATGTTTATTGTTTGGTAACTGTGATTGTTAACATTCAATGGTAATAAAAATAAAAAATTTATATTAAATAACATGTTTATCCTTAATGAAAAATTAGAGTAGTTCGAGAAATATTAAAAACTTTGTTAGTAAATATATTTAATATGATAAATAAATAAAAGAAAGGGAAAAGGTAGGAGAAAAAAAATATCATGAATCAAGATATAAAATCTCTCTGATTATGAGAGATTTGATATCCATAGATTTTAGAGATTTGAAATCTCTAAAGCTAAAATCCACAATACAAAAAGCAACAAAAAAACATAGCTTTCTACAAAATCTACGGATTCAATGAATCCACGGCCTAAATCCCATTCTCCAAACGACCCCGTATTATATAGTTGTAGTTTGATGGTAGAGATACGAACTATTGATTGGTTTATGGTTCAAATTTTAATTACACGTTTTTTCTCCCAAGCCAAGGTGGGTCCCGGGACCCACCTTCTTATGCGTTGATTCCGCCACTGTGTAGGGGGGAGCTTAATTACCAGTTGAGACATGGACGAGCAACTTAATTTTGACGCATTTTTTGGAGAACTTCACCACATGCGCTGCTCCGTATGTATTCGTGGCGAGCGCCACGTCATACCTGTGCGACGGAATATATAAATATGATTTAGGTTAGATTATTATGCTATTATTACACAAGATGAAAAACATATCCTAATACGTCGAAAGGGAGAGTAACATGACAAATAAGATATAGATATACGATACGAATTTAGTCAAGGATTAATATAATATTTCTCTATCCACAGTCGAATATCTTTCACCCTAAAAATATCCACTACTTTCACCCTAAAAATATTATCATATATATATATATATATAAACCACAAATATAAACAAGTTGCTGTACTGTACGTACCTCTCATCAAATCGGGTTGTGGCGGCGAAATTGACGACCAAGTCGGTTTCTCTCCAGATTCCCTCCTTCAGATCAACGTCCCCGATTCCCAGATCCTCGCGAGAAACATCCCCGGCAACAGCAACCACTTTTTCCGATACGAATTTCTCGAAATCCGTTCCCCATTTCTCCTTCACAACCCTAAACAGCTCTTTCTCCATCACCTGCATGCATGCACATGCATGCATAATTAGTACGTACTTACGTACACATATATAGCGGAACCCGCGCGCAGTTGTAACTAAATTACCCACGTGCGTGTTACGCACCTCGTCTCGCAGCCGCTTCGCCGCAGAGTGTGAATCGGGAGCTCTCATGAGAAGGTAGATCTTCTTCACGTAGGGTTGAATCCTCAGTACCTTCTCCACAAACACTGGAAAAGATTTTTTTTTGTTTTTTTTTTCTCCCTTTTAAATTAACACTTCATAACGAACAAAGCAACTAATTTAACTGACATTGGGTATATATATATACTTACCTTTTGCGAGAAATCCAGCTGAACCTGTAACCAGAATGGTTTTGTTCTCGAGCAATGATGCCGCCGGCATCATGGTGTTATCGATCGTCTATATATGATCGAGTATTTGATGCTGATTCGAATTTCCATCGTTATATATATACAAGTAAACACATCCTTGCAGTCAGCCTCAAGGAAACTGCAACTTGTCAAAATAAAAAGATCTATGAGTCAGTCATCAATAATTATGCAGAGCAAGAGATGAAGACAAAGCAAAATAATTGAGGGACTTTGGTGGTTGAAACTTTATCACGTGTCATCCGTCGTCTGTCGTGGAAGAGTCCCTTCCCTTTGTATCAACTACCAAGTATATGGTCAATTTCGCTTTGTACCGGTGGCGCGGACCCAGGATTGTTGAAGAGCGTAGCATTATTGTAGGTCGGATTGGGAAACTAAAATACTGCTGCATCAAGCGTTGGTGTGCTTTCTACCCTGTTACGCCTCACTTCTTTACGTGGATGTGAACGATGCCGAGAGACGAAGATGCTTGTTCTTGAAAAAAGAAATGCTCCTGCCACCACCATCATCTGTTGACGCTCGCGCGGTCATGCTGGCACTCGTACTCCCATTGCCTTTTCATCAGCTTCCTGTTGCCTCTCAGCCGCTTCTCTATTGGGGGGGGGGGGGGGGGAACTCATGAGGAAAAAAGTGGTCTGGGTGCGTGGAGTGAATACGAAGTAGAGAGAATGACGAAGGTTGAATGTTGGGATGTATAGATTGTCAAAATTTGGCCTTCATTTATAGAAACACGAAAAGATTTTCCAACAAATATTGACAAACTAAATGAACAGTTGATGGACTTACTCAATATGATTAAAACTGCATGAACAGTTGATGGCACACCACATTCTAATTAAAGTTGCATGAACAGTTGATTTTACCACTCAATATTATTAAAGTTTGCAAAACAATTGATGACACCACTCATTCAGTCATTCTGCCAAACATGTGATGAGTCATGACCATCCTATATTATTGTGATTTCGTCATTGATGACGTCATATTTAATTAGTGATAAAAAAAATTATGTCCAAATTAAGAAAAAAATATATCGAAATGTTCTTAGTAATTAATTATCACTACTTATGTAAATATAATTATCATTATATAAAAATAAAGTGACAAAAACAACTATACATTGATTTTATAAAAAATGTGTTAAACCAAAGACCCCCTTCTCCCACCCCTGGCTAAATCCTCCCCTCCCCCTCTTTTCCCCCCTTTTCCCACCCTTCCCACCCTCCCACATTGTGAGTGGTCTAAAGCAAAACTTTGAAAAGATTACTAATTTAGTTATAGAAGCGTAAAAGCGAAAAGCGTTTTAGTGAACTAGAAGCGTAGAATCGTAAGCTTATAAACTTTAAAGTGCAATTTAGTCCGATTTTATACACAAAATATTTTTTATGAACACAAAAGCGTTTTTGTAACCTAGAAGCGTAAAACCGTAAGCTTATAAGTTTTAAAGAGCGATTTTAACTGCGTTGGGTATAAAATGAATTTGTACCATAACATTAAAGCTACATACTCAACCTGTATCATACTTTTTTTTAAACAAAAACACCAATAATATGAAGCATTGTACTCATGAGGGGAAATGATAGCATGCTAACACTGTGGAAATTGAGGTGGGTGTGAATACCCACTCCGCATTTTGTGGCTAACTACAACTAGGGAAGTCATGATTATACTAACTACAAACCACTCAGCCGCAGTTAGTGGTTATCCACTAACCCCACTGCGGGTTGGTGCGTTTTTGTTGTGGTCAATGGTCATCCACAAAAAATTTCATCGTTCAAAGGCGTGAAGCATTGCGACCTTCCACCAAACGAATCCTCTGTTCTCCACATAGATTATGGATATGTACAGTTGTTTCGTGGAGATGATAAATTATTTTGCTCTCCGACTTTTGGATCGAAAAGAAGACAGAGACGAAAGCCTTTGTTTTACAAAATGAAAATTAATCCCGCAGGTTAAATGCCGTAAATTTTCACCATGCCAGTGATCAGTTAATTTAGCATTTCATGAAATTAGTTCTTGCTCGTTATTGTATAAAGTATTAAGAATAAATACGATGAAATTAAAGGTAAAACAAAAACATTGGCGGTCTAATGTAATTATAGTGATTTTGTGGGCCTCGACTTACTTAATTATTCTCTTTCTCTTTTTTTCCATCTTCTTCCTTTTGGTTTGGCTTTTACAGGATTCTATCTATTTTCAGAACCGTTCGTTGCAACAGTGTAGCAGAAAGAGAGCTCCATGAAAAGAACACCCCAGAGCTTATTCAAAGTGTCGCCACTACAACAGAAACTGCCTTTTGTGACGAATAAAAACGGTCGCTAAATGTGAAATTTTTGTCGCGAATTCTATGTTGTGACCAAAAAAATTTGGTAGAAGCTTTGGCAATATTTGCCGCGTTAGGAAAACCATTTTGTGACCAAATTTTTTGGTCACAAAATGGTTTTCCTAACGCGGCAAATATTGCCAAAGCTTCTACCAAATTGGTCACAATACATCGTATTTTTGTGACGAAAGTCGCAATTGGTCACAATTTTTTTTTATTTGCAACCAAGACAATTGGTAACAAAAAAACTGTCAAAATAGTCACAAAAGAATACCCGATTGGTCACAAATAACATGAAAACCAACCAATTCATATATAATTTACCAACCAAATGATTAAGTCACAAAAGCAATTATTTAAAACCAAAGAATTTGGGTACAAAACTTTTCTTCATAGCTAATGTAATGATCATTAAGTGACCAAAATTGGTAACCTCAGTTGACCACATCCATGAGTTAAGAATACCATCCTCCCTGATCATAGAAAACAAGTCTGCACATCATTCGTGGTTTAGAACAACTGCAGCAGTAAAACAATAAAAACCTAAAGCAACAGCAGCCCACTCTGGTCCCAAATGATAAACAAAGTAAGAGCTGCCCTATCCATACCAAAAATCCTGGAACCCACAGACAGCTGCAAAATGCCTTTGCAAAATCTCAACCTACTACCTGCAGCTCTCTCATCATCATATATTAGCAGACCCACAAAATCATCTATTCACTCTAATTATATTGGTGCCTATGTTGAATTAATCGAATCGAAACAAAAGTTGGATTAGATTAAAAGGACATAAACGGGAACAGTTCATAGTTCAATTTGACCAAACATGGTTATCTATCTCATTGAGTTACCGCAATAATAGATAAGTTCAACTACTAAACTACATGCATTTCGAAACTAATGTAGCAAACTATCCATGTTCCTTTAACTCTAAATTGTTAGAAGCACCAGAAACTCCAAATGAATTCTCAACTGCTTGAACCCAAATTATTAGCCGTATCTGCTGCTCTCTGTACCAAGTAACTAAAACCACTTACTTGACCGTTTTGATCTTGATCACTGAAGCTGTGCTGACCTAGTGGAGAGCTACAACAAAATCCCCTGTCTTGCACAGCCCCTTCGACTTGGCACGTTGAACAGCAAGATCAAGAGCTTCCTCCGTTGTCTCCTCACGAGAAGCCTTAGTTAAGCTAGCATACAGAATAACTGTGTCAGCAGTAGCTAAATTGATGCCAAGGCCACAAGATCGTGTTGATAACGAATCGACTTTTGTCTTGGTTGAATCATGCAATTGCAGTTTGACGATCAGAAACAGAAACAGAGCCATCAACTCGCTCATAAGTCTTTGGACCAAACTCTATCGTCAAATAATCCCTACGGGGAAGCCAATTACAGAGGATACATACAAACATATATACGAAGACGACCATACAATAATGGCTCGCCGTGAGACAAATCGATCCAGGCAAATAATCACCGAAGACGATAAAGTGAAGTAATCACCGAATCTGAGTATATTCAACCAAAAGGAGATGCGATTCAAGCCGCTCACCGATCTGAACTCTAATAAGAAGTATGACGAGAGGAATTAGAGTCTTCGCTCAGATAGATCGAGTTTTGAAAAGAAGAAGATACGATTCGCCACTCAGATTGGAATTTCAACTACGGTACAAATCGAAGAGGAACTGGAGGTTTTGGAACGATGGCGTTACTAACCTGCATGCGATGTCCTCCTGGAGTGAATGCGATGGCGTTACTCACCTCAGATTAGAATCTCCCAACTCTTCAGGCAACGTCGATACTTTGGGAGAGAACAGAAAAGAATGGTTTGAAGGAGATGGGTTTTCCCAAACAGACTGAACATAAAGCGAATTTGTTTTTATACCAAAAAGAAAGAGGTAATTCATCGGAAAAAAAAAAGAAAGAGGTAAAGCCCAAAATAGAACCGGAGAAAGAGGTAAAGCCCAAAAGAAGTCAGCATCTCTATTTGTGCTAAATTAATTGATATTAGCAAATACAAGTGGAAAAAGGAATAATTTCAATATAGTGACATAAAACAAAAGAGATATTACTGCTTTGTTTTATATTTCAATTTTTATTAATATATTATATAGACATTAACGACGACAGCTATGTCCTCTAGGCTCTAGCTATGTGTTCTCAGTTCAATTATAACAAAGGAGATACATAGATAAATGGCCAATTATATTTGGCCAGAAAAAGTATTTAATATTTTATGACCAATATTTTTAGTTTTGTAAAGTTTGTTTTGATCATAAAAAAATTCTGTTCTTATAAGTGACCATTTTAATATGTTTATGCGACCAAAAGTATTAGTTACTTTAAAAAGCATTAAGGATGATAAACAAATTGTTTTGGTTAGAAAAAGAATTGAACATTCGGCTACTAATTTTTTTGGTCGTATAAATTTTAATTTGGTTATAAAAAATCTTTTTCTAGTTAGTAACCAATTCATCAAACGTTTTATTACCAAAATATAATTGGTCATTAATAATTAATTTTCGCCGACAAAAAAAAATTAGTTAAATGAAAATGGTCACAAAAGGCTATATTTGTTGTAGTGCGCATCCAGCAGACTCCCAATCAACAGAACCAGAGCATCCTTTGCCTTCCATTCAAGATCTGGATTTCAGCAATCCGCAGCCGGGACGGAGAAGACATCGAGGAGGGGTCCAAAAAGTAGTGGAAAAGAGCTCATCAGAGATCAAATCACAGGGAAAAACTGATTGCCTTTTGTATGGGAATCAAAAATGGAGTCGAAAATGATGGGAGAATTAAACTGAAGCCGAATTAGGTACTTGATTTTTATTTGATTTTTTTTTCAATGGTTAATCAAAAATTACATTAAGCTCAAGCAAAAGGAAAAAATTCTTTTGAGCGCCTCTCAAAAATACAACTAGTCATGGAAACGGAAATCATATAAATATAAAAAAAAAATATTATCTACCCCAATCCGATCGCATGAAGACTCCCCCTGCAAAGACGTATCAACTTCAGCCCTCCAAATCCCAAAACGATGTCTGCTTAATTCGATATCTCATGACCCACGCAACCCACAGAGAACCAGTAGAAAGAAGAACATTCCAAACATGTTGAAGGACACAGGCCATATGCCAGATAACAAAGTTACGAATGCCAAGACCTTCCTCCTTTTGGGACGAGCAACTAGATGCCATGCAATAAGTGCCATTGTCCTCATACTAGAATCTGAGATATCCCACACAAATTGATTGAAAATTCTTTCAACTTCAGTAATAAAAAACTTTGGAAGAAAGAAAATGTCCATCCAATATTGTAAGATGCTTTATAAGACCGAACTGATAAGCTAGACCTTAGCCGCAAAACTCAACATCTTGGCTCTCCAACTCTGAACACGGTGGGTAATTTTATCAACCAAGACACGACAATCCTTCCTAGTTAGCTTGCTGGTAATCCAAGGGACCCCCAAGTACTTGAATTGTAGCTGACCAAGAGGGAAACCCGAAAAAACAGAAATACTATGTTTTTCTTCTTCCGGGATACCTGCACAAAAGAGTTGGCATTTTCTAGGATTGCAATGCAAATCAGACAAGCTATAAAAGTCATCCAACATTCTTCTAACACCCGCAACAACTCTAATTAACCCATTAGTAAACACTAGCAAGTCATCAATGAAGCAGAGATGTGTTATAGCTAAGGGTTTACAAAGAGGATGACAAGGAATCTAATTTTCAGTGGCAACCTTCTTCATTAATCCATCCAAAACTTTCATAGCAATGTTAAAGAGATAGGAAGACAGGAGGTCACCATGTCTTAACCCTTTCTGCATACCAAAAAACCCACATAACCCTCCATTAAGAGCCACACTGACCATGGAAGTACAAACACAAGCCCTAAGCAAGTTTAATAATTTTCCTCTAATTTCCATAATAGTCAAGACATCAAACAAGAAATTCCAGTTAACTTAATCAAAGGCTTTCATTAAGTCTATTTTAATCACACAACTCGAGCTGACTACCTTAGACTCATACCCATTAACTAGTTTAGAAGCAAGCAGTATATTATCAGAAATTAATCTTCCCTTAACAAAGGCAGACTGAGAGTGACTTACCAAATTAGGTAGAACAGCAGCCAAACGATTAGTCGGAATCTTAGCTTAGTTAGTTGATCATAGGAGTCAGTTAGAAGTTGGTCTATTTAAAGACGATGATTGAACTATGAAAGGCAGATAACATGTATGATGTGAAAACAAGATTGTATTCTCAACTCGAGAGAATATTATCGTTATTGTGGATTATAATTCCAACATTTGATATTAGAGTCAATGACGAATACGACCACCAACTCGTTGCAAAGGAGGAGATTGACCTCCTGAATGCACTTTTTCTATTCTGTTGTGATCTACCCTGGTTTCCGAAGTAATCATTTTTTATTTCCGAATTCAGAACAATCTACTTTGTTGTCATTTCAATCCAAGAATCTTGTATATTGGCAGCCAATATTGAATAAATTGAAGCTTTTAAAGATGACCTACTGTTAAAGAAAATCTTGCTTAATAAGAATACTCAAATAATAAGAAATCCCCGATTAAGTGTGCATATATACTTAAAATTTAAAGGAACTCCAATAAGTCAAAACATTTATAAATTAGAAATAAAATATCAAACTATGTAAGTAAATATCCCCCTGACTCTATTTATCATGTTTGAAACAAAAAAATGAAAAATAATTATTAGAATCAATACAAAGAAATAGCTTAAAATTCTACCAAATATCATCCACAAATCAAAAGCGCAACTATAAGAAGAGCATATCTAGAATTGGAAAAAGTAAGAAAGAAATCACTTGTTTAAAGTTTAAATGCGACAAAGTACAATGTGCTCCAATACTATTTGTTACTAGGGCGACATTGATTTATTTTTATTATTATATGCTATAATATTCAAACATGTAACATTTAAGTTTAACACCAATGATAGAACCGCGATACTAAACATTATTCACATGCCCCAACACTCCTTATTGTTTTAACAAACATTACTAATCACAATCCATTTGATCATGAAATTAGAACATGACAAATCGGATAAGGCCTGGAATGTGAACATTCATGATGTAGTCGCTCCAATCAATGCTGCCTGTATTCATATTCATCTCCTCGTCGTCCCACCACCCATTTTCACTGCCCCTTGCCCTCAACTTCTCCAAATTAGTATCCTCAAAGCTGCAACAATTCAAGCCAAGGAAGGTTAGGTCATGTCAATCATGTTTGGCCCTAATTAATTACCAGGGGGTGTCTACACACAATAAGAAGGTTTAAGAGTTTCGATTATTTGGTAGCGAATCATTTCGCAACTTAACTGTTTCTATTTTGGTTTAACCGTAAAACCAATAAGAACCCGAGACCATATAATGTGTATTGCGAGTGAGGACAACTCGGTTTTTGGTTTGTTAAGATCAAACCAAAATCGAAAAGGGTTATCAATTTTTCATTAATCAAAGCCAACCCTTTTATTGGTTTTGGTTTCAAGGGACTTAGTTGTTTTGAGTTTCATTTTTACCCCTACTTAGCGGTTTGGTTAAGCGAACTCAACCAAAATCGACAGTCTTTAACACTTACACTATATGTTGGTCTACAAACGCGATTGTGCTTATGGTTATCAACATGATGCACAAGAAAGTTTCAAACTTGTGCTTTCATATTGATTAACTGCGCGCTAGCAATTCACACTCTTAAAATCATTTTGAAAATGTAGCAAGTACAAGAATATAACGTTGTAAACAGTAGCAGAACTTACATCCCCTCGAAGAGCATGTAGGGTTCGTAAAGTTTTACCAGCCTCATCACCACCTCGAACTTACGATCAAGTTCAACACACAATGCTTGGAATCTGTTACAAAGAACTGCATTTACGAGACACAGTACCTGCATAAAAAAGGAATGAATACACGATCGAAGAACATGATAATTAGATTCATAATTTTTCATCTTACTAACCACGGACCGGTGTTTTTCCCATTCTCATACTAATACCCGCTCCACATTAAGCTCTCATACTAAATACTAGACTAAAGTACATCTCATACATTCCTCCTCTAAAGTTACAGAAGAATATATAACTCTGTCATGAATCTTTTAGTCATCATAATAACTCGGACTGTTGGGGAGGTGTTTTAATAATTAATCTTGTATCATTTACTATACGTCCTCCCTCCCACTTAATATATTATTTTTTTATCGTGCCCTTTATGGCTAGCTTATAATATATGGGGAAGGACAAGTGCTATAGGAAGTAACATTGATGAATCGATTTTCAGTAAAACGAATTTGGGAGATCATTAGAGTAAGAAAAAAACCTACTGTTTTGTGGTATTCTATATCATGGGGAAGTACCGTATCCCATGTACAGATTCCTCAAAATGATTAATTATATTGGACAGGATCAAAACAAGACACAAGTTGTTTGATTGGGAAAAATAGCAATTGACTATATAGGTCTGTATGCAGCTAGATTCTCGATGAAAGAGGTTGTTTGTCACCAGTTGGGCAATCGAAATGAAAGAAGATTATTCGGACAATCGATCGAAATGTTAAACTTACCTCATTCATCTATATCCCTATATGTTGCCAAATGGAATAATTTTTTTTTAGCAAACCTTTAGCGGGAGCAGGAAACGAAATGTCATGTAAATCTGAAAGGTCTTGATGGAGCTAAAAGTCTTGAAGTTGGCAACTTTGATTGGCCTTCCATGGCGGTCCCTCCATGGATTTTGAGAGAAGAAAGTGAAGGTCAAGTGTCGGAGATCAGATGAAGTTATTGGGTTCCTTCCTGAAGAGCCCAAATGATAAATGAGATCCAAAGGCTGGTTCTGGAATGCTGAACAGATGCATCCTACAATCGCATTCACAACCATATCTGCTGGGATCTGCAAAATCATTACCATAGTTGTAACAATAAGGAAAATGTAAGTTTTAAATGTATAAAACAGATTAAAAAAAATCAAGTGCGAAGCGAAATTATTTTCGCAAAAATCTGCATGCATACTGACGATGTCAGGAGTCCGAACGCGAGGACGTGGGGTCAAAAAAATTTAAAGCTCAACTGCTTTGAATTATCATAATTGAAAGAGGGTTGGAACCATACCTACTACTGTATTTCCTAGAAAATAAATATTTCAGACGAAAAAAGAATAATAGAGATATCAAGCATCTCATAATCACAAAGCTTTGTGATATATTTTTCCTCTTACTATTTTTTTTTTATTTCATCAAATACGCTTATCAATGAATTCTCAACAGATCTAGGGTCAATCTGATTCTTTTGATTAATGGTAAATATGTCTAGAAATTTTATTTTTTTATGGAATGTTTAACAATCAAAGCAACCAAAAAATGGACATTTTAAAATTCTTTTTTCAGACAATCACTATACAAGAAAACAAACTTTTAACGACCCTGAATTGTAAGAATCTTTTGATTGTTTAGAATATGAATATTGAGACTCCAATTTTCCATTACAAATTCATTTGTCATATATTTTAAAGAAATCAGGAAATTTCCCAAAGAAAAAGAAAATAAATATTTCAGACGAAAAAAGAATAATAGAGATAATCATAGCCACTCACCAGATCATAAATGATTTCTGGCCTCTCGATGAGGCATTTCAGTCTCCCTTTAGCATAATTCACAATAAATCCGTCCAGGGTTCTGTACATACAAGAATCGAGAAAGCTAGCGTTAGCTATGAAAGGTTGGAGATAAGAATTTTCCCTATGTATATGTATGTTGAGTAGCCGCCTTCTGTAAACCCTAACATAATACAAGAAAATATATATGTCTTTGTACTGTGGAGTAGTTTCAACGATTCTCGTTGAGTAAACAACGTAAATCCTTGTGTCGTTGAGGAAATCACGAGAATATATGTCTTTTTTTGCCGTGGAGTAGAGTCTCAACTTTTACTACCCTAAAAATCTAGAAAGAAGAAGCAAGAATATATACCTGACACCCTCCAGCCACCCTTGAAATGGATCTTTAATGGTGCTCGTTACGGCGGTGGGGCGGATGATTACAAGTGGGAGATCGTCCTTCAAACTCATGACTATCCTCTCCCCCATTGCTTTTGTAAACGTGTAAGTGTTGGGCCAGCCATAATGCCTTGCCCTAGTTAATTTCCAGTCACAATAGTTAATCGTCCTTAAGAACAATTCAATCAACCATTCGACTAATCAATCATATATGTAGCGGTCAGGTTACTGAGTTGGTTATTTAGATAATGAATTAACCGATTTTTCTTAATCTAAACACAAACAACAAAAATTAATTTGGTCAAATGATAACAACCATCGATTCTGATTCGTTGAAGTACATCTGATAGGCGTATGCTAGCTCTTGTCGGATATTGTGAAGATTTTCTACAGTTTCGTGGGTAAATATGAGGGGTACTACGTACATGCATACTCTTAGTAAGAAGACGCTAATTTGAACTTGAATTAACCAAAAGTTGGGACATCATCAGTGTTGTCAAACCACTATTTGACCGGTTGGTTGGACTAGGGGTGGCTATACGGTCCGGTCCGGTTAAATTGTCCCAAATTGATCCGGTCCAATTCGGTCTTTTTGAAAATATAAGGACCGAAGATTGGATTGGATACAGTCCGGTCTTGATCCGGTCCGGTTTTGATCCGGTCCGGTCCCAATTCGATCTTGATTTTACATTGAGATTGTGGGATTTGAGTGGCCTAAGGCCTTAAAGGGTGAGGAGTTGGTTAAGTTTTGTACTAAGTGCAAAGGTTTGTGACCGTTTATGCAAATTACCCTTAAGTTTTGGGTGTTGAGCTCTCTTATCCGGTCTTTATCCGGTTTTTTACCTCACATCTAAGCCCAAAGATTGAATTGGATTGTTTACTATCCGGTCCCGGTCCGATCTCGATCCGGGTTATACGGTCCGGTTTCCGGTTTTTAATCCGGTCCCGGTCCAAATAGCCACCCCTAGGTTGGACCAAGTCCAATCAAAACCGGCCATGAAAACAATCTCTAGCAAGTCATTTTGAGTGTTTGCCGGTAGCCGTTCAATCGGGAAACCCAGTGGTCGGACCACTTTTTATGGTTTCGGGCTTGACAAAAAAAGGTTATCGTTTCATAATGGAATAACCGAATGCAATGATGCTAGGGTTTTAATGGATTATATATAGGGGCTTGCTATTTGCCGCCAACCAAATTGCTATTTGCCGCCAACCAAAAAAAAAAAAAAAAAAAAATAAGTATATATATACATAGTAGGGTAAGGAGTTTCACAATCTACAACATATCCAACTTTCAGAGAACATATTGAATCAGAAAAATTCAACGCTCGCTGGAAAAGTCGCCGGAAAATCATCGGGAAAGCCTATCCTCGACATATACTGCGTACACGCATCAATGAATCATCACTAAGCAGGTGCGTAATTTTTTTGTAGTTTCGAACAATTTTTCCGACGATTTGAAACGAACAGACGGTGGGCCGAAAATTTCCGGCGGCCGGAACCTGGCCGGGCCGAAAATTTCCGGTGGCCGGAACCTGGCCGAGCCGAAAAATTCCGGCGGCCGGAACCAGGCTGAGCCGCAAGATATTTTCGGCCCGGCCAGGTTCCAGCCACCGGAAATTTTCGGCTCGGCCAGGTTCCGGCCCGGCCAGGTTCCGGCCACCGGAAATTTTCGGCTCACAGTCTGTTTTTGCAATTTTTCGGAAAAATTCGATTTTAGGAGTTGAATTTAGATTTTAGGAGTTGAATTTAGAGTTTAGGAGTTGAATTTAGCGTGTAAGAATTGAATTTAGAGTTTAGGAGTTGAATTTAGCGGTTAAGAATTGAAATTAGCGTTTAGGTTCACAGGAATATTGATATATTATATTGTAATTGTAGGAAAAATGTCAGAGTTGTTACCGGCCGATCATGATTACACACATGAATTTGAGAATGGGATCCATTATGCAAGTGTGGAGTTAGCTGAGTTAGCTGCAAGAACAATCGCTCAGCAGTGTGGGTTCTTTATTGTTAGAGGATCATGGAAACCGAATACTGCTGGACAGAATCCTGTTACTGCCCTCTGTATGTATTGCGACAGAAGTAGTAGGATCGTTAAGTCTTATAAACCAGACCCTACGAAGGAGACGCGTGAGAATATTAGTTCGAAGGGTACTGGTTGCCAGTTTCAGATATGTATAAAGGAAGTATGGCAAAAGGATGGTCCAAACACATGGGTCATGGTGGGAGTGACAAGTCGTGAAACCGGAGCTAATAGAGGGTTTCACAACCATGAAAAGGTGTTGTATCCAGAACATCACCGACACAACAAACAGTTTAGTGAGGCTGAAAAAGAGAGGTTAAGATTAATGAGGAAGGCGGGGGTGAGACCAAATCAGCAGAAGACGACACTCAATACTGAAGGGGGTGTGCATCATGATATCAAACAGATGTACAACATAAATTCCAAGACAAGATTGGATGAGATGGGTGAAATGGATGCGATACAGTTTGCGCTTCACGGAGCTGAACATCGTGGGTACCATATCTGTTTGCAAAAGGACTCTAATAATGTGCTCACTAATCTGTTTTTTGCGCACCCGACGTCCATTCAGATGTTGCATGCATGGCCGTACGTCATCCTCATTGACTCGACCTACAAGACCAACAGGTACGGCTGGCCATGGGTTGAGATTATTGGGGTTACTCCAGTGAAGAAGAATTTCAACATTGCATGTGCAATTATTAAGCAGGAAACAAAGGAAACATATGAGTGGCTGCTGCGATGTATTAAAGGGTTGCTCGGTGATACGGTTCCGAATGTCATTGTGACAGACAAAGAAGGTGGTTTGCTTGCTTCTATTCCTGTGGTCTTCCCTCTCCCACATACTGTCCACCTACTATGTTTATGGCACGTCAACAACTGTGTGAAGCAAAAGTTTGAAGTGTTACTTGGTGGAATTGCAAAAAGAGAGGTAGCACATGCGGTATGGAAGAAATATTTCGACAAAGCTGCATGGAGTTGGACTCAGGAGGGTTTTCTTCAAAAGATTAATGAGTTTGAGAGGGTCTGGACAGTGAAGAACAAAAAAATGGTCGACTACGTGCGAGGTGAGTGGTTGCCTCATCAGACAATGTGGGCAATGTGCTACACGAACCATGTGTTTCATCTTGGTAACACGAGCTCGAATAGAGTTGAGTCATCTCACTCTTCATTCAAGACTTTCCTTGTGTCTGGTAGAGGAGCGATCGACACTTGTTTTGCGAAGAACCACAACTACATGGAACATCAGTTTCTGGAAGTGGTGAATGAACTGCACAAGTCACTGAACCGCAATCTGAGTAGGGCAATTGAGGCTCCGTGCACGTTTTTGAGGAGGGTCGTTAGTTCTGAGGCAATCAAACTGATGTTAGATGGGGCGGCGGAGTTGAAGGACAGTTGTGCGTGTCATTTTCAGATGACACATGGGCTCAAGTGTGCTTGCCAGATTGTTCAAGCTAAGGAAGAAGGACGTCAATTCTATGCTCAAGAGTTGCATGTATTTTGGCGGACTTTGGATTTTAAAAACCCCCCACGTCAACAACAAGTCAGTGATGAAATTGAGCTTCAACGAGAACACTTTAGGCGTCTTACTGTTGAGGTGGAAGAAAGAGGTCCTGAAGCAGTGAGACAAGCAAGAGATGCCCTATTCTATGGGCTTCATCCAGCAGAGGACAATGTGAGGGAACCGGAAGTGAATGAGAATCCGAGAGGACGCCCTAGAACAAGCACCAGTCGCATTCGTTCATATTATGAGCGGTCTCGTTCGAGGAGTACTGGGCCTGGTTCGAGTGGAGGTAGGGGGCGATCGAGTGGAGGCAGATCCCGATCGAGTGGAGGCAGATCTCGATCGAGTGGAGGCAGATCTCGATCGAGTGGAGGCAGATCCCGATCGAGTGGAGGTGAATCCGACGAGCATGATACAGGTGAGTAATTGGTTTAATATCTAGTAGAAATTGGTTTATGTTTGTAAATTTTTTCCATGTAATTTTGACCGTTTGGTATATTTTTGTAGATTACTCATCCCAGAGCCCCCCAGGGCAATATTCTTACCCTTACATCGATGAGCTTTTTCCAGAGTTTGTTCGACCTTTGCTGGTAGGCGATTTCAACCCTAGTCCAGATGGCCATTGTGGTTTTAGGGCACTTTCTCATTGTATTTATGGGGATGATAGTCACTATCTGCTCATGAGATCGACGATTGTCCAAGAAATCCAACAACATTTTTGGAAGTACGAGAACTTGTATAATGGTGGTCCACTAGCTCACATTGACCGCATCAATTGGCTCGAGGCGGGTCATGCACCACCGGGGCGATGGATGGATTCTGAGGACTTGTTCGTGTTTGCCACCATCTACAACATCGCAGTCATGGTCTTCACATACCAGGTGTTTGATGTCAATAATGGAAACCGTCCACTACCCAACCGCTACGATGATGCCTATACTGTATTGCCTATTGATGCGGACCCAGGTACTTTGCCACCAACCATGTTCTTATCACTGCACTATGTGAACAACCACTACATTCGATTGTACTTCAACCAGAATCAGTTTCCTATACCCCCTTTGCATCCACTTTGGAATGGGATCGCAAATCCTAATGTGGCGGAGTGGGGAGCTATTCTCGAGGTTGGACAGAATTTGTTTGCGAGCCTTGGTGGTCGGCAGCGAGCACGGCAGAGAGACCCCCGAAGAGCTAGGGGAAGGGGTAGGGGTAGGAGCAATGCATAGTGTTGCAATACTCTATTTATATGTTGTTGTTTTTCTAGTTGTATTTTTAATGACCCTAGTGTCATTATGAACTTATGGATTTCATTATGTTCTAGTTGTATCTTTAATGACCCTAAACATGCAGTCTAAACATAAACATCCGATCCAAACATACATAAGTAGTCAAACACTGCCTGATGAGGCCTCTGATGGAAAGGTGTCCAAAACACATCAGAAGGGGTCAAGCTGTCAAGAGCTCGACGGTAGAACGCCAACCTCACACTGGGATCCGCCACAGAACCAGGTGCCGGCTGCCCAATCCATCGTGAAGCCCAAGCATCATCAGGTCCAACGGCGGCAGGCTCGAAGTGAGATGGCCTGAAACCCGGAAAGTACTCGTAGATCCAACACTGCAGAAGTGTGAGACAACCAGCCATCCCCCTGGCACCAGCACGAGACGCCTGACCAAGGTATCTGTACAACCAAGCAAGTGTACCTGACGCCCAACTATACTGATCTAACTCCTCCAACTCGTCCAAAAATAGGTTCACCACCGACCGAACCCTGTCTCTACTCTTGTCCACAAACAAAGTGGACCCCAACAACAACAACAAGTACGACTGCGCCTCTGTCACATGTGTCCCGTGGCTCTGCAAGTATCTGGACGCCATCTCTGCAAGAAAACCACCCTTCTCGTACCACTTACCCCTATTATTATATCCAGGGACCTCCGTACGACCACTCAACTGCTCCCAGTTCATCCCAAGAAGCGTACACAAACCCGCCTCCGGATGGTCAAGCTGCGCAGAACTCCTACTCATCAGTCGTCCCTCAACAGGAATCTGCAGTAAGTACTGAACATCGTGGAGGAGGATCGTCATCTCTCCAAAAGGCAAGTGGAAGGTGTTCGTGTCTGGCTGCCACCTCTCCACAAAAGCTGAGATCAAAGCATCGTCAATCGCTATCTTGCGGAACATAGAGTACATCAGGTGCTGGAGACCTGACTGCTGAACCAGATTCTCCGCCTCAACATGACTAAACACGTAGCTACTCAAATAAGCAACCGCCGATGTACGGCTGTAGCAACTGATGACCCCTCGATCTCCAGCCCCCGTCCAAAGCGCATAGGCAACGTGTCCACGAAAGCTCCTAATGAGGCTAGGATCCGTAGGTCCACCAGGACACTCACCAACAAGCTCCCACGGTGGAGGACCACTCGAACGTCCTCCCCTACTCCGTCCAGTCCCCGAGCTCTCTGTCTCATCACGAGCAGGTGGTACGAAGCGCCCAGCTCGGTCCCTATACAAAGCAGGACGTGATGTTGCCGTACGAGACGACACTCGTCCATGTCCACGCGTAGGTGGAGGGACCTCGATATCCTCATCACTATCGTCCTCATCAAACTCAGCCGAGACCACTCTGGATGCAGCACCCTGGTTCCTCCCATGGGAACCAGACGCCCGTGATGCCGAACGAGCAACTACAGTAGGAGCCTCTAACTCATCCTCCCCTAAATTTGCCTGTGACTGATGTCCAATATCTCGAGAGCGCTTATTCTCCTTATTCTTCCTTCGTGCTGATACATCAACAACCCTACCATTGAATCTATTCAACTCATCCCCACCCGCATGACCCGCATCATCCATATCTAATTATCTACAAATTTACAAAATATCATACTTAGATGCGCACTAATTAATCAATTCTTAATTAATTAAAATTCCATTAACTAATCTAAGTAATTAAACATTCAAACGCCTATTAAAAAAAAAACATTTATAAACCAACTGAAATAAATATTAACACTAATTTCTAATTTCTACTAACCAATTAAGTATTTATTTATTTATTAATTAATTATCGTATTAAATTAAATTAAATACAAAAACTGGCCGGGCCGCAAGAAATTAAATTAAATTTCTATTAATTAATGTGCTGAATATTAACATTCTTAATTAATTAAAATTCCATTAACTAATCTAAGTAATTAAACATTCAAACGCCTATTAAAAAAAAACATTTATAAACCAACTGAAATAAATATTAACACTAATTGCTAATTTCTACTAACCAATTAAGTATTTATTTATTTATTAATTAATTATCGTATTAAATTATATTAAATACAAAAACTGGCCGGGCCGAAAGAATTTTGCGGCCGGTGCGACGTCGGGCCGAAAAAAATTTGCGGCCGGAACGTCGGCCGGCCGAAAAAAATTTGCGGCCGTGGCGTCGCCGGGCCGAAAGATTTTTTCGGCCGGTGCGACGGCCGGCCGAAAATTTCTTTCGGCCCGGCGACGCCGCGGCCGCAAAATTTTTTCGGCCGGCCGACGAACACGCCGCCGGAATTTTTTTGGGCGGCGAGGTCGACGACCGGCCGAAAAAAATTTGCGGCCACGGCGTCGCCGGGCCGAAAGAATTTTTCGGCCGGCCGTCGCACCGGCCGAAAATTTTTTTCGGCTGGCCGACGCTCCGGCCGCAAATTTTTTTCGGCCCGCCCTGTTTTTCGCCGGAAAACTGGAAAACTTGCCGGAAAACTGGAAAACTGGCCGGAAAAAATAAACTTACTTGTTTTCCGACGATTGAGGGCGACGGGAGGTTAGCCGACGATGGAAGAACGGTGCCGGCGACGGAGGCATTGGGCTCGTCAACAGAAGTTTTTGTTGGAATGAGTCAAATGTTCATGGGTATCCGAATTTATAGAATGAAAGGAAGGGAAGGGAGGGAAAATTCAAAATTTGAATTCAAATTTTTTTTTTTTTTTTTGTTGGCGGCAAATAGCAATTTGCTTGGCGGCAAATAGCCGTTCACTATATATATACACACTTAAATGTAAAATTACTTAATATAAACTTTATTTCAATCATTAAATTTATAAGTTACTATATTATTTGTATACATATTTATAAAATGGCTCAAACAGGTAGAATCTCGATTAGACAATTGAACCATTGCTCGATCGACTCAATGACTTAAATCGATCTGGCAACCTTGGACATGATACTATTACCCAAATCCATGTTAAGTATAATATAGTCCCTAATGAGTAGAATCTAGTCCCTAATTCTCTAAATTATATATGCTAAGAGCAAATAATTGATTAAAACAATAATCGACGATATTTCTGATTTGTTGAAATATATATATCCAACATATCAGATATTCCATCTTCGATATTTTAGATTCTGTGGTTTAGAAAATTAGAACTTAGGATTCTTTCGTTAATGATTAGAGTATCGTACCATACCCAAAATCTGATTAATTATTTGAAAGCTTAGATAGCATTTCATAATTATTAAAAGTACACAACAATAAACTTGTAGTCATTCGAGTACCATATATTCCAGAATATATATATATACCTCTCGAGGCCAAGGAGCCGCATGGCAGACGAAATCCCTCGGTCGCCGCCGTCCGATGAGAGTTGTTTATTGGACTGCAGTTGAAGCAACCGTTGCTGGACTAGCTTCCTTTCGCCGTCGACTATTTTAACGATCAGCTCGTCGTCGTCGTCGTCATCGTGGTTTCCGCCTTTCGCCATGCTTACCGGCTTCTCCTTGATGATCCCGGCCTCTTCCCCACACACGTACGCTGAAGAAGAAGAAGAAGAAGAAGAAGAAGAAGAAGACAATATAATGGAACTGATCATCTGGTTAATCTGCCGGATAAAATAATAAGCACGTAGAGGGAGCTTAATTACCAGTCGAGACATGGACGAGCAACTTAATTCTGGCACATTTTTTGGAGAAGTTCAACACATGCGCTGCTCCGTAGGTATTTGTCGCCAGCGCCACGTCGTATCTGCGCGCGACGAATATATATGATTTATGCTAGCGTACACTACTAATTTTATTAATGTCGAATAATAAAGTTTCTCCAGTTAATAATAATATTACTCTATCCAGATTTTAATGTCTTTCACCTAAAAACATGTATTACTGACGTCAATGAGTAAACATCACCCATAAAGTATATGTTTGAATGCTTTTCTAAAAATTGCCATATGGCGAGTTCTACGGTACCCCTGGTGAAATCCGCAGTACCACATACCTTGAGTATGAAAACGTTATTCATATCTTGAATTGACTGATCGCTTGGACATGATACTATACTCTAACCCTTAAAGATCAAAATCTAAGTCTTAGTTCTCTAAATCTTATACCCCATTATCAATTTAATTAGAAACAATAATCGACGGTTATGATTCGTTGAAATATAGGCAAAAAATGATTGCATCATCTTAGGGTTTATAGTTCACGATTTAGATAATTAGGACCTAGGGTTCACTCATTAAGGGTTAGGGTATAGTATCAGGCCCAAAAATCCTACTAATTCGAGGTTTAGATAGTGATTTCATACTCAAAGTATATTATCTTCTATTTGTTTCGGCATATTCATTTGTCAACTAGCTTTCTTGCCATCAAACGTCACTTCTTACCGTCCTTCCATAGTTGGAGTATAGAGTTACTTTAGAATTTTTGCAGAAAAAAAAAATGAGAATACATAAGTCAATATAAACCATAATTAGAACGGTTCATGATAGCGAAATTTTGACGTCAGTTAATTATTAATTAATATATAAACAAGTTGGCTGTACGTACCTCTCATCAAATCGGGTGGTGGCGGCGAAATTGACGACCAAGTCTGTCTCCTTCCAGATTTCCTTCTTCAGATCAACGTCCTCGATTCCCAGATCCTCGCGAGAGATATCCCCGGCAACAGCAACCACTTTTTCCGATACGAATTTCGCGAAATTCGGTCCCCATTTCTCCTTCACAACCCTAAACAGCTCCTTCTCCATCACCTGCATGCATGCATGCATGCATAATACGTACCTACGTAAATATGGATCATAGATAGTACGTAGAACCTAATAACTAACTAAATTACCTCGTCTCGCAGGCGCTTCGCCGCAGAGTGGGAATCTGGAGCTCTCATGAGAAGGTAGAGCTTCTTCACGTCAGGTTGAATCCTCAGCACCTTCTCCACAAAAACTGGAAAAGATTTTTTTTTTCCTGTTAATTAACATAGTACATAAACGAACCCAGCAACGAATTAACTGACAGTGGGTAGTTAGTACTTACCCTTTGCAAGAAATCCAGCTGAACCTGTAACCAGAACGGTTTTGTTGTCGAGCACAGATGCCGGAATCATGGTTATCGTCTATGATCGAGTATTTGATACTGATTCGAATCTCCATCGGTGTAGATATATATATATACAAGAAAACACAGCCCGAACGGTCAGCAATGGCAGTCAGCCTCAAGGAAAAACTGCAACGTGCAAAATAAAAAGATCAACGAGTAATTAATGGGGAATTCTGTGATGCCGGCACTGTATGAATGCCGCCCCTTTCTAACCGGCTACTGCCGGTCGTTTATTTGTTTTTTTTTTTTTTCCAGCAAGGTTTTGTTATTTTTTAATCAATAACAATATGTGTGTTTTCCGTTAAGTAAAGGGGAGAGAATTTTGTTTTACCCTACTACAGTGTATTACTTTTTCTAACAGTGTTAGGTAAATAATAAAGCAAATATAATTTATTAGATAAATCTTTTAAAAATTTTAAGTTAGTAGTCAAACCTTTCGAAATATAAAATATTAATAAAATATTTTTAACACGTCAAAATATTTGTCATTTTTCTGTTACTGTTAGGGCTGTCCATTTGGTTATGGTTTTAACCGAAACCAAACCAATTGGAAAGCTAATGGTTTCAGTTTTTTTGTTTTAAACCAATAAGCAACTTAATGGTTTTGGTTTGGTTAAAACCGAAAAACCAATAGAAACCAATAAGAATAAAATTATTTATCACCAAAAAAAAAATTTTGTTTCTTTTGACACGCATGCCAACCAATAATTTGTTATGGCTAGTTACCATTATTATGACGTTTATTCAATAAAAAGGAGGGAAATAGGAATAAATATGAATGTATGAGTACATGTTGATTTTTTGGTTATCCAAACCAAAACCAAAAACCCAATAAGGGCGTTAATGGTTTTGGTTTTTGGTTTTTCATACTTAATGGTTTGGTTAACCAAACCAAACCAAATTGACAGCCCTAGTTACTGTTAACAATTATGTAACCTTTTTCTTAGTTAGAATACTAAAATTCTGCAATATTGATCATCACATGTCTCTTCCAAACCAACATCATGTATTGCAAAGTCAGCATTACTAATAAAACTGCTCACACGAAGTTATGTTTGAGTAAAACTTTGTATCTTGAAAGTTTTGGTTAATAATTTGAAAGGTTAGAAAGGTTTGGCCGATAAATTATATTTACCTTAAATACCCTTACTTCTCATGACATGCCAATTGGCTTAAGATAACAAAACATGTCGCTTTTGTCCTAAAATATTCACAAATGAGAATTCTAGCACAAACTAATAGGTTTTTGTGACATTTGTATCCGACCATTTCGTTGACAGTTAAAAATAATGGTTGACCAGACGGTGATCAGGATGCGTTGAATTATGATGACGTGATTGACACATCGATGTCACACCATTAACACATGAGAATAAATTTTTAATTTAAAATAAAATAAAAAAAAATGATAACAAAAAACTCATCTTTCTACCTCCCGCGTCCTCACAATCTCTTCATAATCACTATTAAAAATCTCACCACCAGCTCCACCTTTCCACCACTAATTAGTGCTTTGGCTCGGGATCTACTTCAGTTCCCGAGGATTCACCCGTCTACTACTCCAGACGCCGACAAAATTGATAGTTTCAACCATGATATGGGGGGATTAGGCACAGGTGAGAACACTCTCGTAGACTTTGTTGCATGCTCCACCTATGTTGTGTTAGAGGAGAACAAAACTTGGGTTATGGTGCCTATTTTGGTGGTAAAGGGACACTCGAGGAGGATGATTCGTTTGCCTCTTTATAATTAATTTTGTGATTCGGAATTTGACTTATCCTGATCGTTAGGTTTTTCTCTATAAATCTGATGTTGATTTTTGTTTCTCTTTCTATGTCAAACTTCATTCCGACAATCCAATGAATATGATTCGATAACAGTTTCGTGCCACTAAGGATCATTTACAAATTATAATTCTTAGTGTAAGTAGAGTGATTCTAAAAATATGTAACTAAAATTATCACTTTTCAATATGAAAAAGGAGATTTTAACCCTAATGGCTAAATATAACAAAAAGATAGAATAATAATTAGAAAATTGATAACCATTAAGCGTACTTGCATAATCTAATATCAATAATCTAATTTGTCAACAAGAAATATTTTTTTATAGATATTATATGTTTTAAGTAACATAAAATTTATGAAAATAATTTTAATTTAATAAACTACTATTGATATTCGTTATATTAAAATTTTATGAAAATAATTAAATTTTTTGAAAGAATAAATAATTATTAGCGTAAACTTTTTTTTTAGAAATTTTATTAGTAATATTGACTGAGAAGAGATATATGGTGGTCAACGCCCATTTTAAAATTTTGAGTAATAAATGATATATCTAAAGCCATGTAGACCCATTGATTATGAATAGGGTATGGGTGACATGACATATATGGGTTTGGAAGTTTGTAGATGAGTTTGGGTAGGGTATGGCTATTTACTTTCATAATCTAAATGTGTATGAGTTGGGTATGGATACCCATTTATTTGAGGGTATTTTAATTACGCATACAAAAATTAGGCCTATTTGTAAAACTTCAAAAGTTCAGGTACTAAAATGTAATACAAAAAAATAGGTACTAAAATATAATTGTCCATCAATAATTTGAGGACTTATATGTCGAAAAAATAAATTTAGGTTATAAATCTAAAGATATATTAAGTTTATGTATCCAACTGAAATTTGCATAGTTGAGGCTTTATTATTTTTATGGTGATGTATTTAAGATGATAATTATTTACTTTTTTATAGAAAATAGGAAGCTATTTATTTGATAAGTATAATTGTTGAAACTGGAATAACCATAGTTGAAGATGACGACTTTCTAATAGGTAATAATCATATATATATGTAGTTAGTAGAAGTTTGTTTAGTACCCCGAAAATATTAAATGAGTTTATAAATTCGCTCTTGCAATATTTTAGAATCGTCTTCTTTTATCATTTTTTAATGTTTTATTAATGAGCAAATATAAGATGGTCGAATCTTTTTCTACAGTTGAGTGATACAACATCTTGTATGGTACAAACTAAATTTACACTTTTATGTTATGGTGGATTGGATTCATGGATTCAAGTCAAATCTAAACATTGGACCAATATGTAAATGTAAAAAATTGTAGGTACGAAAATATCAAAAAATTTAGATACCAAAACATAATTATCAATTATTTTACATTAAAATTAAATTTGGGGTATCATGTAAAATATACATTATATTATAGTAACTAAGTTGTAATTTAATTAAATTGGAGGTATAAATATGTAATAATTTAGGAATAGTAACTTGACTTTAACTTTATATATATATTAATATATAAGCACTAAATATTTGTAGCACCATAAATAAATTAAATAAATAAATTAACAATAGTAAAATAATTGAAACTGTGAGACCATGATTTTGCTTTCCATGTAACAATAACTGGCAACAAAAACAATAAAGAAAAAAAGTGAAGAAAACCGGCGGCTGACAAAAAAAAAAGGCTAAAATTAAACGGCAATCACCAGTGAATTACAAAAAACTGCACATGTTGTCTTTTACGTGTCTGATTTAAGAAAAGATAATGGAGCAAAATAAAATTAAAAATGAAGCAAACAGGAAATAGTTTTTCTTGTTTCCATAGCCCATTAATTAAACAGGGATGCCAAAGACCGGCTATAGCCGGTAGAAACTCGACGGCATCGGTACAGGCGCGGCACCAAAGAATTGTCGGTAATTAAGTCGTCAATTATGCAGAGCTAGGGATGAAGACAAAGTAAATAAGTATACTACACTATTACAGATTTGCGTTTGTACCATAAAGAAATTCGTACAAAAGTGTTTAGGTAAAGAAAATTTGTAATATAATATTGGACGCGTATAACTTCAGTTTGTACAGGGTCGATAAATGAGGTGTGCCGCGACACAGGGGCTTCTGAATATTAGGAGTTCGGTCTCCATCGCAAGTCTTTTAGTTGATTCGAATTCTATATTTATTTATGATGAACTTGTAGTGTAGTAGTGTATGATTGGTTGGTTATAGTTATGATATGAGTTAAAATATATAAATTAATATGCACATGTATATATGAACCGGGAATAATGCATATTCATTGTTAAAGTCCAATTTGTTATAAATTGATACAGGAACTCTTTAATGGGTTGGTGATGACGATGATTTCTCGCTGAATTTTTTCTCTTGAAGAGTTAGTAGATAATTCTATTTCAAATTATTATTTAAATAACCATTTTTGTTCTTATTAAACTTAAGAAATTGGATCTCATCTCGGTTTTAGCCCAGAGCCTAGCTCCATGACTTTTTGGACAACCCTGAGTTTGTATTATAAATGAATTCATACACAAAAAAGTACAATGGACAAACTGAAATCGTATCATAACGCGTTATAAATGATTTCTTGCAACAGTGTAGCAGCCAGCAGGATTCTATCCACCTATTTTCAGAACCGTTCGTTGCAACAGTGTAGCAGAAAAAAAGAAAGAAAGAAAGCTCCATGCATGAAAAGAACACCCCAGAGCTTATTCAAACTGTCGCATCCAGCAGAATCCTTCGCCTTCCATTCAAGATCTGGATTTGAGCAAATCCGCAGCCGGGGCAGAGAAGACGTCGAGGAGGGGTCCAAAAAGGAGTGGAAAAGAGCTCACCGGAGATCAAATCACAGGGAAAAACTGATTGCCCTTTTGGATGGGAATCGAAAATGGAGTCGAAAATGATGGGAGAATTAAACTGAAGCCGAATCATGTGGCCCAAACACATCGTTTGCCCAAATAGATTGAAAACATTAAACACGTTTGCTAATTTTTCTCATCAACTGTTTTTTTTTATATATGATTTATTCCATTTAACTTTCATTTAATTATTATTTGTTTTTTTTCCTGGCCTTGAGGGTTAGTAATTTTATGTATGGCTCATTGTGGGAATTCGGAATGTGTTTTGCTTCATCTGCTGTAGTATTTCAATTTTGTCTGTGGTTTACCAGCTAAAGCTGATGGTGTCCTCCTTAATGACTGATGGAGGGCCTCTAAACAAGTTAAAAGTTTTCTCTAGTCATTTATGTTCTTGTAGATGTCTGGGCTGGTGGCAAATGTCGACTCTGCTGATGTGAAGGCAGAGATGAAATATTTTGGCACTTCAAAGGCATAGACTCTGCAAAAATCGGGTTAATTGCATTGCACCATGTGTCTCTTAAGTTTACTATTTGTTGCACGTTAACCACCTAGGTACGTTTTGTTGCAACTAAACCATTTATATTAACTTCCGGTTGCATAGTTACCATTTCCGTCCCCCAAACTAACAATAGTCGTTAAAATGCAATTTTTCATGTTAGTGAAAACATAATACACAAGTCATAACCTCATAACAGGAATACCTTCATATAATTCATTGGCCAGATAGACCACATATAAAAAGCAATCTAAAACACTTCTATACAAAAACAAAAAAAATATCTATAGACTAATTATATCTTTTTTAGAGTTTCTCCTCTGCTCACCGAATTAATTAATTAATTAATTACACCCAACCCGATCTCACGTGGACCGCCACCTGGCTTGCAGCGGGCCCACCGCCCTCGTACAATATCCTCGGCTTGCCGCAAACACTAACGCGGACACGCTCCAGAACGGAATACGACGCCGCATCAAACCAGACGCTCTCCAACCAGCCGCAGTTCCAGATGTTTAGGCTTTTCAGCCTGACAGAACCAAGTGCAGGATCAAGGTCCAAGAGAAGAAGAAAGGAAGCTGGGTTTCTTCTATTGGAATCCGGATGGCAGCAGGATTTGCAGCAGAGAAGAAAGGAAGAAGAAGAAACGGTGACGTTTTGTTATGTTAACAGAAGAAGATGGAAAGAACGGCAGCGTTTTGTTTAGTTGATATTAGCCGTTATAATTACTGTTGGTTTAAACTTTGTACCCACTCTTGTTTGGACACGTGTCTTGTTTTGTTAATTGTTCTGTTTGATATAAAAGAACAGAGAAGCCTCAGAGTTTGCTGAGCTCCTCTTTCCAACATTTCTGTGAAATCGTCATGGTATCAGAGCTTCCGCCGCTCTAGGGTTTTTCCGCAGACGACAACAGAATGTCAGCGAGGCAGACTCCGCCGCAGACACCGCCGAACAATGGGAGCACTGGTAGTGGAACAACATCAGCTTCAGGGGTACGTTTTGGTTCCTTCGACTAGACTCAAATTCAGCCTGAGACAATCGTCTTTGGTAACCCCTACTACCTTAACCCAAATGAGAACATGTCTCAATCTCTTGTTGCTGAGCCTTTTGATGGCACGAACTATGTTATGTGGAGTCGTTGTATGCAAGTAGTGTTGAAAGCAAAGAATAAGATTGGTTTTATAGATGGGTCAATTCCAGTACCACCTCGAGATGCAGATCTATTTGGTTTGTGGGATGCCTGCAACACAGTGGTCTTATGTTGGATTCAGAACTCCATGACCAAAGAACTTAGGAGATCGATACTGAATCACAACAACTCGAAGACACTGTGGGAGGAATTAAAGAGGCGTTTTGGTCAGCCTAATGCTATGAGGATTGTGAACCTGGAAGACGAGATCCAAGCCTGTAAACAAGGATCCAAGTCCATTACTCAGTACTACACGGCTATTAAGGGTCTTTGGGATGAGTATGTGGAGTTTAGTCCCATCACTCCTTGTACTTGTGCACCTGGAAACCCAATTCCTTGTGCTGCAGTTGCTGCCTTTGTGCATAAGCAAGAAACTGACTACCTGATACGTTTCTTGAGAGGGTTAAATCCAGATTATGAAGTGGTTAAAACGCAATTGCTTATGCAAAAACCTCTTCCCACTGTGTTTGCTGCTGTTGATGACTTACTTCAGCATGAACAGAAGCTGAAGGCAGACACAACCACAAGTGGAAAGAAGGGACAGAGCTTGGCTTTAGCAGTTGGGGAGAACAATTCAAGGGAGAGTACAGATTCAAAGGGAAGGAAGTTTTGTCGGTTCTGTAAGATGAACAATCATACTATTGAGGATTGTTGGAAGTTGAAGAGGAAACATGAGATGCAGAAGGAGAGGAACTCTAATGAGGGGTCAAGTTCCAGTTCCAGTACTCCTCGGTTTGCTGGGTCTATTTCTCAGGGAAGTGGAAATGATAGTGCATCAGAAGGAGGTATGGCCAATGAAGGTAAGGTCTCTGCTCCCCCTGCCTTTACTCCTGAAGAGATGAATCGTCTCAGGTACCTTCTGCAGACTGGTGCTAATACATCATCCCCACCTACCTCTCCATCTCTTAACCATCAAGCTTACTCAGCCACCTTCCACCCAACTACTTTTCCCAACTTCTCAGGTAAACTTGCCTTGTCTTCTTCTCCAAGTACTAGAACCACTTGCCTTGTCTTCTTCTCCAAGTACTAGAACCACTAATCATAACCTATGGATTGTAGATACAGGAGCTTCAGATCATATTGCCTGTAGTCTTAACCTCTTTTCTAGCTGCAAACCAGTCCATGATTCCTTTGTTTACCTTCCTAATAGCACCAAAGTAGCAGTCACACATGTAGGGATAGTCAAGTTGGCCTGTGGTCTAACCCTACATGATGTCCTGTTTGTCCCCCATTTTTCATTCAATCTCATCTCTGTTAGCAAACTCACACATGACTACCCTTTTTCCTTACATTTTCACTCTGATAAATGTGAAATTCAGGACCTGATAATCCAGAAGAGGATTGGTTTAGCCCACACCACTAGAGGCCTCTATCACCTAGCACTCCCTTCAAGCTTCATCAAGCCTTCCATCACTGATCACCAACATCAAGCAGCCTTCACCTTCAACTTTCAACCCCAAGACCTGAACCTGTGGCACTGGAGGCTAGGACACCCTAGTCATGATAGGCTTTCCTTACTTAGTTCTGTAATTCCAACTCTTTCCAGACCTAAGACTCTTCACTGTGAAGTCTGTCATTTGTCCAAACAAAGAAAACTACCATTTCCTATTAGCACTAGTGTTGCACCTGAGATTTTTCATCTTGTTCACATGGATATTTGGGGCCCCTTATCTACTGTTTCTTATGATGGCTTTACCTATTTCTTGACTGTTGTGGATGATCATTCAAGATGTGTATGGGTGTATTTGATGAGACATAAGAGTGAAGTTAGAGACTTAATACAGGGTTTCTGTAACCTGGTTAAAAACCAGTTCAACACATCAGTCAAGGTGATTAGAACTGATCAAGGTAAGGAGTTTGAGATGTGTGAGTTCTTTAAAACAGAAGGGATTGAACACCAGGTTTCCTGTGTGGAAACACCAGAACAGAATGGAAGGGTAGAGAGGAAGCACCAGCACATTTTAAATGTTGCTAGATGCTTGAAATTCCAGTCAGGGTTGCCTTTAGTCTATTGGAGTGATTTTATTTTACATGTTGTGTATCTGATAAATAGGATTCCCACACCTATTTTAGATAACAGAACCCCCTATAAGTTGCTCCACAAGCAAGTGTCATCTCTTGGGCACTTGAAGGTGTTTGGCTGTCTTTGTTATGCCAACACATTATCCCATGCCAGAACCAAATTTGCTCAAAGAGCCAGACAATGTGTATTCCTTGGCATACCTGCTGGTATCAAGGGTTATTAAGGTTCTGGACATACATGATAGAAAAGTGTTCTTTTCCAGAAATGTCTCATTCTATGAGACCATTATTCCCTTCAAAACACAAACAGCTTTCACTCCCTCTCTATCTCCACCTTCTTCCCCTTCTCCTGTTCCCTCTCAAATGCCTTCTCCTGCTACCCCACTTCATGTTCCCTTTCCCATTGTCCCACCAACACATCCTGTGTCACCCCCTGCTCAGTTTCTTTCATCTATAGATGAAGGGGGGAACACTAAGCCTAGTCCCGAGGCAATGTCATCTGAGCCAGTTCTCACTTATGGCAATGATCATTACACATATTTTGACTCTGATAGCCAGGAATTACACATCCAAGCTGACATAGATCCTGATGACCCTAGCACACTTGAAACCAGGAAAACTTCCAGACAAATCAATCTACCCACCAGATTCAAGGACTATCAGTTAGATTCCACACTCAAGTTTGGAGCCTTTGGCACTAGTCAGGCATGTGGCAAACATCCAGTATGTTTGAATGTTCATTCATTGAGCAAAGAAGACCAACTGTATGTCCTGAGTGTACTGAATCATGTTGAACCAAGGTCTTATTATGAAGCCATCAAGTCTGATGTGTGGAATAGAGCAATGAAAGAAGAGATGCATGCTCTAGAAGAAAACCAAACTTGGGATATAGTTCCCCTACCACCAGGAGTGAAAGAAGTGGGAAACAAGTGGGTCTATAAGATAAAACTACTTCCAGATGGTTCCTTGGAAAGGAACAAGGTAAGATTGGTGGCCAAGGGGTATACACAAGTGTATGGTATCGATTTTCTGGATACATACTCCCCTGTGGCAAAGATAAACACAGTGAAAACATTTCTGGCAGTGGCAAGTGTGAAGAACTGGATCCTTGAGCAGTTGGATGTCTCCAATGCTTTCTTGCATGGAGATCTTGATGAAGTTGTGTACATGAAGTTGCCATTAGGACTGGAGGTGCCTTCAGGAAGTAATCAGAAGATGACCTGTAGACTCAAGAAATCACTGTATGGACTTAAGCAAGCCTCCAGACAGTGGTTTGCCAAACTGACCTCTTTTCTCTTGAAGTTTGGCTTCTCACAGTCTGCTTCTGATTATTCACTTTTCACTAAGTGGACACATGGTAAGGTAACTGTACTACTGGTTTTTGTTGATGACATAATTCTGGGGGGAGACTCAAAGAAGGACATTGAACAAGTGAAGGTAGCTCTTAGCAAGGAGTTCAAAATTAAGTTGCTAGGACCACTCAAGTACTTTCTGGGATTGGAAGTGAGTAGAGATGCAAGTGGATTGAATGTATGTCAGAGAAAGTACTGCTTGGAACTTTTGAAAGACACAGGCTATCTTGAATCGAAAGGGTGCAAAACACCAGTTGACACCAAGGTTAAATTAACATCCAAAGGAACTCCTATGGATGATGCAGAAGGGTATAGGAGACTGGTTGGCAGGTTACACTACCTGACCATCACTAGACCTGATATAGCATTTGCTGTACAACAGCTATGCCAATATCAGAAGTCTCCACCAGATCAGGGGATACATTTCAGCAGCAAAGCTGAGTTGACTATGACAGCCTATAGTGACTCAGATTGGGCAAGTTGCCCAGACACAAGAAGATCCATCACTGGATACTGTACCATGCTTGGTACTTCTTTGATCACATGGAAAACAAAGAAGCAGACTACAGTTTCAAGGTCTTCCTCAGAGGTAGAGTATAGAGCACTAGCTCACTTGGTTTGTGAGGTGGAATGGCTAAAGAGGTTGCTAGCTGAACTGACAGTGCAGGTTCCTCTACCCATTACTGTTTACTGTGACAACAGATCTGCAATTCACATAGCAGAGAATCCAGTCTTCCATGAGAGGACTAAACACATTGAGATTGACATGCATGTGACAAGGGAGAGGGTGAAACTTGGTTTGATAAAGCTGAGGTACATCAACACTGCAGAAGAGTTAGCAGATATTTTCACAAAGGGCCTTGATCGTTTCAGGTTGAGAGAGTTGCTGGTCAAGTTGGGGATCAAGTTGACACCACCAACTTGAGGGGGGATGACAGAACCAAGTGCAGGATCAAGGTCCAAGAGAAGAAGAAAGGAAGCTGGGTTTCTTCTATTGGAATCCGGATGGCAGCAGGATTTGCAGCAGAGAAGAAAGGAAGAAGAAGAAACGGTGACGTTTTGTTATGTTAACAGAAGAAGATGGAAAGAACGGCAGCGTTTTGTTTAGTTGATATTAGCCGTTATAATTACTGTTGGTTTAAACTTTGTACCCACTCTTGTTTGGACACGTGTCTTGTTTTGTTAATTGTTCTGTTTGATATAAAAGAACAGAGAAGCCTCAGAGTTTGCTGAGCTCCTCTTTCCAACATTTCTGTGAAACCGTCACAGCCTGCGGCAGGAAACCACCCTCACCCTCAGAAACCTCCCAACGCAGCAGCCGATCCTCTCGCCGTCTGCAGCAGAGGGCAGCCGAGCGTCAAATCTCGATCTTGGGTCGTCCACCTTAACCCCTGCACGTCCACGACCCTGAGCGTCTCACAGCGCCAGGAGCGTGACCGGAAATTTGTGGTAGCGTCCGCGGTTATGATAAGCAGCGGCCGCGAGGGTCAGGCGGCGGAGCTCCTCGACGCCGTGTGCCACGGCGTAGTCGACGGCCTCGCGGCAGAGCGGGTCGTCGGGGTCCACGAATCGGAGGCGGAGCTCGTCCAGCTTATTCCCCGGCAGGCGGCGGCGGATGGTGGAGCGGACGTAGCTCGCGAAGCTCCCGCGGGTCCCGATGGTGGAATTGTGAGAAGTGGAGGCAGTAGCGGATCCAGGAATTTTTTATAGGGATGTCCTCTTCCAAAAATTAAATTTAATTAAAAAATAAATTAAATAATTCATAAATAAAAAAATATTCGACTAGTGCAAATATACCATATTAAACAATAATTCACGAACTGATCGAATATTCGATTTTTAACCTTGTTCCTGATGTAACTCAAATTTGAAAGACTCTTTCAACTCTTGCAATATACCTATAAAATCAATTCAAATTAAGGATAACTCGAATGAATTTAATTGTTAGATTTTGAAAACAATTGGGAATAAAGAATAGTGTTTTTACAATTACATAGTGTTTAAAATAGAACAACAAATGAGTTGCAACCTAGAGAATATGTTTAATAATAGTAGTGTCCTAGGTTTGAATAACACAGAGATTACTACTTATATATTTTTAATCATACGCAAACTACTACCGAGAATAGGATAATTTTTTTTCAAAATTTAAGGGTGTCCTGAATTACCAATTATAATTTTTTTTATCCATACAAAACTACTATCAGGGGTGGATAATCGTTTCCCTAAATTTTAGGGGTGTCTTGGGACACCCTAGAGGCCCATGTATCCGCCACTGAGTGGAGGTGGGGGATTTGGTTCCAGGCGGAGTAGAGCCTCCTGCTCGTCGTGCAGATCTTGGCGACGGTCGGGAAAGGGAGGTCCGATAGGATTCGGAGGACGAGCGGCTCTGGCAGGTCGGTGATTGAGGTCGCGGCGGCGGCGGCCATGTCTATAGCTTCTTCTCCTCCTCCGACCTGAATAATTTGGGTTTTTATAGAGCAAAATCCGAACACAGCTTGTTGCATGCACCATGATAAGTCTCGTATTCGGATTATAACTGTAGTTTTTTTTAAGATGATTAAAAGTAACTAATTACGAGATCTAAGGTACAAATTTCTAATAGGATAGATTCAATATATATTATGATTATATATTAAGATAAAAAAGTACTTAATATTATTCAGTTTATATGAAAATGTCAAGATATGCTCGGATCGTTTACGCAAACTTTCAAAATTCTCGGGGGGCCGGGACCCCCGAGAGCCTACCTAACTTCGCCTCTGTTACCTAGCTTCGCCCTTGTTGTCAATGAAAAATACTTGAGTTACAAAATAAACTATAAATGTATTTCATAAACCTTTTGAAGTACAAAAATATCGTCGCGTGGCTCGTAGTAAAAAAAAACAATGAAATTGTGTAATCTATAAATTATATTTTTATTTATTGTTATCGATGGATACACATCTCAATAATTATGAATCCACACCTCAAATTAAGTTATCATATTCATTGTCTTTTTTACCCCATGCTATTGATAGGGATCTGTAGGGCTGAAGAAATATACTCTTGGGGTTCAAATACAGGGTCTACAAATTGAAAACCAATCGATATTATGATTAAACTACGTTTAAATCAATCTCTCGATCGGTTCGCGAACATATTCGTGACTTAATTCTCAAGCAAACAACCTAAAATTAGTTAATCATAAAAAAAACTAGGGCTGGCTATTTGGTCCGGGCTTTTTGGTTTTACCCGAAACGGACCGCATAACCCGGATCGAGATCGGACCGGGACCGGATAGCAAACAATCAAATCCAATTTCGGGCATAGATTTGAGGTAAAAAAAACCGTTTCGGACAGGACCGAAAACAGAGACCCCCAACACCCAAAATTTAATCTCCTCACCCTTTCAGGCCTTATGTCACTCAAATCCCCCCTCAGGCCACTCAAATACCCACAAACACATTCTAAAATTAAGACTGAATTGGGACCAGACCGATTCAAGATCCGACCGGATCAAGGCCGGACTGTATCCAATCCAATCTTTGTTCCTTATATTCTCGAAAAGACCAAACCGGGACCGGATCAATTTAACCGGAACACACCGTATAGCCGAGGAAATCCTTTATTCATCAACCGAGAGAACCTTCATCACGATCCAAAAACATACTTTTGGATAGGTGAGTACAAAAGCAACCAACTTAATTAGCTAGTAAAAACAGTAACATACTTTATGGGGAAAAAACTCATGAAATTACTACTACGTTTGAACATCTTGTATCAACTCGAGTTATTGGAATCACTGATTCTAACAGCGACGCGACCAGAGCATCCTATATTGATCAGCAGATGTTCTCGACCTCGTACCTCAAACAGCAGTCATGGCGGAAGACAGTTCCTCCAGCTCGCCCGCTGCATCCCTCTTTCAGGCGGTCCCTGGCAGCCGCAAAACAATCGCGACACTTGGTGCCAGCCTCGTCGTCGCAGCCGAAGTAGCTGTACGCCGTGAAACTCTTACCCCCGCTCGCAAAATCTCTCCAGAAGCAGCCCTCCTTGTCGCCGAGGGCGAAGTCTTCATCCCCGAACCGGTCCATCATGTAGGCTTGAGCATCGTCCGCCGCTTTCCCTTCCAATCCAGCCAACTGAGATAGGTTGCAGACTCCTGTGCTGTCACTTCCTGCGCAGTAGCGCTCGTCGTAGCAGCAGGCGAAGCAGCAGATGGTTGCTAGGATTGCCATTACGAGTAATATCCTCGCCATTAATCTAGATCTCCCCTTGTTTTGTTTTGTTTTTTCCCCTTTCTTTTTTTAGGGTGGATGAATAAGCGGGGGGTTAGGATGGATTATATATATAGATGAACTCGGCTCGAAAATCACGATCAGGGATGGCAATGGATCGGGTTGGGTTGGGTTTCTCCGAACACAACTCCAACTGATCAAACAAGTTGCACCCATTAAAAAAAAATTCGGCGGGATACCTATTGGATTTTTTTTTGGAAATGAAAATTCAACTCGATCCAACGTGTACCTACATGTATACGAATTCTCATGGATTCACGTACGAACATAAGAACGCATTATTCCCTCCCCCGAATAACTACATCATGATGTTGTCGAAATCTTACTATACAACAGCTTTCATAAATTATCCCACAATATTGGGTTTGTATTGTCATAAAGGACTAACCGCTTTCATAAATTATTCATGTCGTTCCAGTTAGATACAAGATTCCGTCAATTTACATTATGGGTGCGGATCGAGTACCGAAAAACGAATTGGATTTCAGCAAATCCCAAAACCCGATAATCCAACCCGTCAATTTCAAAAGCGGATAAAACCCGCACCCAACCCAAAACATGTCAACACTGAGTTTTAACCACTTTGAACGGGCTGTATTAAATTGGATACCCGTGTTCAATTATCAATATCCCTTATCATTACGGACACTACAGAGTTTGGCCCCGCACGGCGCCGTTTCTTCGATAAAATCAGGGAGGAAAGTTAACTAATAATGCACAAATATGTATAAGAAATGAGTTATTGCAACAAGAGCCATGGACTTGGTCGAGGAATTCCAAAAGGGAAGAGAAAAAAGGGATCAAGCTACGGCCAGGAACTGCTGTACAGAATACAGATGAAACACTGACCGCAGTTTTGTCCGGTCTGGCCGGTTTCTTTCGACGGTTCCCGTTTCCATTTGATTGGAGAATTGGTCAGAAATTGGGTAGATCAGGAGGATAGATTACGGTCCAGCCGGGGGTTCTTCGGATTCCATATCCACTAGGCTAGCCGACGATATTTAGGGACGGGCATACTTAGAGTGCTTAGGAAATTATTTAATTATTTGTAATGGACAAACTTTTCATTTTTGTGGAAAAAAATAATCCATCTGATCAAGAAAAAAATCTGTTGTGCTTATAATAAATAAAATGGCTTGCAATTATATATAAATTTTTTTTTTTTTTTGTGAAATTTAAATAGTTATTTTCATTCTGTAATTTTAGCAAAGGTGTTAAAAAGTTACAGTAATGGGTTAATGCACCACTCAAGCAGGGAGGTTAATGCACCGTACGTGTTGCATGGATGGTTTGACCGGATAAATTTTTTACGGGAATCTAATTCGGTTCATGGTTTTTCACGGTATAAAATGATTGAACGATGATTTCATTATAAAATATCCTATTGTTGAATTTTATGGTACCTCTAATACGATTTTACAATCTTTTTTTACATTCATAAATAGAATAGAAGTGACTATTAGGATCCATGTCCATGAATCCAATCCAATATTTCATCCACCAAATTATCCACGTACAAATCCAATTAATCACATCCTTTCTAATGTGATTGTCATTAGAAAACTCTAATTAAAATTACCTTCTAGCTCCTTCATTGTTGGGGAAAAGAAGTACTATGAAAAGAAGTACATTGTTGGGTAGGTTCATAATTCAAGAGCTCATTCGTATGAAATTTGATTGTCACCGTATATTATGAAACACACAAATAAATTAGACTATATCGGTCAAATAAAATTAAAAATCCTCAACTTTTTAGTTCTTAATTCAAAATTTCTTCTAATTCTACTAAATATATACACAAAAACCTCCGGCTATATCTAAATGTCCTTAGTTCCACAATTTTTTTTCCTATTAAGTTAAAAAAAATTCATCAAATGTACTTTATAATACGTTTGTGCGTGCTAGATTTTGCTTGGGAACTAACTATTTTAGCTAGTTATCGAAATGTCACTCTTCAACTATGAGTTACACAAAATGTAAGGAACAAATTTAATAACTAATGATTTGATCAATTACTACTCGACTGAATGTTTGTAAGAAATTTTACCAGATAATTGAATACACCGTTATAGAATTTTTCATAAATGCGACTGCACTAAACTCGAATTCTGGCTAATGGTAACCTCGCGAGTCAAATATTAATCGGCGGGTTGTACTTCCACCACTTTTTAGCTTAATGATAGTCTTTAACCAATTCAGTGGCCATAACTAATTAATCTCCCTTTAACGAAAAGCTGATTGACTTTTCACTATGGGTTTAAGCAAAACCCCGAGGCTAACCTAAACCTAAGTCGAGTCAAATATGCCAACACTAACTCAACCGTATAGCCCTCGACTCCATCATCTCGTCGGGGGAAATAAGTCGAGCAAGAAGAATTGAACACAACAGCAGATCATTTGAACATTCATATCCATCCCTGTTTATCTCAAAATTTTACATGTCTGGTCTTGCATCCACAGTGTACCAAATGTCTGCTCCATCGTAAGATGACCTGGATACACTTCAACAAACACACAGGTAAATCAAGAGCATCCTGCTCAACTTGATTGGTCTTCTGAATTCCAATCTACTGGCTTTTGCTTTTACTGTTGTCATAAGGTTTTTTTTTCATGGCTCTTTCACAGTAACCTCACTACTCAGTAATGACATATAATAACAAGGTAGCAACTACCGGCGATCCGTGCCTTTTCTTCACACCTTCTTGATAATCTGCACCACGTCTTCATCCTCCAGCTCGTGCTCCTGTAATTCCGCAAGAATCAAAGTCAAGCCTCGCGAGCATGCAAACTAAAAAAAAGGACTTGTTTGGTGGAATGAGGAGAAGCTCAGGCAGAAATGTGTACCTTTCCAACTCTTTGTGGCTTGTGCTTGGCGCTGGATCCCCATACTAATGCACTGGAATAATGGTAAACCATGATAAGTTATGAGAACATATGGGCGACGGCAAACTTAAAACAAGTACCATTTGCATAAACAGAAGATCCATGATTTACAGCTACTTGTTCACCCGGGTGTAATTGTGTTAAGGGTACTAAAAGGGAACTTCACAATGAAGAATGAGAACTACACAGAACCCATCCGCTTCCCACAGAAGCACGGTTTGGAGAAAGTGTTTTATTTTCATGCTAAAGTATGTCTAAAATAAAAATAAAAAAGTGAATTGACAAGATACTCACTACTTGAACTGTTTAGACATATCCTTGTGAATCTGGTTGCAAAAGTCCTCCACGGTCCGCTTTTTTGATGAGAGGATCACAGGGTCTTCATAATCGGGGTTCATCCCTTTGGGCTTTGTGTATATGCGAGTGAGATCTAGATACTCCCATATCTTATCCAGCAACCCATCAAGGTTCCATTCCAGGTGAGCACTGTCCAGCAAAATGAGCAAGAAAGAAAACCCCACCAAATAAATTTGAGGACACCGAACAAGGATTTTGGACAAATTCATAAACCTAGCTTTGGTGCGCAAATTCATAAACCGATTCCAACATCCCAGCAATCCCTTAATATTTCACCTCTAATAGCACTAAACCTAGCTTAGCATTAAGAAGAGCAGTTAGGCAAGATATCCAACTCTTCGCCATAGCACGCTACAATGCCGTGCATCAGTCAAGTTTAAGATGTTCAAGGCCGGCAATACGAGAATATCCACTCTTATCATACAACCAGAATGAAACATAACGGAAAACGGAAAAAAGAAAGTTAGGCAGCAGGGAAATAAAATTTCACCTGATTGGGCAATAGTGAGGAAGTTTATCCAAAATCTCGAGCTCCTCAAGAGTGATCTGATCGATTTTGTTCAGGGCATAGACACATGGAATATATACCCTACTGCACTCAATGACATCGATCAGATCATCAGCCGTTGCATCAAACCTCAAAGTAACATCAGCATTGTGAATTCGGTACTCGCTGCATATTGCCTTTACGGTTTCAAGATCAAGATGTGTGTTGGTAACTGTTGATGTGAAATTAATCCCACCCTTATCCTTCTTTCTGAATGTCAGATTAGGTGGCTCCTTGTTTAACCTGTTTTACAAAGGAAAAAAAAGCTTTTTATGATGTTATTCATTTGCCAAAGAGGATTCATATGGCAAGACCGTTGTATATAGCTGTTTCCCTCTCCTAGACAACTACAGAGTAAAGATCCAACATGCATTCATAGTAAGGTACCAGAATCTTCAGAGCAAAAAAGTGGAAACTAGTCCCTATCCAGGGACTTCAAATCTAAACAAATATACACAAACATACATAAGAGACCAATGGTACTTTGTTATTACCTTATGCCAAAACCTTCAAGCTCTTTTTCAATAAGACGTTTATGAGTTATTGGCTTGATTGCATCAAGAACAATTATGATACAATTGCATGTCCTGGCAGTACTTATCACCTGCAATTCAATTGCAGCTTCACATTACTCATCCAGGTGGTACCATATATAAAAAATGAGAGCCAAGAGTACATAAAGTAGAAGTCCCAAAAGAAAGTTGAGTGCAAAATGTAGAAGCGTGAATTGACTACAACCAATCATCAGGGGATTTTAACTAAACAAATGAATACTAATGCCCTCAATACTAGAGGAACAACCTTTAGATAAAACAGAAGGCAACACTCAAAGCTCTGCTTGGGTTGTTGATTCGCGAAGGGTATCACAACACCTAACTACAAAGACTACAGCGTACACCCCAAAGTACATCTTTGTCCATAAACATGATAGTTCAATACACTGTACACTCTCAACATCATATTCACTATCAACATCTACCATTAAACACGATAAGCTGCCTATGCTTTAATGAAAAATGCGTAGTTAACGAACATTATATCACATAGAGAAGAGTAACGTGTACTGAAAAACAAGATAAACGCAGCTACCCGTACAATCAACACAAATGACTGAATGAGGGTATCAGTTAGATAAGCGAGGGAGAAAAATGTTTACCTGTCTTCCTCGACCCTTTCCATCCTTAGCACCCTCAATAATACCAGGGAGATCCAGCAACTGAAATAACCGATAACAGGTGTAGTTTCATCCTCTTTGTTATTTTTTACAAAAGAAAGCAATAGAAAAAAAACAGGGAAAAGATAGGGGAAAACAAAAACAAAAAGAACAAGAAAGAAACACAGTGGATCTTGCAGGCAAAATATTTGGATTAGATGCAGGGAAAAATAGAACGATTTTACAGGTACACTATTCGGAATAGGTAAGACTCCCTACAGCTATTCTAGTTAAAACAAACTGATTCTGGGTGGATAATCTACCAGGAAAAGTACCCCAATGGCTGACCACATGAAGATGACACAACTTAAGGTCATAACTCATTACCCAGATAAATGAATCTTAAGTTTCGACGACACTGTAGAAAGTAATGTACCTGAATCTTCGCTCCTCTATACACGATAACACCAGGGATGCAAGTCAAAGTAGTAAATTCATAAGAAGCAACCTGAAGGTGATAAAATTGTAAGGAATCTCAGCCTCTGGAAAGTTCACTGGTTTCCTGACAAGAAAAATGCATTCTGAAAGGAAAGTAACACAAATTACACCGTACCTCCGAAAAAGTCCCAGTTAATTTGTTTAGAAGGGTAGATTTCCCGACGGAAGGAAACCCCACGAGACCAACTCTGGCATCTCCACTTTTAGTCACATCAAAACCTTGGCCAGCACCACCACCTCCTTTGGATGGAGGCTCAAGTAGCTCTCTGCGGAGCTTTGCTAGCTTAGCCTGAAAATCAACATACAGCAGGTGTATGGCATAAACTACATCAAACTCTTAAAACAATTCGGCAGGACAAAGATAAGAAGAATATTAAAAAAACGTTATAGCCCAACGGGACAGCAATCTGCTAGGAGTCAGTAAAGTAAAACAAATGAGAATACAAGTCGAACAGCTCAAACTCATGCCGAGGATGTTACTAAATCACAGAGAAAAGAACCACAGTCCATCAACAGCTGAAATGTGCGAGGTCTAACAGTTAAACGAACAACGAATCCAAGATACAAAATTCATTTCTGTGTCCAGCTCCTAAGTACAAATGAATGAGTTATAAAGTACAATAAGCACCCACAAGAGCTCCATTCTTCCATTCTTACACAGGAAACACCCACCAGCAAAACCGCACTGATGAACAATCATTTCAGCTTGTTCGACACCTCAGTACAATGGGAGCATATCAAGTTGCATACCTTTGTGGCTCTGCCCCAACTTAAACATCATAAAAAGAAGAGAAGCTTTCATGTACCTTGAGCAAACCAAGATGATGGGCAGTAGCCTTGTTCTTTTGAGTCTTCGCCATCTGCATATTACACCATGGAAAAAAGAAGAAGAAAAAAAATCCCCACCGTTATTCATAATCTAAACCAAATTAAGACCCAAAATTTCCAACCCATCAATTCCGGGTAAAAAGGGAAGTCGTAAGCTAGTCAGTTAGATTTCAAGCGAAGCAGAAAAGACTATTCACAGATGAACTGGAGAATCCTTTGAGCTATTTGACAGGCAAGGCGAAGACACTTAGACGCCATTATTATTATTATTGTGTTACCTCATCTTCGATGTCCTTGATCTTCTGCATCACAGTCGCCATTTTTGCAGCTCTGAAAGAGAGCTTCTCGGCTTCCGAGCTTTCAAGAGGTTAAACGGTCGGCGGATAGCGGCAGAGTTCGGCGAGAATTCGAAGACGACGGGGAGAAAGACGAACTGAAGAAGAAGAAGAAGAAGAAGGTACGAGAAAAGAATGGGAGGTCGTATGGCGTTCGGCGATGGTGGTGGAGAGCGTGTACATGTTGGGCCACCACTCAACTATTAATTAGGCTCATAATTTGATTCAGCCCAAATTTGTATTCCTTACTGATTTGGCCCAAGAAACGACTCGCTTGAAAACGACAGCGTTTGAGATATTAAACGTCTGAAAGAGGGCTTCAGTTTACAAATCTCACATTTGAACTCCATAGAGCGGATGGAGCGCTCAAACTCGTAAGCATTGATAATAGGGTTAATATCCTAGTTTGGCCCGAAGTTTGGCGTATATGTCAGTTTTGGCCCAATTTTTCAAATAAGACAGTTGTGGCCTACTTTCCAAAGTATTGGACAAATTTGACATGGGTTTTAAATTGACCGTCAAAATTGACGGTCAATGATTTTTCCGTTAGTGACTCAGTATTTGGTGCTGACTAGGATCTTAAACGTCATCATTTATTAAATTAAAAAAATAAAAACTAATTAAATATATAAATATTTTTTCCCCATGACTTTTTCCACTCTCCTGCGCCCCCGCAAATCTTCTTCCACAGCCGCAGTCAAAAGCCCTGCCCTGCGCCCCCGCAAATCTTCTTCCACAGCCGCTCGTTCCACCCCGACGACGTCTTACCCTTGAACGCGCCGGCGTGGAAGTACACCAACACCGGCAGCTTCCTCTTCTCTTTGTCTCGTCTGGGGATGTAGAGGCGGGTCTCGGTGGAAGAAGGGGTTGAATCAGTGGGAATGAGGCGGAGGGAGGAAGAGATAAGGGTAGGACCGTAGGAGGTTGGGGGGTTTTGGGGTTTTTTTTCTTATTTATTGAATTAGAAAATTAAGAAATATTTTATTTAATGACATGGCACCATGTATAAGCCACGTCAGTAGTTCTTTGATGAGTCAATAATGGAATAAGTGTTTGACCGTTAATATTAACGGTCAACACAAGTTTCGGGCCAAATTTGTCCAATAATTTCAAAAGTAGGCCATAAATGTCTTATTTGAAAAATGGGGCCAAAACTGTCACTCACGCTAAACTTCAGGCCAAACTAGGGTATTAACCCTTGATAATACGAGGAATTTGAACCTCTGATAGAGTTGAAGTACAACCAATACCTCCAAAAAGTCTTAAACTTTTCTATCACATCACAAAATACTCATCAATACATTAATTATCAAACGTCAAATAAACCATTCTACCTAGATAATTTCTGGATAGATATAGTTTCAATCTTTGTTGAGATGTACTGTGCAACTTCAACTTGTAATCGTCATATTACCACGAAAAAAATAATTGTGAAGCTAATACCTCTCATCCTACCATTAACATCGTAACCTCGAGCCGCGCCAATTACCAAGAGGGTTGTTGTAGCTCTTCATAATGATCGTATCTGCTATTTTTAGGGCTAGAATTTTGTTTCTCAAGAAAGCAATAGTGACCAAAAATAGTTAATCTATCCAATGAATGACACTCAAAAGAAGGTTGTCAAATCGGTTTATACTATTGTGTCTGTTTAAGCCTAGATTGTTCCAGGTGGTTTGTGCAGAGCAAGCGAGGCGTCTGTTCTAGATGAAGGGTGCACTCCAACTCCTGCAAAACAAGGGTCCGTGGGCGGTTCCTCGGACACCCTCCAATGCTTAAGTTAGAGAGAGAATAAGAAGTGTTGTTTAGGTTTAGATAGAGAGAGAGTAGTTGAGTTACCATTAATGCCGATACCGGTGTATTTATAGTCAGCCAGCTTAGGTATGAGGCATTAAATGCCTTGTCAGGCAGCCTAGGCATGCTCGGCTTTATTTGGACCGCCTGCGGCGGGCATTAAATGCTCAGTCCTGCTGTGTACGAGGTAAATATCCTAGGAAGATCTACTTTTCCTAACACCAACGCTCTCCTGTGTCGGGCGGCCTACTCCCCGTCGCGTCATAGGGCGGCCGCCTGTGGTGTCTCTTTTCCCTATGTCTCCTCGGGTCTCCCACGTTGACTCGGACCCATCCTTGGGCCTAGCTTCCCCATCTCCTCGTGGGCCTAACGCGGGCCTCTTAGGCCCAATACCGCTTAACTATGGGCCCAACAGTGTCAGTTTAGCAAGTGGTATGGTTCGACTTATCATACAGCCGGTGTGTGTTAGTTCATGCAGGTTTAATAAAATATGTACAAATATAAAAATCATCAAATATATTTAAGAATACATGAAAACATATTTGAAGACAATAATTTTTTTTTTTATGTCATTAGATCATTGGAATAACCAACAATACAAGATAGCAGCTTACACAACTGATTGTAGCTAGTGACCAAAATCAAAACCTCACACACTCGCAGGAGACAAAGTAAGAGTCTTACACTCGTAGTGACTGTAGCTAGTGACGAAAATCAAATCAAAATCACCGAATGGATTGCGCATAACTTTCCTTGTCAACTCCCGGCTCATTGTGCAACGGATCCACCATATCCTCCGGCCAAATTTGAAATTTGACATTATCAGTCAAATATGTCTCCTTAGCCAACCAAGAGCCATTTTTCTATGGCTACCCAAAATGTGGAGGATTGAAGTGAAGGGAAAAAAAAAAAAGCTCAAATGCATAAATGGCTTTTTAGTTGGACTTGGTCTTACAAATGAACTGAACAGTTCCTATTTTCGCTCGACCCGAAAATATCAATTGCACAATTTTGCACGTCCGCCTTGGGCCGGGAGGTGGGCTTGGCTTGCTCATGACTATTGACGGGCTTGCCACGGCCCAAGTTGGTTGTTAACTTACCACACTAGCAAAGTCGAGCGACCAAATCGTCTCCTTCCTTACCAAACGGCAAAAAAGGCACAAACTGAACAGACGCTTACCAACCACATTTCGCGGTCGTTTCTCAGCTGATTCCTCTCTCTCTCTCTCTCTCTCTCTCTCTCGAGAAGAAGGAGAAGGACCGCTCTCTGTCTCACAAACTCTACCTAACCATCTCCACTCACCCACCCACACAGAAGAACTCAACAACCCCCCGCCTTCAACAAATTCCCACGAAAAAATCGAAAGTCCGAAACTCAAAATCTCCGCCTCCGTCGACTCCGGTTGATTCCCCCCCTTCTCTTCCCGTGTGTGCAGAGAAGAGAGAGAGAGCTGAGCTGCGGCGGGCTGTTGTGAATTGAAATTTTGAACGGAGCCGAGATTCAATTTAGGCGGTAATGGATGCGAAGGTTGCGCTCAGTATGCAGCTGCCTGGTGCTTGGGGGGTTTGTGCGGGTGGCGGGGGATTGAGTTCTGCGTCGATGTTATCTTCGAGGGCGAAAAAGAAGAAGAAGGAGGAGTTGCTAATGCCGGCTATGAGATTCTCGGTGGCTCGGAGGAAGTGGAGTGGCGGGAGGCGTTCGGTGTTCTTGGTGGATGTCTCCTGTTCGTACAATGAATACCAAGGTATTTCTATTTCACCCCAATTTGGCTGTCTTGAACTTGTGTTTTGTGCGGTAGTATTTTTTGAATTGGTTGGTGGAGTGGAGGTGTGGTAGTTGTTATCTGAGAGTGTTGGGGCGTTGTTGCAACTGATGAATGTAGCAATGTGACAATGTCTCTAGTTGTTGGTGGACCTTTAGACTAATGAATGGAGATTTTGAATTCTGATTTAGTTTGGAATATAGGTTTTGTATTCCCGTAATTTGTGACTCTTGAATTAGCTAGTTGAATTGGAAACCAAATGTGCTTGTTGGGTATATGGTATGTAGGCGTATATCAGATTCAATGGCCGTTTCTGGCTACGCTTTTACCTTCATTCTTTGGTTTTCTTGTTTGGGGAGACACTGAATTCTTCCTATTTTCAGTTACTCTTGGCTTTTACTTGGGTTTATGTTTATTTGGTCGTGGCCTGTTTAATGAGTCATAGCTTCCTTGCAACCTGCTGACCTATGCTTGTCCTGTTCATGTGTGGAAAATTGGATGAATCATTGGGAATCTGGAAGGGTGGGAATTGGATGCTTATGCTTTTAGGTTCCATCGTTCATGGGCAGTTCGGGATTAACGCAAAACTCTGATCTGCTCACTTTCACTTGCCCTTTTCTGATTATTGAATATTTACATCTTTGGTTTGCTACCTTTTTGCAGCACCGACCTTGAAATCTGAAAAGTCTTGTACTTCCTTCGACGAGTCAGTTGCTTTGAAGGTAAGTACGATATGGCATAGCATATGAATTTCTTGTGTTCTTATTGGTACTATTTGATGCCTGTGTTCTTCTGTAAAACATGCTTAATGTCTTTGCTTTCATATATCATGAAGTTAGGATACCCCAATTCAAGAGTGACTTCAGTTTTCTGCTCAATGATTGTAGCATTCTGCTTTTCTTATTTGATTCTGGTAAAATTTGCAGACTAAGACACAAGACATAGAACCTTATTTGAGAGGACGCTGTATTTATCTGGTTGGTCAGTTTCTGTTTCCATGTCTTCTGGTTTCTGTTGGAAAACATGATTCAGTGTCTTCCAGCTAAACTATTTTCTTGTGGGGATTCAGGAATGATGGGCTCTGGGAAAACCACCGTGGGCAAAGTACTTGCACAAGTACTTGGGTACTCATTCTGTGACAGGTCTGTACTTGGGGATTATAATACGAATTTGACGCATATATTAGAGATAATTACTAAAGTGCAGAATTGTGAATGTCCATGTCCCTAATAGGTTCTTTTTCAGTCAGGGATGCTTATGTCATCTAGCATTAACCTCAGGTTTATAGATCTTCTCACTGAAAGTGGTGTTTCCTTGTAAAAGATGTTCCTTTCACTTCTCCAGATTATTCACTTCACATTTGCTGCTAAATAAATCAGCCGTTGTGTATACTCGCAGAATTTCCTTATCTGTTTGGTTTTTGTTGTAGCGATGCATTGGTCGAAGAGTCCGTTGATGGAGCATCAGTAGCTGAAATATTTAACCTATATGGTGAATGTTTCTTCAGAGATAAAGAGGTAGAGTTCAACTGATGTGCTCCATTTATAAAACCAGTTACAATGAATTCCAACAGTATTTCATGTTTAATGGTCTGTGCCTTCTTTTAAGTGGAATGGAGATCCACTGATGCATGCTCTTCAGATGTATAGGCTATACTTGCCTGCCTTTTTGTCTTCAAAATAGTAAAAAAGAATTATGTTCTTATCTTGCAGACTGAGGCATTAAGGGAGTTGTCTCTAAGGAATCGGTTTGTTGTTTCTACTGGTGGAGGCGCAGTTATACGGCCCATCAATTGGTGTGATGAGTAGAAAAAGAAAGCAGCATGTCTTTCCTTTTCCCCTGTACTATCTCATGTGCCTTTGTCCACACAGCTCAATTTTCATTCTTCTCGTCTTTCAGGAAATACATGCACAAGGGAATTAGTGTTTGGTTGGACGTGCCTCTGGAGGCATTGGCACAGAGGATTGCTGCAGTGGGGACTAATTCTCGACCCCTTCTCCATGAAGAAACCGGCGATGAATACACAAAGGTACCCTGTTATCAATCAGCAGATTGTATCGCTAACACAACCTGTCAGGCTTGTTTGGTATAGTGAATGTTGAGGGTTTGTTTCATATCTTTTCCCTCACGAAATGCTCCCTGCAGGCTTTGAGACGTCTGTCTTCCCTTTTTGAAGAGAGAAGTGAAGCTTATGAGAATGCCACAGTAAAGGTTTCCTTTGAAAGTATGTGCACTGTTTAACTGCCTGATACCAACTTCCTACAAGTTTGTGTACTAAATGATCATCAAACGGTCTGTTCGTTGTCAGATATTGCTGCAAAACTGGGACACAAAGACGTGTTGGGTCTAACACCTGCAACAATTGCCATTGAGGTCTCTCTCTCTCACACACACACCCACGCTCTTTCTCAGGCATCTTAACAAACTCTGTTGCAAAATTGACCATTTTGTTTCAGGCACTGGAACAAATAGAGAACTTCCTCGAACACGAAGATAGCGAGGCTAGAATGGAAGCTTGACAAAAGGGCCACCATTCAATGGTAACGTTCATCATCTGCTATTTATCAGAACATCTTGCACTCACTTGTTCGTCTTGTCGGGAAAGTCTTGCTCGCGAATCCACGTGTTCCTGCTTCATGTAATTTGCTCGGTTGATTTGTATATGTTCGGTGACGGGCTGGCGAGTGATGTGATGCCACTGGCTGATATGAACTCTATTCTTCTGTACTTTGAGTTTGTAATCGTTTGTGTTTATATATGTACTGAGGAAGAGGGGGGGCTTGGTTGAGTTTTGTGTGGTCCAACCGGTCCGTGCTTGAACCTAAATGTTCTTTTCTTGGCTGGAAATGCAAATGTGTATAAATGATTCTGTCCTTGTACTTATAATGAGCCTGCTGAAATCTCCAAAATCTCACCATTAATACAACTGGGTGTAGGTACTTAATGGGTCACTAAACTATGTGAAATGTAACAAAATGGTCACTGAACTTTAGAACGTAACAAAATGGTCACTTGGGTTAGTTAGATCAGCATGATGGCAATTGGCAAATTGCCATCCTGCATTTTCTTGGATCCATGGCGGGTTGGTTTCTACTCTCTACTTTCGTTTTTTTCTTTTTTGGGTAACTTTTGTATTGATATCAATCAAATTAAAGGTGCCCCGACAAGATTATTGTTAGAAACAAACGGGTTTCTAGATCAAATCTAGAGATTGAGAATTCAAAGTTTATAGAATAGAATTGAGGATTTAGGGATTTGAGTAGAATTTGGGGAAGAATAGAAGAGAATCGGCCTAGACCTTTCGAGGGATTGGGGTCAAGAATTGAGAAGATAGGGAGAGGGATTAAGGAGATAATTCTTTTATTAACTTCTGCTTAATCCGACGAAAGATCCAAATTACATATATATATAGAAGAATACTAGAAAATTCTAATAATAAACCTAATTCTACCATAAGACTACTAACCATAATAAGAATTATCATATTAGTAGTAATAATAATAATAAATATAGAAACCCTAAGAAATCGGTTTCTAACAATTATGAATAAGCTGTCCACATGAAATTCTTATCTTAATTTCGCGTGAAAGTCAGCATTTTCTACAGTAATTCTATCAATTCAAATGGGTTAATTAAGGGGGTCGATCTCAAGAACACATCATCCTCTCATGTGTATTAGACTATTAGTAGTGTTCTTTTTTGCTCGATTAATGGATCTGGAAATTACACGTAGAAAGATGGGTATTTTCTTCTTCTACTACTGAATAGACTGGATGAATACGAAACTAACTCTTTTCAATGTAGTTCAAACTTCAAATTATAGGTGAAGATTAGTTAAGTTATAATAACGATAAAGACAGGAGCTTGCAACGATGACTAATATCAAAGCCCAAGTTAATGCTGTTTGGAGTTTGGTTTGGATTTACGGTAGACTACAAAATTGATCACAAATTAGGATGATCACATTAGATCAAAGCCAATTATAAGGTCAATTAGGCAGTCTACTTCTCTTTCTGCAAAAACGTATTAAAGGCTAATCCATCAGAGCTTTATGAAGTCTTTTATTGGTAACTATGACAAAAGACATTGAATATTCCATAAGCAGGAACACATGAGCATAAAAAACGACGATAGCAAAGAAGTACGAATGTAAAAAAAAAAAAAAAGGTTATCCATTTATAGTTTAACCTGAAAACTAAACCATGATTGGGATGACCCAATCCATAAGATTGTGTTCATGACATACTAATTTTAAGGGATACATAACCTGCGAATTTGGTCTCATGACCAATCTTATGATCGACTTGATAAACAATGTGGTCGAGAACAAACCTCCACCACGAGACTCCGGCTAAGATTATTTGGAGTTCAACACACAAACCACAACAAACATACCCAACAATCCGATATCGTAAAATATGATTCAAGTAAAACCGTTCAAACCAGAATCATATTCCCGTATACCTAATATAGCGAGAATCAAACCTTACATGTCTCACCAATGCACACTTGTTTCCGAAAGTAAACCTGGACCGCAACCAGAGTATATGCCCTTCTGACTCCGAGTTTCCACTCAATATCACTCTCTAGGATCTCGTGTTTTATTTTGTATTGCCGAGAAATCGATATCGTTGTTGTCAACAGGAACTAGATTATCCCGATAATTTAAGATGTTGAAAAACATTCATAATTCCGACCGATACCAATCATCTAGGTTTTACTTCCGCTTGAACACGAGACTTATCGAACCATAAAAACCGCGTCCAGTAAGTAACCCAACATGATATATCAAATTACATATACTTAGAAACAAGAAACTCTTGTTAACAAGAGTGAAACGAAAACGCCGTCGTTAGATGATGATGATGGTGGTGGCGGCGGCGGCGGCGGTGGCTATGGCCGTGATCCGCCGTCTGTTCCCTCTCAATCTCCCACCGGAGGTGGAGGAAATCGTCCACCGAGCAAGGGAGCCTCAGTGGGCCGGCGGCGTGGTACCCAAACACTTCATGTGCCTTGTCCAGAAGATTCTTCAACAATGGATGGTAGAGGTAGGAGATTGGGATCAGAAATCTCCTCGATGAATTGTAACCTTCTTCTTCCAAACCAACTTGAACCGCTAGCCACCCTTTCTTCACCTTCATGATGATCTTCTCTTGCATGGTTTCACTAATTAAATTTCTTCCCACCTTGATTTTGTGTTGGAAGAGAGAAAATGGAGCTTGTGGGTTTTTTTTGTTTTTGTTTTTTTTTTTTTTTTGTTTTGGGTTAGGAAGGAAGGCCAAGATTGGTGAGGAAACCAATTGGAGAGATTATATATATATTGGAGAGGGGGAGTGGGTGGAAAGGGCACAAATATTTCTTCCACACAAGTGGGGTGTTGCTTCATTTTTTTTTATGTTGTGGTTTTGGGGTCAAGCATAGCTTGATCATGTTTAATGGTTTGATGCTTTTGAAAGGACAATTTTTATTATTATATAAAAGTAAATTAATGGTGTGATTATGTGGGATTGGTTTGCTAGTGTACATGGAGGGTTATTCATTAGATTATATAAGAAATCATTTGAGGTGGAATGGAGGGGGGGCAAAGGAAACTAGGAAATCATGGTGGGGGGCATTTAGGGTTTTAGTTGTTTGGGAATAAGTATGGACGAACATGTAGTTTAGAATGTATTTTTACTTCTCAATAATTGATTTTAGGTTATAAAATGTTTGATTGTGTACGGTAATCAGACATTAAAAAGTAGTAGGATAGTATCTATCTATGCTCTCTCATCCAACGGTACTCTAGTTTGAATCTATTAAATTATTATAATTATTTTCTTACACGACTTCTACTATAAATTCTGGTTTCGCTATTGTTTAGGAATTTCTTTACTATTTTTGTGGCAATAATGTTTAGAGAGACTTCTATCATTCTCGATATTTGATTTTAGGTTATAAAATGTTTGATCATACGGTAATCAGACATTAAAAAAATGGTAGGATAGTATCTATATGTGCTTCCTCATCCAACAGTACACCAGTTCGAATTTGTTAAATTATTATAATTATTTTCTTTCTCGACTACTCTTATTATAAATTCTGACTTCGCTATTGTTTAGGAATTTCTTTATTATTTTTTGTGGTAATAATGTATGGTTTGGGGAGGGGTATTGATTGGGGATATAGTTTAGAGAGTATTGTATCATTTTCTATCCTTATTCCTCTTTTTGTTGCTTTGCCGACCACTCATTATCACTACATATATCGTATCTTTGTATAAGGATGCAATTGTTTGCCTTTGGCATATGGCAATATAGGGTCCCCAAAGGAAGTACCTCGATGAAGTTGGATTTGTGAGAAATTTAAGTGACTTTGCAAAAGTATTTATAGTGGAGTTGACTTGAAATAGTGCACTTAGAACTACTTCTTGTTCTCCATAGAATAAAAAAAAAAAATCCTTTATGGACTATGGTTCTTTTTTTAGTGATGGGTGTACATTTTGTATTTGAGTGATGGGTGTACATTTTCTGTACCTTATTCTTTGTGAATATAAATTTCTTTTATCGGTTTTGAAATTTCGTATGTAATCATGAAATTTCTACCACAATCTTAGCTAGCATTAAGAAGGTTTGAAATCACTTTTCATATATAAATTCTCTCAAATTAATTATGTGCAATAAACATCGTTTTGATTTGTCCCCGATAATAAACTGAGGTGTCCTTCTTTAGTCTTATTTAAATAATTTAACTTGGTTATTAACAATCTGATGTATACCATGGCATAAACTAATATTAGATGTTAATAGCTCAGATTTTCAAGAGAAATCTAACAATAAGTCCTATATAATTCCTTTATAATAGCTTGAGCTTTTAAATAATTTGAAAGAGATATAGTATAGATGTAATATGTGTATGGTTTAAGCCTTCACATAGAAAACAAGATTTGCATATGATCAAATAGAAAGGTGACCCATAACTGTAGTCTATATTGGCGTTTCATATTCAAAATATTAATTAATAATGAATATACAAATAGGCGCCCTCTGGGAATTGAATTCGAACAACAACTATTAATGGTTGGATATGCTATATGAAAATATAAAACAGTAATGGTTATATATGTAAGAAGAAAAAAAAACTAGAACTAAACAATTAAGGTTAGGTGTTAATATTTATACTCCATCCATCATTATCATTCATATTTATTATCTTCTCCCTCTTTAACCTTTAGTCATTATCAATATTTTCCTCTTTAATTAATTTGTGGCTTTCATTTTCCCCCCAGTTTAAGCTGTAGTCTGATTCGTACCAGCAACGATACGGTATAGGAGTTTCGGAAGAACACCAACTTGGCAAGATTTTTTTTTTAATGTTCGAATTAAACTTAATTTTCTTTTTTGCCTTCCGTGGAAGATTGAAGTATTTAGTGTATTATTACGGGAAAAAAAAAGAATATGAAATATAATCTTATTGGTGGGAGTGGAATCCTAATAGGAACGGGATTGGGCACCGCCACATTAGGTGATGAAAGATTGAAGGGTCACAATAAATTGTAAACGATAGTAGTGGTGATGAAAGGAAAGGAAAGGGGAACTGAAGACCGCACTCCATTGCTTAAGTACTCATTGGAGTTTACTCGGTTTGATGATCTATAGGAACACTAATTCAATTCAGTTATGGTGCTCACATGGCGCCAGTGAGATCGCGTTTACGGGATGTTCATTCATTGATGATAATTTATAGTAAAATTGGTTCAACTCGATTATGATGCTCACATGGTACTTGTGACTGAGAACGTACTCACAAGAAGTTCAGCTGCCAGACGTGCGTTGGGAAATCCGCTGGCCGTTGGATGGAAACGATGACAATTTATTTACGGAAATTGTCACTGCTTTCATCTGATGGTCACACGACGCCCAATGCGCTATCACGTTCTCACAATTGTGTTGTGAGCATGCTAGCAAAATTGGTGGTGGTGAATGATGAATAGGATTTAGAAGGTGCTCTTTTGCGATGAGGGACTCGACCGGTCATGCTAGCATTGATCAAGTCTCTCAACCTGTCATTCCCTAGCTCAGGGGTCCCTTTCCTCATCCCCTATCATCAAGAAGTATGTTCGAGAATATTCACCGTGATGGATCATTTGTCAATGATTTGTTGTGCTTTTTTTTCCCTATTATTCAAAGGAGGTGGTAAAACGCCAAGAAAAGAGGGTTACAAGACATTAAAATGCTACAAGAGGCATGAGTTGAAAAACTTCCAATATTATCATCATCAACTATCGAATGAAGAGTTCGTACCAAAGAAATAGACGACACTATCTTATGCGTATTGGAGGAGTAACTAGTAAAATCATTGAGGCAAATAAATTAGCATCAGTCGGCATCCCCTGTGGTCAATGGTCATGATGAGAATGTTAAAGATTTAGCATTAGCGATTAATGCTTCCTTTTGCCTTCTCGATCGTCCTTTTCTTTTTAGCTTTTGGTAGAGTAACCAATGTTTAGAGCACAAAATGGGGAGTTCCACTTTCTGTCATTCTTTAATCGAACATAACCCAAGAGACAAGAAGATAAAAAGTGAACAGCTTTCACCTCCATCCTTTTTGGGTGCATGATTTTGCCAGATTTGCTTATGCGGGAATGATTCTTAGTGCTTAATCATATTATTTAGTTAATAAATATGAAGAGAATGATCAATGAAAGCTGGTGGGAAACACAGTCAGTAAACTTTGGCTGGGAGAGGAGTACAAGGGGAAGTACAAGAGTAAAATTTCCTACATGATTGTTGGAGTGCCATTAGTAAGACCCGATGCTAACGCACACTAATTGACGAGTTTGTTAGTCATTCATCACAAACGCACAACCGATTAGAGACGATCGTTGTATAGATATGCGACCACTAGTTAAGCACGCTAAGGGGTTGAACCCCGATTGTTTGAGGCTGAAAAACTAATTGAATTAAGGACACCGAGGACGAAGCATGTAGTTAGGCGAGCACATGCTACTGATTGAGCGTACTAAGAGGACTGATTGAGCTTATTGTTACAAACAAATTCAGGACCATATTTGTAGCGATATGTGACCACTAGTTAAAAACACCAATAATCGAACCTAGGAATGACAATCACCCACACATTATATATTAAATTGGCGAGCACTCACCTGGTGATAATGTAAACATATTTGAATGTAAAGTGAAATATAGTGGAGTACAATGGCTTCCCCATTAGCATCTTACTGGCAACACAGTAAATATATGAGATCAAAGAGATAATATTTCCACTTTCTAGTATATGATGGATCTTCAATAGATCTCCATGACTCCAATAATGGTGTGTGGAGTTGTGCAATCAGAATCACCATTTCTGCTATGCTATCTACACTGCTTATTTCAAAGAGTACTCAGGTGGCTGATGTTCTTACAAGGATTAATGACAATGAATCGAGGTTGGGTGAGTACCTTGATAATAAGAACCTCGCAAATTACAGTAACAGGACACTCTACAACATCATGGGTCCATTCCCTCCAGCATTGTTTACAATGATAATAATAACTCAACAATTACAACAGATCATTACTACCCACATTTACAGTTACAGCAGTCTGGTTCATAGCTCCACCGTTTTTGCATAGTACAGAACAGAGATCACAGCTTGGTACGCGCCTTATTCCCCGTGGCTGGCAGGGCCTGGGATTATGGCGAGATGTTAATCTCAGAAGATGATAGAACAAAGATATCATATGTATTCATCTTGGTTCTGCGAAGCAACATAGAAAGGAACACTTCAGAAAGAAACCCAGTTATCTTGATACTTAGAAGTATGAAACAATGGCAATCATCGATAAATTTGAGGCCTTTTATGCGTATGATCGCTTTAATCCTATACAGAACTAGCTGTGAACTGAAAGAGTTTGCTAATCAAGCTGCATTTCAAATGCTTTCCAGTAGTTCATCTACTCTGAGTCTGTCATTTCCAAGCCCTTAAAAGACTAGCTACACCTTTATTCAAATACCTGTCCTACTCTTCCAGAATCTCTTTCCAGACAAGTGCCTTTAGTAACATTTTTGGTCCAGAGAGCCATCTCTTCATGCTTTCGGCTAGACAACAAAGACATAGACAACCTAAAGCTACAATCTTTTTGATTTCCCATCATCCACTATCCTAAACAAACCATCATTGGAGATAATGAGCTGCAAATTAAGAGCTAGAACATTCACTTTCACCATTTCTTTCTCAATGACCAGCACACATCTACTATTAAGGTTCGCCGAAAGAGCCTGTATTCAATCAATTTCAGATAAGTAGCTGTAACATACAATTTCAGATTGAAACAAGCTATACCTGATTCGTCATACCATTGCAGAAGCCTGAGAGATCAAAATGCAACATCCAGGCAATGAACAATTGAAGACCCATTAGGAACCTTATGAACAACATCACACCAATTCACATTCCCCCACAACTCCTTTCCTCCTCCTTTCTTCTCCAACTCAATCTCAGCGCACCAAATCTCCATCTCCTTCCTCTTCTGCCCACCACCACCTTCTCCTTTCCCTTCCCAAACCACCACCAGCTTCCCTCCCACATTCGCCATTGTAGCTCCACAAAGAAACTTCGGCAGCTTCTTCTCCAACCCTTTCAGCTCCTTCCAAACACCTTCCCCTGCATCAAACCCCTGAATCTTCCCCAAGTAATCATAGCAATACAATATCCCATCAACCACACAAGCCCTTCCCCTCCACCCTAAATCCAGTCTCTTCTCCACGCTCCTCCATTTCCCACTCCTCGGCTCATAAACCACGCCGTTCCGATCCGCCATAGCGTAAATTCTGCCGTCGATCACTGCACTTGCGTGCATCCATTTCGCCCGCAGCAATTCCTCCCCCGGACTCTCTACCGATTCCCATTTCCCCGTCGCCGGATCGAAAACCTCTGCCCAATTCCTCGACCGAGACCAAGTGTCCACGACGGAGCCTCCAATCACGTAGATCTTCCCGTCCACCGTGCCCGCCGCGGGGAACTCCCGCGAAATGTGCATATTGGGGAGAGCCTCCCACGTGCGGAACCGGCAGTCGAGCGACCACGCGTGCGGGGACGCGACGTCCTCGATCGACCCGCCGATCGCGTAGATCTTGGGTCCGACGGCGACGTAAGCGGATCCGACGATTGCGGAAGGAGGCGGCGGGAGAGGGACGAGGATTCTCCGAGCATTTCTAGGGTTTGAGGAGTTGCGGTAGAGCGTGAACCAATTGACCGAATTCGATCCGGCGATGCGGACGCAGAGGTAGAGGAAAGGCTCTGCCGAGTGAGAGATCGAGCGGGCGGCGTAGAAGAGCGGCGACGAGAGGAGGGAGCGGAAGGGATTGGAGACGAGGGAGAGGAACGGGTGGTGGGAGCGCGGGACGCGAGCTAGGATGTTCAGAGAGACGTCGTCCGGAAGGCCAGGGATTAGGCTTGGCGGAGGGTCCGGCGATTCGCTGTCGGCGGCGGCGGCGGCGGCGGAGGAGGAGGAGGAGCTCGACATGAACCGGCGATTGTGGAGAGGCCGTTCGGACTCGGAGTTTGGGGATCTCGGCGAGCTGGGGAGTGAAGAGTGAAGACCGTTGGGTGCGCGTGAATGAAGTTAGTTGGGCCGCGAATTGGGTTTAACGAATTTTGGGTATGGGCTTTTTTCAAATCGAAAAGGCCCAATTTCTCAGCACTTGATGTGAACCTCGATATCTTGATATTATTCCAAAAAATAACTATTGTTAAAATATTTAAAATCTATTTCAGTATATTTGAATAAGATTGTTGTATCATGGTTATAGAACATGCATGATATTGTAATATGAGTTAAATTTTTAATGAAATTTCATGGTATATAGTTCAAATATCATGTAAGAAATCCTAAATAAAGTTTATCCTAAAAGAAAATTTCCTAACTTAATTTTTTTTTAATTCGAATATTCATGAAACCATATCTGAATATTAATTTGAATACCATATTTAACACTTATTTTGAGAAAGATAATTATCCATACAACTAAAAAGATATGCACCAACTTGTCATCTTGACTTATAAATAGCCATAGATTTCAACATGAGAAATCATCCTCATATTCAAATAGTCATAGATACAAATCTCTCTTGTCTCTTCATTATTTGAAGTGCATCAAGAAAATACTAGAATATCAAAATGGAGAAAACATCCATCAAACGCATATCTTTATTGCTTGCCTTCATTCTTATCACTCATTGTAAGTGATGAATTTCTTTTCACACTTTTTTTCTTAATTTTTTTAATGAATTATCAGTTTTTTTCTTTCAACCATTATTTGGAAATCAATGATAAAATAATATTTAAATAAAAAAAAGATTCCCAATGATATATGGATAAATGAATATTGTTTCAACTTTGAGTATACATCACTAATAATAACATGTTTATTTTGCAGATGGAGGAGTGGAGGTGAGGGGATCTGGAGACAATTTGTCAAATCCTCCATGCATAACCGTTGAGAACTGCTACGATTTCTGTTCAAAAACAATCAGATTTCCTGAAGTTCAGTGTAAATGTATCCATGGCCAATGTCAGCTGATAAGTTCGATCCCGTCGCCACCACCAAGAAGTATATGAATAATAGATATTTGATGTCCATGTTTGACGTTAATCTATTTCTTTTTTTGTGGTTTAATGGGGAAAAATAAATAAATAGTTATCGTTATTTTTCATTTTAAACATCACACCCTCATGGCATTGGTAGATAGAAACCCTAAATGTTAAAAGAAAGTGTCATAACATATGAACCCTACGATACCAAAATCAAAACATCATTGGAGGAATGGGGAGAGTGGTTGAGTGGGCTGCTACGTGAATTGGGAATTTTGTACTTGTTAGGTTTATGGTCTGGTGGTCCGATAACTGCAAACTGCAGTCTTGACCTTATTCAAACAAAGATATCAAATATCTCATACTACAAACCATGGACCAAACCAAATCATTCTTAACAGTCAACTGTCAAGACCAAATTGTGCAGTCTAGTTTGGTCAACGACTTTTCCATTGGGATCTGGTCTATTTTCCCAACCTATTCACGATTATAGAGCAAGTATCATATAGTAATATGAGTTAAATTATTAATGAACCTTCTGTGTATGCAATTCAAGTATCACGCCAAGAAATCCTATATAAAATTTATATTGTAAGAAAATTTTCTAACTTATAATTTAAAAGTATTTGCAATATTCATGAAAAAATACCTAAAATTTGGAATACCATATTTAGTCACTTATTTTGAGAAAGACAATTAATCATATAGGGTATGCCTATGGTGACTTGCAAGTCACTGTAACTTGGAGAAAACGGTCGACCTCTTCTATCAAGTGGTCGACCACTTTCCAAGAATATGGTCGACCTCTTCCACCAAGTGGTCTACCACTTCCGGAAATGGGCCGACTTGATGACACACTTACCTTCAAGTGGTCAACCTCTTCCACCAAGTGGGCGACCACTTTTCAAAAAAAAAAAAGGTCGAGCTCTTCCATCAATTGGTCTGCCACTTGAGTCAACCGGTCTACCACTTCCGGAAATGGGTCAACCTGATGACACAATTACCTTTAAGTGGTCGACCTCTTCCACCAAGTGGTCGACCACTTTCCAAGAAAATTGTTTACCACTTCCACCAAGCTGTCTACAACTCGAGGCAACCGGTCTACCTCTTCTGGCAATGGGTCAACCTGTGACACACTTACATTCAACTTACAGCTGCTTGTTGGAGGAGGTAAACCACTTTCGCCAAAAAACCCTACCGATTTTGCAAAATGGTTTACGTACCTCTTTCGGTGAACGATCTCCACTTTCGGCCAACGTTCGACCAGATGACACAATTACCTTATACTTACATTAGGAAAATAATGGACAACAGGGGACCAAAAATACAAAATTATTTTTGTAGTAATGCAACATCCTATCATCTGTGGGCAACCAAATCCCTACGTAAGCCAAGACAGAAGAAAACACCCTCTTTTAACTCTTCTGGAATAAAAATCTACAAAAGCGATGATATGAGATTTATGAATGTTGAAGATGACACAATTGTATAACAAATATACTCTATTTTTTTAGCATCTTCATAACAAAAATAGCAACAAAGTTGATCCATCACAAGACAACTAAAGGATAGAAACAAAAAAAAAACTTCGAATTTTAAGAAAAATGAAAGTCTCTATAAAGTCAAATATTTGAAATAAATATGCGGAACATTTTTCAAATTTACGAGAGAACAATCACTCGAGAAACTTTTTATCTATGCTTGCAGCCTTTGTACTAATTTTAAATATCTTACTAGCAAGCATATCTATTGTTATTGGACTCTAATTATATATGATGATATTACGAACAATGGTTCATCAGGTGGATCAATTATTGAAAGAGGTGGACCGCTTGGGGAAAGAGGTAGACCACTTGATGGAAGTGGTAGACCTTTTAGTGGAAGAGGCTGACCGTTTGTTGAACATAGCAAATGAAAATAGTACATTTGGTCGACCATTCCAACAATTAGGTCGATCATTTTGTCCATATAGGTCGACCATATCAGTGAAGAGGTCGACCATTTCGTCCAAATAGGTCAACCATATCAATGAACATGTCGACCGTTTTGTCCAAGTCACGATGACTTGCAAGTCACCGTAGCACAATCCAATCATATAACCGAAAAAGATACTCACCTCCTTATCATATTGTCCTATAAATAGGAGGAGATTTTAACATGAGAAATCGTTAACATATCCAAATAGATACAAATCTCAGACCACTTCATTATCTGAATTGCATAGAAAAAAATACTAGAATATCAAATGGAGAAAATATTCTTCAAACTCGTCTCTTTGTTGCTTGCATTCTTCCTTATCGTTGATTGTAAGTAGCTAGCTTCTCTTTCTCTCTACTTAACTTTAATCTTCAAACTCATCTCTTTCATCTCAACCATGTTATTAAAACAATACTTTACAAGAAATATGAACATATGTGATGAAAACAGATGATGCTAGGTTTACCCATTGTAATACAAGGCGAAACGTTTGCTTTTTTTTTTTTAGAGTCAAACTGAAAATCATTTATAAAATACGATATTAGACAACAAAAATATTTCACGATAATGTGTAGATAAAATATATGCATCACTAATAACATGTTTATTTTGCAGATGGCGTATTGGATTTAGAGGCGAGGGGATCTATAGACTACTTGTCAACTCAACAGTGTGAAATCGATGAGGACTAGAATTTACAATTGTCCAAGCATTGCGTGTATGTGTATCAAGTTGTGCCATAAAATAAATTTGTACAAAAAAGTATAGGTACAATCTGAAGTTGTACCATAACGTAAATGTACAATTTTAAGTTGTACCATAAAGGCAAAACCCTATAGCACCAATACTATATAGCATTGCAAAATTTCTCCACTACTTCATCGTTAACACCTTTCTCGACGCCATCACTTGGTCAATGAAATTTTCAAAGTATTTATTGTATGTAAGCGCGATTTGTCAAATATTCTACTAGGAATTCAAAGTCAAGAATCACAATTCAATTCAATTCAAACCCAATAATTCTAACATTTTGAAAGATTATAATCCTTAACCCCATTGGGTAATTTGATCCACTCCACATCCCAACATAAGTTTTTACGGGAAGTCGACATATATAAATGTCATTAACTATAAATAATATATTATTGTTTGATATGGACTAACAATTACTTTGCACATTGCAATCTCCAACTTGGAAATTAAAATAGTTAATTTCCAACAAAGATTCGCTTGTGGAATAGTTACTAGTTAATTACAAGGCTCAAGACTCAAGCGTGAGAAATATTTAAGTCAACAGTCAATCCGGCAAACCTTACTTACTACAGATCGAAGAAAACAAAAACGAGTCTTTTTCGGGTCTTTCAAATAATAAACACAGAAACGACCAATAAATTCATTTCCTTTCCTTTTATATTGATTAGATTCAATCAATTTTGTCAATAAAGGTTCACAGCACATTCGTGACAACTAGGATTAATGGCAATGAGTAGGTCGGATCAGATACTTCGATGTTCATATCTGTCTCGTGACAAGTGCAGCTAAATTATTCAAGAAATTGAGGTTCTCACCTATTACAATTTTATTATAGCTAAAATATTGGGCGATGCAATCAAAATCATAAGAATTACATGTAATTAAGGCAAAAACAGGCCAGATATGAGGCATGTCAGGGCGAGTCAAGTAGAGGATAGTATCATGGTTTCCCTGCCCCCTGCGTTGGTGCGGGTTTTACCCATCCCAAAACAAGTTGGGTAAACAGGTCGGCTCGAAATTGTCGTCACTAGTGTGAACATGAACATAGGGGGTGTGAAGCCAACGAATCTAGTGTGGAAACTCTATCATCGTTGGATGGACACGATGACATCTTATTTACAAAATTACAACCACTTTCATCCAACGTTGCAAATTGTGCATATATGATTTCGACGGTCATGTATGTTTGCGTACAGATTTTTACAATACGACCTGTAATTAAACACCAGAATCTGGTTAAGATTCTACATGTTTAACTTTATTGCATGATTTTCTCTCCCCCAGAATCCCGGGTCTTTTCGTACGTTTATGTTTTTGTCAATATATTCTTTTTATCATGGAGTCCTTTTCAATCCATGCAAGGAAGCTCACGGTGGAAATTGATTGTATAGTGTGAACTACCTGCCGACATGCACCAATCCTTCGCTTGAGCACGCCAAAGACCGCAAAGTCAACATGACTTGGAAAAATTAACCCACAAATCTCTAAGTACATGTTATAAACGCGCTGCTACGGATCGGGAAATCGCCGGAATCGATAAAGTAAGAATACGAAAGCGAGAATCGAAAAACACAGACACATGATTTACGTGGTTCACTAACACGATGTGTGTTAGCTACGTCCACGGGCGAGAGAGAGCCAGTTTCACTATATTGAGGATATTACAGAGGAGTATGAGAAGTATTTATAGTACTTTTTTTTTTTTTGCCATAGATCGGGAATGAAATAGATATTACAGGACGCTAGAAAACCAGACGCGACAGTCGACACAATATCGAGCTGTCGATGAAAGGGCATTAGAAGCCACTAAGTGGGCAGCCCTGTTGTACAACCTCTATGTAAAAGTACAAATAAAGAAATTAAAAGACACAGACGCCAAACAAATCTCTTCCAAGATCACTCCACCTGTCGCATGCGCCACATCACGAGATTGAATCATAATGGATGGATACTTGTATGGTCAAGGGAAAACTACGTGCCCCCCTGCAAAAACAAACAAACCCACAAGCGCCCATAGAGGAGGACAACTAAGCTCCACCGAATGGACTTAAACAAGCCATTGAGGCTTAGTCAGAAACTCCGTATCAAAAGCTAACAAGGTCAAAAGAAAAACATTTTTTATTACTTTTTTTTTACAGTAAAGTTAATGAAAAGTTTATAAATACGCGCAGTTAAGGAAAATAAATTAAAAGATTTTAGAATTATAATTCTGGAAATAAATAAATATTAAAATTAGAGAGGAAAGAAAAAGAACAAGCGTATCTGAAACGGATCGCAGTTGGAAACGCCTCTGGATTTGTAACCGATGCTTTGGAATTGTAACCGTCGGACACCAAAACTGAATCCTCATAAAGTGTAACTGCCGGCCGTCGGGATTCGCATCGTCGGAAGCAAACTTGGGGACGCCGGCGTAAAGGTCGTCGCCTTGCGGGTGGTTGATGATGGTCCCGGGCCTGATACCCCCGCCCGGGCTCGTCGAGAAGAGGCGGTTCTTCATCGAAATTAGCAGCGGAGGGAACGGGGCCTCCACCGATGGCGCCGCTGCAGTAGGAGGCGGTGGGTTTGTTTTCAGGAGGAGCGGTGCCGGAGGAAATCACGGACTTGAGGACCTGCGGATCAATTCTGGAAATGGCGCCCTGGATATCTCGGAGGCTCCTCTGGCGGCGGAGGAGGCGGTAGGAGCGAGATTCGGAAGGAGTGCCGCCATTACTCTGCGCGCCCAAGAAATCGAGTGCCGCCATTACTCGCGAGGGGTGAAGTTGTTTAGGTCGATTTCCACCAAACCACATATTTGCAGTAAGTATTTATAGTACTTCTTCATGTGGGTCTAAACCTAATCCAATCTGGCAAAGGAAACGGTTACAGACCAGGCCCAGAGACCCCCGATTACCAGTCGTAGCGGCTGATAGTCCGATCCAAGTCACATCAACAGTACACTACACAGGAAGTTATATATCTCAATCGTATAACTAGTTTCATATTCAAACATTTATAAGTTAAGTTTGCAAAGGTTCGAGAGGTTTGATGGCGCTGAGTTATGTACTTCTCATACTTCTTTATAATCTCTAATGCGTAATCTCCTCAAATATATTGAAATTGATTCTCTCTTTCGTGAACTAGCTAGTAACACATATTGTGTTAGTGAACCAAATAAATTTGTGTGCAGTGCAATCAAAATTGTTATTTTATGAGCGTCTTGGTGACTTAACAACGTAAAAACATAAGATTTTAAACTTCAAAGCGTAGGTTTTGACTAAAATTATATAGGGAAAAGTGTAACTCTACGTAAAAGCGCTTTGGTGATCCAAAAGTGTAAAAACGTTATAATTTTAGATTTTAAAACCCGATTATAACTACATTGTCTATATGTTCTTTACTTTCTTTTCTATCTTGGTATTTTTGCATTGCATGTCTATTATTCCGGTTCATAATTATAAATAAATCCCTTCTATTTTCCCTTCAATTCTGAATACAGGGTATTTATATAAAAAAAAAAACCAAATATGCCCAATCCTATAGATTAAATCCCCCAATATATCTATAGGCATGTATAAGCCACATTTGCACGTGTAGCAAACATGGGTGGCACACAAATGAAATATTTTCTTTTTGTCTCTATATCTCTCTTGGATCATCGTCGACGATCAACGACGACCGACCGACTTGGTCTGTCGTTGGGGTGGCGGTGTGTTGTTTTGGTCGCCGGACAAGGGAGCAACGCATGCATCATCTATTCATCTTCTTGTCTTTCCAAATCTACATATTATTGTATACCACTTGGTTTCTAGTTTACTATAAGTCTATAACCATAACCTACTAGCTTAGCTAGCTAGGGTTCCTCATATTTGTCTTTGCTTTCGAAAATTGCTTTGAAATGTCTTCACATTTCATTTCTCCTTTCTCATACATGGGGAAAAAAAAAAAAAAAAACAGGACAACTTAGTAAAGAACACACGCTTTGTTCATGAAAGTCTACTCGATTTGATTCACGGTGTGATTTGCATTTTATTTCATTGTTTGTTAGAGAATCCATGCAGTCGATAACTAATACATAGTTGACAGACGGACTAGCGAGTGTAGGTTAATAAATAATAGACTAATTGGTCAATACTTGAAACAAAAATTATTATTATTTTCATATCTGGTATGAGAAAGATTGAGTAGCTGAGATTCGACATAAAAGTTTGTGATGGAAGCCTGTCTCTTTCTCTCTATATAAGCTAGGATTCGTCAAGAGAAACTTAACTACAACCATCACGTTGGTCTCCTAGCAGTTGGTTTACATCAGTTTTAGTTGTTGGACGAGATTCAAAACTGGATCATATCACTTATTCAAAGTTGGAAGAGATCTCTTCAAATGAACACTCATTAGGGTTTAAAATTATACTGAGACTTTTTTTACATCAATTAAGCATTAACATCATAAATTAATTACTAAGATTTGAAATTAAAACGATGACCTTTCGACCAAAACCTCGTACAATATGTTAAGTTGTTAGGAGAGTTTCTTATACATGGTTCAAAAAGGCACGTTTAGACTAGCCTAGGCGCTAAGCAATGCCAAAATGCCTCGCCTAAGGGTTTCGTATCGATATATGAATCCAGAACGCGACGACAGAGTACAATATCACCTGGATATAATTAGATGAAGTCCAAGCGGTCAATATCAAAATGGAAAAATTACCATCGTCTACAAACACAATCTTTCTCTCAGTCTTTTCAATAACTCAAGAACTTGTGAGCTATTGAAATATGATCCTATGAACTTGTGAGTTATTTTTCTTAATGGCAAATGTTAAAATATATATTATACAAATAACTAATATTTTTGCTTACATCAACTAGACATGCTTAAAAGACGCCTAAGCGAGTTACGCGTTGGACAAGACCCCAACTTTCGTCTTACGCATAGCGCCTTGTTGAACCTTGCAATCTTATATATACAATTTGCTCTTTTCTTCTTATATCTAAACATATGTGTCGTTTACTATGATGAGCAGGCATGAGACTCGCCTTCTGATTATGATCTATTAAGCTAATAATTTGTTGGTTAGAAGAGTATGGTTTAAGATGAACCGACCCTTTCCACAATAATTATACATGTCAATTAAATATCATATTAATCGGGATTCTACTTGTTTGGAGTTTAGTTTATAGCGTTAATTCAGTTAACAATCCACTAGGAAATCTTAAAGTTGGTAGCTTAGGTTAGGGTTAACATCACAAGTGTGAATCTGTTTTTATTAATTGGTTGTGTCATGTTAGTTCTCTTTTTAATGGTTTACGCTAAATACCTCGGACTAATGGATGAGTGTCCGAAAAGGAACATCCAACAAGAAAGGTTCACAACTCCACAATTCCATATCTGATGAAATTTTAATATGCATATTTTTTTTGTCCAAATTCAATGTCTATTATGGAGCGGTGATGAACAACGTTGAGTTGACCTTATAAAGACATTTACCGATAAGGTTGGTCAAGTGCTTGGTTAAAATGCAGTTTGAGACTGATTTATATGCAAAAAATAAAATCACACACATTGTTATAGATATGTGATTGATGGCACTGGCGGATCCAGGGGGTGGCCACCCCAGGCCCCGGTCCAGCCCTCCTCTGGATCCGTAGTTACTATAGTCCTTATGAAATTTTTGATTTTAGACATTCAATCCAGTGTTATTCTATGATAAGATTGGGTTTAACTAGAAAAATTATCAAGTTGAACATATTCAAATCACTATTCTAAATTTAGCCTTGAAATTTTAGCCCCAAAGATTATGCGTCTTAAAAAAACAATGAAACCTAAAATTCTAAAAAGTTAAAAACGTAAAAGACTAAAAGAAATATGAGGTTTGTTCCCTTACAAATTTACTAAAACAGCTGGTGTGCAGGGATGGACACACAATGTAAATTGATTAGTCGATTGATTTATCTAGTGTTGATGTTGCTCGTTTCAACAGCTACTACGAAGAGAACCTTTTTAACAATGAAACATGTGAGAACTGATTTGCTCAACAAAATGAGCGATGAATTTCTCGTCGATTGCTCAAGTATTTTATTTGAAACAGTGTATACTATTGGTATGGATGTAGACTTCATTATTGATGCATTCCCTAAATTAAAATACAGTTGTGTACAATTTACATTGCAAAAAACTATAATCATTATATTTTTTTACGGTTCTAATTTTCTAATGAAATGCGGCCCAGTGCTCTTCTGTGTTCTGGATCCGCCGCTGTTAATGGGTTGTGGGTCAGGTCCATAAACATGTACGTGATTTTCACAAGGTAAATAGACATTTCTTTTTCATCTAATCGAAGGGTCCTCATATTTCTGATTCACGTCGCGCATCGACAATCGACTTTTAAAGCGAGAAAGCAAAGAGTGTTTTCGGACTACTATACTACTGTTGTTTTCAAGATGTAAATTACAAATAAAAACTATATATGTCGACGTGGAATAAATGCCAAGTTTCTTTACAACTAGTTGATGGAGTAGTGATGAAAAGATTCCATCTCTGAGAATGCAGGCCACATGCGTGAAGAGCTTGATCCATATGAATATGTGGTTAGAGACTTTGTTTTCTCTGTTAGATAATATTTTATCCAGAGTTTACAGATGAAAGTGTATATGAATAATGAAAACTTTGCACATCACAAGTACTGGTCGAATCCATTCGATACAAGACGGAAAGTGCCTAGATTGCAACTTATCATAAATTGTAGTCAACCGGTGCTATCGGAGAATTGGGTTGTCGGTCACCCATCATATATCCAATCAAAGAAAGAATGTAGGTGGGTTCGATTGCTCAGAATAACGTACCAATCCGTTAGTAAGCGCATTTCAGTTTTAAGTTTGACAGACCAAACCCCGCCCAGTAATTAACTATCCTATACTCAATGTCTTGTGAATATTCAAAAGTGATATCAAATTAGTTTTTAGGTGTAAACACATTCTTAATTAACTTAGAGTACAAGCATATATAGGAAGTCAGAAACTGAACATTGAAAAGAAAAAAAGAGTGATCCAATAATGGCAACATGTAACAACACAACTATAAAGTAGAGAACGTAATCAACATGCAACATATATAATCCACGTGATGATCACTCGAGAGAACAAACCGCCTAGGCATCGAATTTCTCTTCTGAGAAGACGAAAGAAACTTGAAATTTGTTTCTTTAACATATTTCCTCCTCGTGTGAATGAGAAGATCGATCGAGCGAAGAAACAGGGTGGGCACACGAAATAAAAACTGAATCCCAAAGCTTCTCCTCTAACGAGGGAGCAAAAAGAGATCACATACACAACCTTTGATAGCACTCTAGACATCAGAATGTCACGAATAAAACTGTAGACACATCAGAATGTCACCATGCCCATTCGAAAAGTACGAATATTCGTGCATGATACGTCTAACTGAACCGCGGTCGAATGAAATCGCTCCATGTTATGGAACATAATAAAAAAGTAGACAATCACATTCTAATGCTTTTTTGGAAAAACCATCAACATAATTGAAACATAATTCACTATATATATATATATATATATATAAAACAACGTTATGGATCAAGCAAACCCTAAAGCCCTGCTCTTCTCATTACATTTTCACAGCTTATATAGCCGGTGAATCAGTACAGAAACCTTAAAAAACAATGGTAAGAAGACAAAGTTTAGAAGTAAAGCAAGTACGGCCGAAAAAGGAAAAGAGTGGTTTTAACAAGTTTGAGGACTAAGTGGCATTTTGCCAGAAACGACGTCACTCCACGTGCGTTGTATCTTCCCTTGAGCAAGCAATGGAACGGTGTGTCGCATTGCTTCTCTTTTCCAGACGATGATGAAACGATGTCGCTCTGATTCCCAGCTTCAACTGGTGGTGAAACGATGTCGTGGGAACTCCGCTTCTTCTTCCCCGTGAGAACAACGTCTCTGTTCAGAGCCGTTGGAGATTCGAATGGAACAGAGCGCGCGAAAATCCTTCGCATTCCCCTGACAATATAGACTGCAAAATATTAGAGTAGTCTAAAATGTATAACCTACACAAAGGAGACACAACCGCCAAAGATAACTACACCTTAACTCATCATATATCCGTTGAGAATTAGAACTCGTTTACATAATCATTATTTTGAGACAAAAAAAAAAGACTTCTAAAACGTATTATCCATAACCGAGAAAATTATTGGAGCTATCTTAATCCCAATAATAGGACTATTATAAGAACCTAGCTATTGACTAATCATATATAACATGTTCTGAGTTATGGTACAAAATTTAGAGTTACAAAACTTATAAATTGAATAAAAAAAATAAATTTTTGCCCTATCATTTTCCATATAATGCAAGAGAAATATATAACTAGACTTTTCAGTTTCCAATCCACCCTGCATGCATATCTCACTTGATAACGAACACATGTAGCTAGGTATTAAGTGTAAACTAATATACTGTTAAATATTAGTACTGGGATAATTAATTAATTAATCAATTAAAATATTGATTAATGTCCCTATGCATCAAATTATTAAAGAGATTCCCATAAGACAAAGTTTAGAATTCGAATTGGAACGAATGCATTAACCTTGCTACGTAACTACGACGTATTGATTACCTCATTATTGACAATTATGTGATATTTAAAGCATCTTTCTTGATATGCTACGACCCTAGGTATAAGAAAAATATTAGCAATATATCTCATGTAGTATGTAACACTTATTAAACCATTTGAATATGTAAGTACTTTTTGGAGGGTTATTCAACGGGAGATTAAATCTGATCGAGACATTTTTCCTATAATTCCTGTCTCTAGTCTCGAAAATATGTTGTCTGTGTCATCACAATACTGAAGCAACAATATTTTACAAATAGATCTCATTACTTCCGGACGATAAAACTTCCAATATGATTAGATTGTAAAAAACATATTCATTATCTTCAACATATAAGAACTTCATCTCATTCCCTCATTCTTTCTCTAACCCAAGTTTACTTCAGCCCTCTCAAAATACAACCTTAATTGAACGGGATATGTTCTATAGACTCGTACTTCTACGTCCACAACATAACAAGACACGAATCCAAATTCGGTAATTGAATCATAGTCATGTGTACCATTTTGACATACTTCCATGATCTTCAACCCTCCTAAATCAAAATCTAACATTCATTCTAGTAAAATTGACTATTAGAAAAAACATAAAATCTTACATAGATCACCCAACTAGTAACATAGGGAAAATCATAATACCATTAATGTAACCAACATCACCCCCCAACCAATTCAAACCGATTTCTCTCCCCCAAAAAACGTTGATTTTCCTTTCTTCCTCTTCATTGGAACCCCAAAAATTTATTCAATGTTAAAAACCCAACCTACCATTTCTCTACCTCTCCCCTTCCACTATATATACCTCTCTTTTCCTCCCCTCTTCTCCCACATTCCCATTTCCCCTCCAAAAAAACAGAAGCAAAAAAAAAAAGCTCTCTTTCACCACCAAAAAAAAAACAAAATGGAAACAACAGATCACCATAACTTCCTCATGAGCTCCAAAGACACCAACTGGTTCTTCTTCACCCTCCCCGCATTCCTCGGCACCAAAACCTTCCTCGGCGGCGGCGGCGGCGATGGCGACGCGTACTACCTCCTCTTCTCCCTCCTCGCCGCCTTCCTCTCCCTCGCCGCCGTCACCTGGCTCCTCACCCCGGGAGGCTCCGCATGGCGCCACGGCCGCACCTCCCGCGGCCCGGCCCAAATCTCAGGCCCACGAGGACTCCCAATATTCGGCAGCCTCTTCGCCCTCAGCCGCGGCCTGGCCCATCGCACCCTGGCCTCCATGGCTTGGGCCCAATCCGGCAGGCCCAACAACAAACAGCTCATGGCCCTCAGCCTCGGCGGCTCCACCCGGCTCGTCGTCTCCTCCGACCCAGCCACGGCCCGCGAGATCCTCACCTCGGTCGGCTTCGCGGACCGGCCCGTCAAGCAGTCGGCCCGCAGCCTCATGTTCGAGCGCGCCATCGGGTTCGCACCCAACGGCCCGTACTGGCGCCTCCTCCGGAAAATCGCGTCGGCCCACCTCTTCTCCCCGCGCCGCGTCGCGGCGCACGAGCCGATGAGGCAGGCCGAGTGCGACGCCATGCTCAACGGCGTCGCCGTCGAGCAGGCGGCGCGAGGACGCGTGGAGCTGCGTACCCACCTCCAGCTGGCGTCGCTCAACAACATAATGGGGAGCGTCTTCGGGAAGCGATACGACGCCGTGGAGGATAAGTTGGAGCTGGACCGGTTGGAGGAGATGGTTCGCGAAGGGTTCGACCTGTTGGGCGCGTTCAACTGGTCCGATTACCTGCCCTGGCTCAGCTGGTTCTACGACCCGTGCAGGATCAACGAGCGGTGCGCCGAGCTCGTGCCACGTGTCAGGGAACTCGTCCGAGGTATCATTCAAGAGCACCGAATCCGACTCGGTGGACACGTGGAGCGCGGCGATGGGAGCGATTTCGTCGACGTGTTGCTGTCGTTGGAAGGAGAGGAGAAGCTCGAGGAAGATGACATGATCGCCGTCTTATGGGTATGTTAATTATAAATACGTTTTTTTTCTCCTAAATAACACTATTAAAGCACCTAATCCCCGGTTTAATGACTACAAATTAAATCATACGTCCGTCTTCAATCTCCCGTTTCGAAACGTTTCACAATACTGAGTCTGACTCGGGCGAGCTGTTTTCTTTTTTTCTTTTTTTTTTTTTTTGGTGCAGGAGATGATATTCAGGGGAACCGATACAACCGCGCTGCTAACCGAGTGGGTGATGGCCGAGCTGGTCCTCCACCCGGAAATCCAGAACAAGCTACGTGCTGAGCTGGACTCCATAGCCGCAGCCGACTTGTCGGATGCTGACGTGGCGAAATCGCCATACCTTCAGGCCGTGGTGAAAGAGACGCTGCGGGTCCACCCGCCGGGCCCGCTGCTGTCGTGGGCCAGGCTGTCCACGTCGGACGTGCAGCTGAGCAACGGGATGGTGGTCCCAGCGGGGACCACCGCGATGGTGAACATGTGGGCCATCACCCACGACCCGGAGGTCTGGTCGGACCCGCTGGAGTTTCGGCCCGAGAGGTTCTTGGAGAAAGAAGGCGGCCGTGACGTGGATGTTCGTGGTGGGGATCTCAGGCTGGCTCCGTTTGGGGCTGGGCGGAGGGTCTGCCCCGGGAAGAATCTGGGGATGAACACGGTGGCGCTTTGGGTGGCGAGGCTGGTGAACCGGTTCGAGTGGAAGGAGGATTTGGGCAGGCCGGTTTGTCTCGATGAGGTGCTGAAGCTGTCGTGTGAGATGAAGCACCCTTTGCATGCTGTGGTCGTGGCTAGGAAGTAAAAGTGGTTTGTGGACAAGTGAAGGTTTAATGGTTTGGTTTGGGTAATTTGGTTTTGATGTCCTTAAGGGTTGGTTTGTTTTGGGTTGGGTAGTTTGATGGGTTTGTTAATTGGTTGGTTGGTTTGGAAGGCATTAAAGGCGTGATTATGTTATTTGCAACTAAGAATTGCAATTAGCATGGATCAAGTTTAGTGTCTTAAGCTCTTTGTTTTTTTTATTTTTATCATCTAAGTCAATGAAAGTTCCAAAGGTTTGGTCTTGTCATCTCTCTCATAATAGTTGTTGTCGTTTGCCATAACTGTGGATCTAATGCACGTCTTTTCGCTGCTGCATGTTCACATGCATGCACGTGTTTCTTTGTGATTTCGAAACGCGCACCTGAAAATGGCTTTAATCACAGAAATTCCCGTGTTTAAATGAATATTTTCCGTGATTAATAATTTTAGGGATGGAAAAGTATGCGTAATATAAAGTTTCTGTGGCTTGTGGCTAATTGTATACAGTGACTAGTTATAATACCGTGACTAATTATCACCCAAGAAAAGAAAGACCGAAAAAATATGTACTATCGTTTACTAGGGCACCCTAGCTCAGTGCCAAACCAGAGCAGGGATGGCTGAGATGATTCAGTTGGTTTTTTATATTTTCGGGAATGGCAGTTAGTATCCAATACCATAAAAGGCAATGGCGGCTAAGACGCATTATCGGTTTTTCAGTTTTGGTTTTGCTTTTCGATTTCGGGTTCAATCCAAAAACCTAAAGACATAGCAACTGTTCCTATCTCATAGTTTGTTTCTATTTTTTGGGTTTCGGTTTTGCTATAACCAAACGTAAAACCGTTAAGAGAATTTCAGTTTCGGTTAACCAAAAACAAAAATCCCTTATTGGTTTTGGGTTCGGTTTTCAAATGAATACGTGTTTGTTTTTTTGGGTAATCGGGCTTCGGTTCGGTTTGGTTATCGAACCGACACTCCGGAAGCAGAAAAATATATGTATTCATAAACTACATAGCACAAAAGAAGAAGAAGAAGAAAACAATTGTCGGCCCAATGCACAGGGTGTAACCTACTTTATAATCTTAGTCAATTATCAGGCAACACAAGAACTGGAATTCACATTCAAAACTTTCTAGCACTCCTTCCCTTCCACGAGAGAGAATTTCTCGTCTTTCAGCTGTCAATTGGGACAGCTCTTCAGTGAACATCGACATCTGATCATAATACGGAAGTCTCTTCTTGCCTTTGGGAATCGGATTCGTAAACAATCTGTTCACCACATCGTCTTTTATGCTTTTCGTTGCTCTGAACCAGTAGTATTTGAGGGAATTCTTGTTTGCTGCTCTGAACCAGCTGCAGTGTCCGTCATACATACCTCGTAATTCCTCGTATCTCGAAATCGGAGTAGCAAAGCAAGACATCGACATCTTAACCACATTTTCATTCAGAGCTGTAACACACAACCAAAACAACATCCCATTGCACGAGCACACATTTTTTCTGCGGGAGTTTGGTATAGCCATGGTAAACAACATCCTCCTCGAACCATTGTCCAGACTCCGAACAAAACACGTCTAGTTTAGTCGAGGTCTTATGCTGATATATACACCACTCGGACTCGATACTCGGAATACCCAACATTTCTTCTTCTTCTTTTCTTGGGTGAGAAGTTAGTTGATCATGTGTTGGAGGAGGACGAAGAAATCAACCAACATTTCCAAGAATTGTCTACCGAGACAGAGTACAACGAACTCCATTTTTAACTTATTTAATTTGCTACTGAAGCGCACGGAAGGATGCATTGAGAAAATGTTATTTGTAGAGTCTTATTGCTTCACACCTTCATTACCCAGCTCGAGCTACACCAGCCGACGACTACATTGCGACTCTTCCATGTTATCAAAAAACCTAAATTCCTAAACACACTTGAAACAAACGAATCTCTACTTCCTGCTAAAACCGCTTCGTATCACAATAGATAATCCGCAAATAGCAGCATCTCCAGTAGCCACATCGATCTTCTAGTTTCCAACTGGGGAAGACAGTTTCTCCAGGTGGATAACTACATTTTTTTGCAGCGGAGTTGTTGAACATTCCCAGATGGGAGAGAAGCAAAAATACTGCAAGGAGTTTCCCATGCTAGAAGTAGAAGAGGTAGCTAGTTTGAGCAAGTGGTGTAATCATTTTCCGTCCGAATTTGTATACCTGAGAGATTAAAGCATGAAAGATAAGAGGAGTAGCGTTAGAATTTCTATCTTGGTGAACTTTCAGATCAAGAGACATCTGCGGCTGGAACGGAACAAGTACCATCATGACTTGGGATGAGCTTTGTTGTAATGGTCTACAGCTTTGGACAAAGACTGTATTGAAATGGGAAATCCTTCCCCCATCTGCAATAATGAGATGAAATAGAATTATCGCTTCGGGAATGCAAACGTTTCTGGAAGCAGTTCCACATTATGTAACATTACTAAAGCTACCAACAAACATTTGGTAGTAGGCTAGAAAAGGCTTAGTTGGAAACTTGACTATAATTTATGGCGTTTGAGGTTTCAACAGTCATCAATTCCAAGGGTTTTGCTGCTCCTATCTCCCTTCCATATCTATTTCAGTGGTTTTCAACCATTGACTAATTGAGATTGAAGTAACAAAGTAAGAGGTTGCCATCATATAGAAATAGGGTAAAAGAGAACATAGATTTTGAGTTTTCCTTGGCAAACATGACATAGAGGTGAGCAATTAATTAGAAGCTTTTAGCAGGCAATAAAAAATGAAAAAGGTTTCTGTAAAGCTTACCGTGCTACATATATGGAAGGAGTTCACATATCCAGCATATTTAGAAGCTGCAAGAGCAGGATACGAAAATGATCAAAGCTTGGAAGTTTTCAAGGCCAGCAACAGCAGTAGGCATCATATCCCATGCCATTGAGAGACCATTCTAAACCAACAGGAGGTACCCTAATGGATATATACATCCAGCTCGTATTCTCAAACATTCTAGATAGCTAACACAACTTTTTAACTCATGCTAACTAATTTGTAACACACCATACACTACTTCAGAGATGTGGTAGAAGAAACCAGCTAAAAAAAACTGTCCATATGCATTTCGAATACAAAGCAAACTGTACCTAATGATCTTCAAATCATAGAGATTTAGATGTCTAACAACGATAATAAAAAAATTGATGCATTAAATTAGGTCATACAGTTTCATAAACTGGCAACAGAGAAACCAGAGAACACTCACTTTTCTTCAAGCCAGCAGGTTTTGATTGTAGAAGGGCATTCATAAAAGCTCCAATATTCTCACGTAAAGACTCTTCACTGAAACTCGCCTGCAAATGAGAACAAAGGAGCTTACTGACCAGCATGGGAGTTTGGAGACCACATGCATGCAGCATAATTACTAACAACAACATACCTTTCCAAGTCCTACATGAACAATGGATGATTTGTCCATTCTAAACTTTATCTGATTCTGTTTTGCTGCTTTAACCGCTCTAGTAACATCACTGACAACAGTCCCTTGCTAAAAAGAAAAACAAGCACAGGAGTGAGAAAAACTTGAATTAGTTGGTGCACATATTACTCAAGCATCAATGCCAGGGGAGAAAACTCACCTTTGCATCAGGCATCAAGCCATGACGGTTGAGGATCCTCGCTATCTGCAGAGAGGAAAAATAGAAAAGCAAGATCTGTTAAACATGCTGTTGAAAGTTTGTGACCTGGAGTATATAGTAAATTGTATGCCTTCCAACCTTGGCAACCCGCGGATACAACTGACGAGTTGCATAGCATTTGTCGAAGTCAACCTTGCCAGCACCTTAGGTCATAAATCGATGAAACTTTTATCAATGACTCTGTTCCCCCAAGTACTAGCAAGCAACTTAAATATAAAAGAGAGCACAACAAATCTCAAGTCAATGGAGTCAGCTTTGAATTTAAAAACGAGGAATAAGTCTGCCCAACTTAAAAATAACGAACTTTAAAGCTTGGAATTGGATATTCTAAAAATAAATATTTTCAAACAAGCTTCCACAGTGGGAATGGTTTCAATCGTAACTCCGCAGACAGATGGCCAAATAGTAAAGTACATAGGAATTCAATTCAATAGAAGCAAAAAAGAAAAGGCAATGTTATTATAATCAAAAAGAGTGATCATACTCCAAATTTCTTCAATGAGCTCGACTCCTCCAACAATGTCGGCACCTGCAGCTCTTGCTTCTTCTGCTTCTGCCCCTTCAGCAAAGAAGGCCACTTTCAGAACCTGACAAGGAAAAGAGGAAGGAAGAATTTCTCAAGTTGAGGCAAACAAAATCAAAATCACAGCAAAATCCAGAAGAATTCACAATATTTACCTTCTCACCCCCATGTGGCAAAGTTAAGGTGCCTCGAACAATCTACAGTTTGATTAACAGTATGTCAGCACAGCCAAGGCAAGATTAACTCAAGGGAGACTAGAGTATAGGAAGCATAAGAGCATCACTTGAGCATACTATTGGTGTCCACTTTTAACAGCAGGCACACTATACAATTAGCACACTATTGGTGTCGACTTAAAAGACAAACAATCAATTTTGATAATCCTCAGGACAGCCAATTGAGACATCTGCCCTTATCTGAGGAACTGAAACTCCTTTCTCCTGAGTAAATATGAATGTCAGGTATACTCAGTAACACCTATTAAGATGATTTCCCTCAAGATATGTCCAAACCAAGGCGTTGGTTCGGAAGTCAGCTGACTAAAAATCACCCGGAAAAAGCCTTTCATCTACAATTTAAACTAGCCATAAAATCCACAATTTGTGGGACTCTCAAACTCCCTGATAGGGTAAGCTTAATATCTATGCAATTCAATTTCGACAGGCTAACTAGTAACAACAGAAGGAAGCAATACAACAATCTACCTATTCTATTTCGGCACCCACCAGGTCTGATCGAGATTTGTCAATGCCCAATCTCGCATGCGCTTCAATAGTTTCATCAAATGTCGTCCTGGCATTAGCCTGTGCAATTTAGCAAGAAACAGTCAGCAGTCCAATTTTCAGAGAACTTAAGGATATCAAACTTAGAAGCACCAACCAAGGGCGTGCCAAAACAGACCTTGACTTGACGAATGGCATCCATCAATTCCAAAAGCGCCCTCTTCTCCGTCCTCTTCACCGGCACGATCAATCTAGGAAAAGGAACAACCTCCAGCTCTTTTCCCGGCACCATCTCCCTTATCCGCCTCATCGCCCGGTTTTCCGACAAAATCCGGCGAGTCTCCGACTTCATGTCCTCCCCGTCCTTAGCACTCCCCTCCACGCCATCACCACCACCTTCAGCTCCGACCTTGTCCTCCGGCAACGGCGCCACTCGAGGCGCGTACGAAACAGGCACAACGGTCGGCGCGTCCTTCACGTATCGGGCTTCCTCCCGCGTCCAATTCGACCGAGATTCCGGCCTCGCAGGGAACTCCCGCGGCCGTCTCGTGAACTGCTCCTGCTGCTGCAACGGCTGAGCGCTACTCATTTCCGATGACGTGGCTTCTGGCTCCGGCTCCGGTTGCTTCGGCTTCGGCGCGTAGGAGACTGGCTGGACGAGCACTGGTGAAACTCGCGGAGGTGGAGCTGGATTGGGATCCGAATCGGAGGAGAACCATCTCTGAGATTGCAAAAACTGAGAGGGAACTCTGGCGGTGAAATGGCGGCGGGAATGAGAGAGCAGGAGCTTCGTCACTGCCATTTTCAGCCCTCACTTCCGATCGAGACTGGAGAGAAGATGAAGGAGAAGAAGGAAAGACGCAGAGATTAGGGTTTTAGGGAGGTTTGGATTTCTGGCCGCATTGTCAATCACGTTAACGAACCATAAGGGAGTTAATTTTCGTACCAGTTTTAATTTTTTTTTTTTTCCTTCCCGCTGCTTGGGAAAATTACAGTTTAATCCTTTATACTCTCTAATCTGTTAATTTGATCATCAAACTCTTACATTACATCCTAGGTGGCTTTTCCTCGTTCTTCCTGGATTTCCAGGACAGGATAACTAGACATGAAGCTGCTCACTTCCTAGGTACTCTCCCAACCTTGTTGTTCAAACAATCTCGCGCCCATCGGGTCGTGATCTTCGCTCCTTGGAAGGTTGTTTCGTGATTTGTTTCAGTCGCGTACTTGATTGGCCTTCCGATCCCTGGGTTACTTGCTGGATATCGGGAAAGAACATGTCGATCTCATCGACGAGAAGTTGGAGAAGTTGATATTATAGCGGCAGCTTGATTCCAAAGAACTGGATAGGTAATTCTCTGACAACACATTGCTCCGAAGTGCTCAACTATTATGACGCGTTGAGCCAATTGCGTTCTCCTGTTCTCGCTTCTCAGGTTGGCAGTTGTTGCAATGGCTAGACTGGCTGCAGAGAGGGTCTGCAGTATGACAAAGTGGTCAGGTCAGTCAGCCGACCTTTTGCACCCTTCAGGTATTCGAATTCAACAGTGCCAGTTGTAGCGACGACTAGAGCAGTCTTACCGAGGAAAATTGCTACGATGGCAGTCGGCTGCACACTTGCAATAGCAACTTAAGATTTACCTACTTTGG